TTATGGGAAGATATGTGTTTACATCAAAATATTTTTGTCCCTTAAAATAACTACGTGGACTTTTTCTCGATGAATGTGTCGCGCTTTAAATAGTCTGAGCCATTGAACAACTCTCCGCAACAGAACTTGAAGCAAAGATTATGGAGAGGAGGCAGGTAATTCCGTACGAAAAGAGCAAACTTGTCTCGTTTATCTTTCTTTCCTCCCTTTTTTTTTCTCTGTAACAGTAATTGCAACTAGTCGTACTTTTAGGGGTCGTTTGGAAGTTGCGATTGTTTTGTTGAGATTGTCATTATTCATGTATTGTTTACAAAGCATCGTTTTTTTTAACAGAAACAATACATGGATTGTTTCTATGATGTGACAGAAATTATCACTCATTTTGAGTGATTGTTATATCTCAACTTTTAGTTGTGATTGTTGAGATAGTTGAGTTGAGATTGTTTTGTCTCCGTTTTTAGCTGATGTGACATACACAATCACATATACCAAACATTGTATTTTACAATGCATCAAATTCGACAATACATGTATAATATTATACATGCATTCTCAACAATACATCTATTTAACAATCGTAACTTCCAAACGATCCCTTTGTCACGAAACTCTCAAAGAAATCTTCATATGAATAGGATAACAAATACACTAAACACTTTAAGAAGTGTGAACCGTAATAACAATCATTTTTTTATACACGCCATAGTTCACCCCATCCAACCCACATTTCCCCCCACATGCCATAGGTCTAAAAAATATCCAAGTCATGTGGATTCGTATATCTTACCATGGATTTGATCAGCGGTGAATTTCAAAATTTATCATGGCTTTTGAGGATTTTGAGGTTTATAGGGTTCGTAACCAAGTAATCCGGCCTACAGCAATCCATGTCCTAATAAAATTTCCAACTCCACTCTAAACTCGAGGATCCTGAGGTGCAAGCCGACGTTATCATGATTCGCGAGGTTGTGGTGAATGTGCCTGGACTCTGTTAGCGTGCCAAAATGGGACATTTTGGGTATCCATTAGCCTCTCTCTAAGATAGTGGAGATGATTTGAATCAAATCCATCCATTCAATCCATCCACTAAAACGATCAAATAATCAGATCAATTTAAATCCAATATATGTTAGAGAGTGGTATAAGATAAATAATGAACTTTTTCCCAACAACTCGAGTTATTGAGACCGGTTAGTTTACAACATGATATCAAAGTTGGTTTACGACCTGGTATCAAAGTTGATTTGACCAAATAGTCATGTAATTTAATCTCCAAGACCCCCAATATTAACAATTGATTTAAATACATGGTATCGTCGACCTGCACAAAAATCTAATTAACCCTAAGATCCAACTCCACCATTCAACAACTAATGTTCATTTGACCATATAAAATCACTATTAGTGATGGCAATGGGGCGAGGCGGGGCGGGTACCTCAATTCCCATGGCCCGCCCCACGCTATTACGGGTAAAACCCGCGCGGGTACGGGGCGTGGCGGGTTGACCCACTCTTACATGTTGTTCAAAAAAAAAAAAAAATACAAGTAAATTTTACTTTTTACAATAAAACGTAGGGAAAAACACTTTAAGAATGAAAAATATTGATAATAGAATAGATAAATGAGTCTAACAAGTTGAAAGATCGACTCTAACTAGTTGAAGAAAAATCAAAATAGGAGAAATATGTATAGATATTGTAAGAAATTGAGATAAAATGAGTCTAGAACGGGGCGGGGCTGGGCGGGTCGAGATACCCATGCCCCGCCCCACCCTACTGTGGGTCGGATAATATCCGCCCCATCGCGAATCAGGTCGGGTAATACCCGCGGAGCGGGTTGAAATTGCCATCACTAATCGAGTCCTTAATTGATATATATGTGATATTAAGTTAAAATTCGATGTTTACAATAAAGTGTTGCTAGAGGGAAAACGAGAATGGTTCCGGTGCATAACTATATTAACTTTCCTCCAATAAATTTTAATAAACTATATCTCTTTGTTTTAAGTCGAAATTAAAAAAGTTACAAAGAAATTAGATTAATTGTGTTCTTCAAAATGACATCCACTTTGATATATTTTGGAACAATTTTTTTTTTTTACTTTTATTACCAATCCATATCATATGATACTACTTAGTATCTACATGAAACTATACCACGTGGTATGGAAGTGTATCATGATGGTATAAACAAATTAGAGCGTAAAATAGTTGCAAACATGATACTAGATATATATATACGGTTATTTACCACCTTTCATCTACTTATACTACTAGTTACCACCCTATACCAGGTTGGTATATGATGGTACATTTTGTCTTTAAAATTTTTTCCAATAAATTCATATATCTAATATATCACAACGAACTCGTTCATTCTAGGCAAATTTTTCAAAATTCGAGTTGGTAACGAGCGGTAGGGGTGGTATGAAATTTTTTCCTCGAAATATATTTAAAATTGATATAATTCTGTAGATCACAACAAACCCATTCCATCTATGTAAAAAAAAATTGAAATCCAAATTAGATCAAAACAAATAAAAGCCGATTAACAAAATTAAGAAAAATAGAAAAACTATTAATTCTCAGACCTCATATCTGACCCACTTAAAACTAAGGATTCAGATATAGTTATCCACCGTATTCTTAACCTAAAAAAAAAATTGAAAATTGTAACAGTCCATGATACATAGCCCAAAAAACTTCAATTCTAGAATTCAGAATGGAATAGAAAAAATAGTTAACCAAAATAATTTTTATTGAAAAAAGTCGCTTTTCTCATAATCTTGCATATTCTTGACTATGGAATCTTAGGTTTGACTCCAGAAAAATTAATGTATCGGCTCGCCCCGTAATTATTGGAACCAATAATGTTCAACAAATATCAATCATATTTTTTGTCGTTTCCAATTCCATTATATTGTTTTCATCATTTGCTCAATGTATTGTTTTTTCTTTGGAACAAAATATCAATGTATTCAATGTCACATAATACAGCAGATCTTAGTCTTAGACAATATACAGCATCCATCAATCATTTAAGTTGGCCTCATTGTTTGACAAGTGTGCCATCTTCAAATTAGTTGGTTATTCTCTATTATGCTTTTCAAAAAATCAGTTTCCTCATTGATTTGGTATATATGCCCAAATCAATATTATAGTCTCATTTTTTACTGAAAAACAAAGTACATAACCATAAAAAAACAAAATATATTCCTTTTAGGTGCACACTAATAATAAAAGCAATTACTTAAAAATTATAAATAATTAATTTTATTTAAAAAATGTCAATTTTCTCTATCAACCATTGAGGTTGGCCTCATTGATTAAAAATTTTCTTTAACAAGGACAATTAATCTTATTGAAGAAACTTTCTCCAATGCAGACAATTAATCCGAATTAAATTCACTTACATTTTTCGAAGGCTTAGTTTTTACAAACTATTCACATTTTATAACAAAAAAGTGTGCCTAATAACTCCTTTCGATATGCCCTTTGTGGTGTTCTGTTGGGGGATCCAACCAAGTATTTAGGGGATCCTTAAATGGCATCATGCTAGAGGAGCGCCACGAGGAGGTTCGAAAAGCTCATTGCGGAATTTTAACTGGCAAACCCACTCGACCGACTTGACCTATGTCTATATGAGTTGTCAAGATCTTTTTATCATTCGGTCTTTGTAAGTCGGCCTCCTGATCCGGTCTGGGTCGTGTGGACAGTACTCTTGGTCCGACCTAGTGAGTGTGAACGGTGGCTCTTGAGCTTGTTATTTTCACTCCAGAAATTGGTTCTCGACATGGTGTTAAAGTCTTTAATCAAGAGGACGTTCAAATCTTCATGACCTCGTCAAAACGAACCTGTGCAAATTTCAACTTCAAATATTACCTTTCGCTAGAGGGAGCATGTAAGAGAATGATATAAATCATCGTATCATGCATGAACACTTTCTTACAACCCGAGTTATTGGAATGCAAGAGTTCTGGATTTGTCGTTGAGGCATACAGATGTATGCTCATGTTGATTTGTACAATATAAAATCTTGATGACATGTTTTGGAAAATAAGGACATTGTCTAGCGATTTTCTTTTGCTAGTATTCAATCTGAAAATCTCGTGATTCGGATTCTTTAAGTAGCACGTAAAACAATAAAAGTAAACCGATATCGCCCTCGTAAAAAGAATATTTCACCTATGCTTTGATACTACCTTGCTTAAGTAAGAAAGTAGGAACTTGACACATGTTAATGTGATGCGATCTTCGATGAGGAGATTCGGATGATAAGGTCGGTTATGAGAAATACCATTGCCGGTGTTACTGCCGCTGCTGGCTGGGGGTTGCACTTGGCCGGCTCTTCAATCTTCTTCACATATCATATTCCGATTTGGTAATTGAATATAATTAAGTAAAGTATGATCATGGGGCCGCGGCTTTCTGCTAATAATATATAAACATGAATTAATTTCTGGGTTTTGAGTTCTCAAGATCGATGTAGTGTTGCTGTTTGTTTCGGGGCCTATCACAATATTTAATTAAATCGTGCTTTTAGGGGAAATGGGGGGTTAAATAAGTAGTAGTTAAGTTTAACTAATGAGGTGAAGTCTATGGATTTGTGCATATAGAGAGAGAGGGAGCTGGATTCACTTAACTGTGGATTCTCGATCTATATGAAGCTGACGTGGCACTGATCAACCCACTCAGAAAGTAGTAGTTAATCTTAATCATCATATTAAAAAAATAGTTACGAATATTTGTATAGTAATAATATGATGTAAACCTACAAATAATCCATCCATTATCCTAATTAGAAAATCCTAAACTTCAAACCATAAATTCAAAATTCCAAACCTTTTAATATGCTTAAATAATGGGTAAATAACGGGAGAGTAACTAAATGTGACCTGTTTTAGTAATTCGAGTGACCAAAATTGATATTAATTTTTGCTAGTGACTAAACATAACACGATTTTAGTAATCCCAGCGATCAAATGTGGCATTAACCCCTCGAATAATAAATGATTTTCTTGCAATAAAAAAAAATTAAGTCATTTGGTTTCTCCGGTTATTAAATTGATGTATTGTAATCCATCAATGTATTATAAATTTAAGTCAGTCTGGTTTCTCCGGGTGTTAAATTCAAAATTCCAAGCCTAATATCATACGAACTTTTCCCCATTCCACAGCCCAAACAAATGGCAATTAAACAATGGAACACTGAAGAGAGGAAAGATATATATAACTGCCCCACCCTCTCTTCCCATAACGGTAATAACTGAAAGGAGAATGATGAGAGCACCACAATCATTAGACAATAATAATGTGGTGGAGAGAGTGGTTGTTTTTGTTAATATGATAATACAGTTCTTCTGGTTAGTTCTCAGTCAAAGGGAATATGTGGAAGAGATGAGATGAGAGAATCCTGCGACTGTGAAATTGAATGGGAAATCATTCATGGCATTACCCACCATGTGACCCCACATGAATGAATGAATATTGGTTCACTCAGACAGAGCAGCTTCTGCCTTCTAGAGAGAGAGAGAGAGAGAGAGATTTTGTTTGTTTTTTGGGGGTTGGTTTTGTCGAAAGGTATCAAACAGAAACAGGTCTTATATTATTAGGCTCTCTATCTACTCCAGGGGGCTTGATCTGATCTGACTAAGATATCATAGTCAAAATTCAGGTTCTCAATTGAAAGTGGTAGTTATAGGTTCTTCTTGGCATGTGCATTCTCTGCTAACATTCCCAAATACCTTTGATTAGAACCGCTTACCCTAACCGGCCCTAAATGTTGAAACGTAAGCAAATTTCCAAAAATGTTCTGAAATTGTATCACTTGCATCTATCTATCTGATCACTATGCAAGTTGGTTGGTTACTGTGGTAGTTATTACAAAGCATTAATTCCCTCTTACCACATATATTGACTCAATATAAACCCACGCGAATGGTGAGCAAGTAGCAGACCCGACTCCAAACAATTCGACTATGGTGTTGACAGTCAGTCAACCTATGAGAACGTACGTGCTCACAGACAGAAGCCTAACGCCATGAGATCGGACGTTTGTGAGCACGTTCTCACAGATCGCCTGTGAGCTCAATATCGAAATCCTGACTGTAGGAGGACGACACCCCCATACCCAAACGCAAAGAGACCCACAAGTCAATCATCTGTTGCCGGCCAAAGACGCTGCTCAGTTTATAATGTGCCACCCTGACAAGTCTCGCCATTGGTATCCGAGGTGGGCAAACATGGCAGCAACAAGCATTTACATTGATTTGACATGCTGTTCTGAGCAGCTACAAGTTGTGTTATAGCCCACAATTTTCACCAACCCTACCATTTTTCTCCTCTCATCTGCCATTCCACCGTGACTCTGTTTCCACCGCTCTTTCTGGTATCTCTGTGCAGTGCTTACACCGAATGCAGAGAGAGGCCACGTTCTCTCTCTGACAAAGAAAAGTAACAGAAAACGAATAAGGTAGACAGAGATGGGCGTGTTGGCCCAAACGATATAGCCCATGCCACAGCCCAGCTGCAGTCCCGGTCCACTTGAAAGCCCATTACCAATAGCATGATCATTATTCTTCTTCCCAACTCGGCCCAGTCTCTCTTACAAAAATGGAGCCTTTTAGCTCCTACTACTAGTGAATGTGAATCGTTAAATAAATACAGAAGAAAGCAAAGAAAGAATGCCTCTATGGTTGCATGAATGAATGAATGAAATATACGCAAAGCTAGGCAACTACGTATGAGAGAATCATCCTAAATTATGGTTCCCTTTATCTTCTTGTTCTTCTCGTTTTCTGGGCTCCTTCTTCTGTCCTCTAATTTGATCTGGTAAATATAAATATATTAACATCTGCGACATAGAGACGCAGGATATGCAAAATTGTGAACGTGTCCCTTGACGGCTGGTAGAGGAAGGGAAGCAAGCAAAACTTGATGAAGAAGTTGATTGATTGAGGAATCTCAAACCCCTTATTCCAGCAGTAAAAATTGGAAGTCGGGACTCTCCGTCAGTTCTTCAGGAGACTTCACGTCAGAGAAGTCCTTCTCTTGGAAGGAATTGCATATCTCTGCCACTGAGAAAGGCAGTCTGCCCCAGAAACACCAATTATTTACGTCAGGGTGCTATGAACATAGTTATTAGTTAGTCATAAATGATGAAAACAGGTGGATCCTGTTGTGTACCTTGTACTGTCCTCCAACAGAAATGAGTGGTCGTTGGTGGAATCGTCTGTTACCAGAGTTTTCATGCTGGAAATCACCTGCAAATTCCCAGGACCAGGCGGAATTATTGGAAAAAAAAAAAATAAGAACAAACTGTATCGTTCATTCAGCATCTCTCGCGAAACTTAAGGCGCTTACATCTGGAGAGACGCTTCGTGTATTGTAGTTGTCGTCCCAGTACAACGTGCAAACTCTGTACAGTTGTTGAACGCTCAATATCTGCAATTAAGACACTGAGTTTAAGCAAGTGGGGTAGCACCAACCATGGTCCGTTAGTTTATTAAAGCTTTGAGAAAGCAACAGAATGTGTCAGAGAGAGGGAGAGAGAGGAATACAGGGCAAAGGTCATTTGCGATATCATCATAGGAAATCCTGGATTTTTGGTGAATCACCTGAAAGAGAGATCAAAACAATCAGGCAGATTAGAATGGAATATGACGTTTCTTGTTCAAGTGTGATAACTCGGAGAACAACTTGATCAATAATGCTGCATCATGTTTTCTCCACATGATAATCGATAGTGTGCTGCTACATAAATTCAACTTAAGATGAAGCATACCAGGAATCCAACTGCTTGCCTTGTGTGCTTTAGTTCATCCCAGGCCGAGCCTACAAACTATGAAATAAGTATGTACGATTAGAAAGGCGTTAAGTACCCCGGCAGAATTTCTTTGAAACAAGATTTGTACACTGTCGCTTCTCCTTCTCACTATTAACAAAGAAATACAGTGTCCATGACTTACAGTATCACCTTGTTTTATGTTCTAACTACTAACAGGCAAATTGGTTGGTCTCTGTTCCAAATTCTCCAAAAGATATTAACTATACAACAAAATCATAAGCACAGGAAATCCCACGTTTTCCACAAAGAAAACTAACCGCCAAAAGATGCTAATGTTTCAGAACCATGAAAGCATTTTAACTTCATGGCATATGCCATGACACAAAAGGAAACAAACAAGTAATCTGAAATTTACTCAGACATATATCTGAAACTATACCTCTTCTTGTGCTTGACCACACCACGTTTCCATTTCGGCCAAGCCAGCTTTCACAAATTCCCCATTGCTGAATGTGCAACACTCTCGACGGAGGAGCAGGCTGGCAAGTGCGGAACAAAACAGTTAACACTGTGCCATTATCGAGTATGAAACAGAGTCTCATTTGGAAGCCGGACACTACCTATTGAACAACTGTACGTTGATATATGCAAAAATCTGACAGAAGACCTTCTGTATAAGATATGGAGGCACCTGTAATAACAGAACAGCAATTAGAACCAGATGAAAAAAGGCTAACGTCACAGATTTAATAATATGAAAAGAAAAAAAAAGAAGCTCCATACATAGTTTTCTTTCAAAGTACATAGCAGCGCTTCAAGGTTGTCCACAATGCTATGCCAATTACTAGATGGACCACTTTGTCCAAATGACTTCACGGAGGCTCTTAGAGCATTTCCCTTTTGCCTGGGTGCCTGAATTGGTTCATTACCTAATATTATTTATAAAATTGCAAAATGTGGTTGTGGATTACCAACCAACACAGGGTACATTACGAAAAACAAAACCCAAGGATCGGCTACCTGGATACATGAAGTCAGCAACGGTTGTATCTCTCTTTTTAAATTGTCTCGGATTATCCCATACATTGTTTCCACATATGCTGTAAGCTGTTGCTTAAAAAGCAGTGCTGGGTACTTGGCCTCAACCACACGGATAACATCTTTACCAACTTTCACGTCAGTAAATGCAGCCGATGAGCGGAAACTCTGGAAAGATTTAAACGACACAACTACACTGTGTTAAGTTTCAATCCTAAAGAAACGTGTAAAGAATGGTAGTTACTGGAACTAGAACCATCTAATCATTTCAGTAAGAACAATGCATTAAGTAATTCAATGAATTGAGACTGTAGATGTTTACTTGAGCCATCCTCCCGAAAAATGATGTTGGAGGAGCTGGATTTTGGCTCCCCCCGCTGCCTTTCAGTGTCCGGTGAAGTAAGAACAATAGCACTGTAGTATTACAGAGCCAGTAGGCCATCTGTTCATTGTCATCTTGATTCTACAGTGGAGCGCAGGCAATATGAATCACACTACGTAAAGAAAACGGGCTCATGCAAAATGCTATTTCAAGTGGTCGAGATGTATTTACCTCAAACGCAGTTCCAATTGTCTGTATAAGCCGATCAAAGACACTTGTTTTTTCTGCCTCGAATGCACTCCATTGGACAAGGCACCTGTAAACGGTGATTGCTGCCACCGGTTTTCCTTCGCAAAATCCAATATTTTTCTCCACGCATGTGATTAAAACATCTACATTCAGCTGTATTAAGATCCAGGAAATATATATGAATAAAAGATGATTAATGGATTTTCAAGTCAATAAAAGTGAAAGAAAATTAGCATATGCGAATCTGTTTCCCCCTTGAATAATACATACATGTAGCCTTTCAATCTGAGATTTCCTTAATTTTTCATATGAATCAGAAGCAAGCTTTTGTTCGTTTCCATCATGACCATTTTCCAGAGGCTGCAACATCAACAAGAAACAGAAGAATGAGTACCTTAAGTCTCTCTAATAAGGAGTAACGAAAACTATTTTTTCCTTGATATGTGTTTTAGATTAGAGCTAGTAACCTGAGATGAGTTGGACAGCGCTTTCTTCCTCAAAGCTTCTGCATGAGCTTCCATTTCCACAAGTTTTCCTTCAAGACTGGGAAAAAGAAACGGGAAAAGTGTACTTACTAATGTCAAAGAGGATTAATCATCAACAAAAGCTAACTGATACATCATACACTAAATAGTGTGCAGCTTTAGACATTTCCAGACAAATAGAACAAGTAGCAACCTCTGCACGGTTGCTTTCAACTCAACAATCTTGGCTTCCGCATCTTTACTCTCCTGCATCCTTTCTTCACAAAGCTTACTCGTCTCCTCGTACTTCTTCTCTGTCTCCTCAATTTTCTTTTCCAATTCACTTACCGTAGCCTGCAAGAAGTAATATTGTCGTTTTAGCGGACAACTACTAATCTCATTTAGAATGATATTTGTATCTAGGTAAATTATTTGTTTGTTAAAAAATCCTTAGATAACATGCAATAAAATATCCATAGTACTTCACCTTGAGAGTTTCATTCTCTTCAGTGAGCTTATTCACCAGTTCGTGGTCAACAACTGGAACCTCCTGTACTTCTGGGACCCGCTCAGCTTCTTTCTTAGCAGCCTCGCACTCCTTGGTAAGTTTGTCTTTAGTTTCTTGGAATTCAAGTTGCAGCTCTTTTAAAGCAGACTGTAGTTTTCCAATTTCTTGTGTTTTGGCTTCCTCAAGATCAGCCTACAGGTGATGCCAACAGCAAAATACAAGCAACATCAAACAGAGAACATAGAAGTTTAAACAGAGAACACAAACATAGGAAGATAAATTTACAAGATCAGCCTACAGGCATAGCTAGTCAACAGCCATAGCTGTCAGAAGAATCAAACAGAGGAAAGCTAAACTCATTTCCAAAGTACACAAGAACAGAAAAAGTGCATTGTCTGGGTACTGGTTTCTGGTGTAAGATAAATTTACCATCCTGAAATGTCGAAGGGGGTTATAATTCATAAAGAAAAACTATTTAGAACTGGAGAAAACAAAATAACCAGCCTACCCTAATACGTTTCTCAAGCTGCAAGCGCCAGGTTAGTTCTTCCACTTCCTTTTCTAGCTTGCTTTTAGCTTCTTGAAGAGCACCAGTTTCCTTAGCAGCCTGTTAACAGGAAATATAAGAATACAAAGTAAATCTGACGACTTTATAACTACAGAAAAATATGATACATAACAAGATTTTGGATTTTCATGAGCTTGGGATCTCATGTAGACTGGTGCTGAACAGCTGAATTTGAGCAATAGAACCCTTGCCACGGCCAAATACAATAGGGAATTTGGTTGGTAGAACAATCTAAAACATGCATAACTAACAATGCGAGAAGATGAACTTAACTGTGAACCATGGGAAAGCAAAGCACTTTTCAAGGGGGAAAAAACAGTAAGAAAAGGGAAAGAAAGAGGGACTGACCATGCACGACTACTAATGCAAGAAGATAAACTTAACTGTAAATCATTGGAAAGCAAAACACTTTTCAATAGGAAGAAGGAAATAAACAACAAGAAAGAGGAACTGACCATACGAAGCTTCCGTAGTTCTCGACGTGCGACTTTGCCTCTCCAGGCACACTGCATGACAATTGCAGACCTCTTCATCTTCAAATAGTGAAGCCGTGCCAAATGCCTTCTGCATTGACTCTGGAAAGAAACAAGTTCAATGAGAAATGAACAGAATTGAACAGCATTCCCAGTTCACCAAACCTGAAGAAGAAAGTCCTCACAGAATAATGCTAATAGCCATTTTTGTTACTAACACTTCTGGCTTGTTAGCAATCTACCATGAAATCAAGAACCCGAACCCAGAAAGTCATACAGTTTGGATTATCTAGACAACACCAAGTATCAGGACAAAGAAACAACAAGCAATGAAATCAAAACACCCACAGTATTTACCAACCATAGTAGATTAGAACCAAAACCTGTGCCAACAAAACGAGAGCATGACCACCTTTTTCTCTTTTTATCAATACTAGGTCGAAAGTCCGCACTCCACATGGGTATCCAATCTTGTTTAATTGAGATTTGTGCTTTTGTAAATAGGAAGTAATATGTAAAACAATAAATCAAAACTCACATATACGATTTTCCGATCGTGTGAATCATTATATGAAACAATATAACATGAGACCAGTTCAAGAAAGTTTGTGTTCAGTCACATATGATCAAGTTGAAACTGGTGAGTTAAACTCTCATTAAAAGACTATACTTATGAGCTATGAGAGTACATTAGATACAATGGACAACCCCCCAAATTCTAAAATTGGACTCTATGCAAAAACAAAATATTTATTTGAAAAGTCACAAAAATCTTAAAGATTTTCAGTCGTAAGGATTCAAAATGAGAAACATATCCCGGAATATGTGTGATCAGGCTTCTAGTAGAATACTAGGAAAACTCACAAAGATGGTCAATCAATAAGAGTTCAAAAATGAAAAATTGATCGTCGTAATAGCATGATCGAAATACGCTTGATCAACTGACTTCCAGTTGAATAGTCGAAAAACTCCGAAAAATTGTCAATAGATAAGAATTAGAAATGGAAAACGCATCCCTAGTATACGGGGGATCCAAATACGTGAGATTGCTCGACGTCTGTGAGTTCTTTAATCTTCTCAAGGTGGTGGAAAATTGGTCAACAATGGAAAGGATGAAGATTTTTGGACCAAATGAAAACTGTCTCTAAAATTTAAAGAATTAAAAAAACACTTAATGAATAATAAACCCTAAACCAAGGCTTTTATATATCAACCCTAAACCAAAGCTTTTGTATATCAAATACTTAGGTAATCACGGATTGTATTTGCATTTCTAGAAACATTAGACGAGAACCAGGAATCTGCATATTCCCGGCATTGGAAATTTACCTGGATCAAAATTGCAGCTTTCTGCTTCCTCCTGAATAGGAGGTCACTACGAGCAGTCATTCCACGCATACCTGCCTGAATGCATACTGCTGAGGAGTACATACTGTTATAAGATTTCCTTGCAAAAAACCTTCGACAATACTTCTGGATCTTTACACAAGCGTCTTCTCTTCTTAGACATTCAAACCGATGACGTGCTATCTGACCTGTATAAAAGCTCCAAAAAGGCAAAAACTTAGATAGCATGGAATCACTGAAGAGAGAGTTCCTGTGATGAATAGCTTTGTAAGCTAGAGCACAATCTTATCTGATGAAGTGGTCGAAATCTATCTAATACCTCTGCAAACATTTTGAATTTCGATAGCAGATTGTCGCAATATTAAAAATCTTTTGCGGCAACAGTATGTCAGAAATTTTCTTTGGATGAAAGTTGCTGATCTTCCTAATACTTCAGTCCGGCGAGCATCTAGTTCTGCCATCTGCCCTGCTCTGAGGAACACTTTGGTTTTACCAACCTGCACCCGAAACCATCAGCAAACAAAGGATAGAAATTCAAAGAATCATTTTCAAACAGCCTATACTCATACACAGGGTGAATCATGTACAAGCTCATTCTTTAAAAATCTTAAAGTGAAACCATTTTCATCTGGAAATAACTCTAAACAGTGGAAAGCAATTTAGGCAATGTAAAAAAGAATGACTAAAAACAGTTGCATGCAGATATGCAATATATGGGTGAACACATGAGTAAATCAGCTCAAAAGTTGGCAGGATCTCATCAAAAAGCCACTTCATTCCAAATTATTGAATACTGAGAGGTTCTAAGATAGCATTTTAATTATAGGACCAAAGGCCAAAGGATTCAGATCTACCTGATAACCTTCAAGTTTCACCTTCTCTAGAATCTTCTTGCAAGCAGTTACCTCATCGCAGCTATCAAGGAATACACAGTATAAAAGAAAACAATACAAGTACTCATAAGAGACGCATAGCAGAGCCCATCATCGTCAGATGAGTCATAAAATAGCAGCAGCAGACTGTACCTCAAATTTGAAACATTTGTTGCCAGAATCCCAAAACGAGCGATGAACTCATTAAAATGCTTTCTAGTCGGATACCCAGCGCAACTAATCCTGATTGCCTCCATTACTCCCTAGAATGGGAGAACAAGGGGAATCCCCTTCAGATAATGTTTCAAAAAAATGCTGACAGGTATCCACAAAAAACAAAGTGATCAATTATCTTACTCCACAACGTAGCTGCTGTAGGACATTGGCATTCTCAAATATGGCTGGCTTTAGAGCATTGTTTGGCTTTACACAACGGATATAATGTGGCTCCGTGGCATTTAATGTCTCAAGCAGAGATTGCAGTTGTTGCTGTACAGCATAGAGGAATTAAAGAACAATATGTTGTAATAAAGGCAAAATTTATCATATGTATTTAACTCTGGTTCCAGTAAACATAAACCTACCTTAAATCGAGCACCAATTGATGAAAACTTCGATGATTTAGAAGATTCCTCCGGTAATGGGGGGAACAGGCTTGACACAAAGGAGCATTTAGACGCACTGAGGAGAGCTTGATGTTCAGCAACTACATAGTCTTTGTTTTTATCCAGAAAGAATTCAGTTTGGTATGTTACCTGCCACAGAGAAAATCCCCATAAGAAGAAAGCTATAATCTAAATGTTAGTTCCATGGGAAGAACAAACATCACTGATGCATTAGTTTCTTTTATCGGAAACAATACGATACTTACATCGCCAGCATAATGACAAACAGTGAAGTCATTACGTGCCAACTTAGGCTTGCTAAAGCGTTTGTGATCCTTAAATGTCTGGTAAAGCTTTGTCGCAAATGTTTCATTTGTTGATTTAGGAAACATACTAGAGAGACAAAAAAAAAAGGATAGTTGTCATCATAACACGAGGAAGAAAAGGATGGAGTTATAGAAGTATGTAAGACATTCATTTCAACCACATTTTCCAATACATACCAGGCCTCATCAAGAAGAGCAAGGATACCACCAGGTTTCTAAAGAAGAGAGGTAAAAATCATATTAGAAAGAAGAAACTGGATAATCGTGCGCTAACATTTTAGAAATTCCAGTTATACAAAGTATTGGAGAGCTTGGGGGTTTTCCTAGTGGTATAACATAGGTTAGAAACATCTGATGCATCTTAGTTATGAACTCAAGAAAATGAAAGACAATCCGACAAGACAGAACACTGTAATACATAGGTTAGAACATCTGATGCATCTTAGTTTATGAACTCAAGAAAATGAAAGACAATCCGACAAGACAGAACACTGGTTATACAAAATCAGGAAACTGCTGCAACTTAATCATACAAGCAAATATAACTCTATGATCAATAACTAATGCAATATTTGAATAAGATTGCTTCACTCAATTCTAAAAGTTAATAACAAAAAATAATTAATTGTACAAAGTCATCTATATGGCTATATGTCACACAGAATCAAATGGTGTTCTTAATAAGGACTATAGTAGCATTCCAACATGATCACTTTATCAAGTAGCTGAGAATCTTGCAGGTTTCAAGTAAAGTTGGCAGCGTAGTATGTGCCAAACCTTTTCAATTAGATCAAGAACATCCTGGTTGTCAATGAATTCTATATAGCTCCAGTCGATCTGTTCTTTGGTGTATTCTTCTTGCTCCATCTTGAACACGTGCTGTCAAAAAAATATAATTGAAATAAATCAGCAGGCAATATTTAGATCTTCAATTTGAAATGGTGTGGTACAGAATACTGCAGCAGTTTTTATGTGGACAAATGAACTGAGCTTTTCCAACAAACCTGGTTGAAGTGCTGCTGCAACTTTTCATTGGTTAAATTTATACAAAACTGCTCAAAACTGCAATGTGAAGGAACTTGGTGAAAACACAGATAAAATAAGAAACAAACTGAAGTCACATGAGATAACTAAACAGTGCCTTCATAAAAAAAAAAAAAGAGAACAGTAAACAGTGATATATAAGTAGCAGGAAAATCACGAAACACATAAACGCAACAAATTCATTTGAAACGAAGGACCCGAGCAAGCCCAAAAGTGAGGGCACCGCTGGCAGGATGTTCCTTAAATGATTTACATTGAACCCTTTAATGGAAGATATATCACCAAAAGGCAAATCGTTAACATCAAATTCCAGCACATCATTATGAAAAATTATGTTGTTGCATGCAACTTCTTATATGATGAAAACAAAAGGCGTACCGGTTAAGCACCTGTTTGTCTTGAAACTCTCAAACCCATATATGTCCAGAACCCCAATTAAAGATTTTGAATCAGGATCTTGACCAATAGAGCTATTGATCTTGTTCACCAGCCTATGACAAAAGAACATTTGACATCAGATAATGTAAGAGAGGTAGTTTCTTGTAAAAAGAAAAGATAATGTAAGAGAATAAATGCAGGAAAGGCACTGAAAGTGGAAGTAGAAAAACGAATGCGAAAGATAGAGAAAAGTATAAATCAGGCAAATAAAAGTATTCAGTACATTGCAGCATACCAATCAAAAAGCCTTGAATAAACAATTTTCGCCAGAGCATCTCTATTGATAGTGGCAGCTACAGGATCGAGAACCTTCATTATCACATCATCACGGGTCACAATTACACGTTTGCATAGGGAATCCTCGAGACCCTTTTCATCACACCTGAAAAAATCAGCAGGTTATCTAATTCAATTAGCAAAATATAATTATAGAGACGAACCAAAACAGTCAATTAAAGTCAAGACTAGTTATCAGTTACATGAAAAGTTCTGCTGCTATCTTGAGATGCTTACGAGCATCATCATCCTTAGGTTCGGAAGAATCAGGTTCACTTCCTTTTGCAAATACTATGTTTCCTAGATGTAGTACTGCAGCGACAACTCTGAATATTGCATCCTGTAACACAAAGCTTTAGGCAACGGTTTCGCTATAACAACACTGAGAACCATCAAAGACAGTACCTGCTCTTCAGCACTTATCCCAACAACATCCATAGCTTTTCTGGTCACAAGATACTCCTTTGGGTCATCTAGTCCATCCAACTCGATGCATTCTGATTGATTTAGATAACGGAATGACCTAGCATTTCCCACTTTGAACTTCTTTATATCCTGAAAATAGGACAGTAAGGAAAGAACTCAACGGCTGAATTGCAACTACAACTTGCATTAAGCACAGAGAATATATTCAGAATAATTTGAGGTTTGCTTGGTAAATTAAGGAACAAGAGCAAGCACAGGAGTGCCTCTGTGCCTGTGAGGTACTGCTAACTAATTGTAACATGTAAGGAGAAGAAATTGGAAACTGTGCTTGCTCTTGTGCTTCCTTTTAATAAATTCCAGTCGCCATTGTCTAATAAACATGTAAGGAGAAGAAATTGGAAATTGTGATTGTCAACATTAAGATGATGTGATCTTCGGATGTGAAGAGGGGACTACGTAGTATTTATTGTTTTCTTCTACAACGTCCTTCAATATCAAGGCCACATAGCATTCGTCTGCAACACATTGATGTGTGTGGCAGTTAAGAACTTGCGTGCAGAAGCATGTTGAATAGTATATATATACTACTGGGATTGTAAAACGGACAGGATCAACATTAGAAGCTAGATATCAAAGATGCCCTATCTAGGGTTTTGCAGTTTCAAGAGTTAGGTTTCCGTTGCTATACTGAGATCATGTGGAGAAAAATATCTTTTCGAACAGAAGCTACCCAAAAGTAATTGGATAAGCAAAACTGAGCATATATGCTATAAACTTCTAGCCAAACAGATAGACTGCCAAAGAACTTATTTCAACATAAGAGAAAAAGAAGAGCATTCCCTGGCTCAGCATTGTTAGGTAAGAATCACTACACTGGACAGGTAACTGAACCTTGAGCTTGTTGCATCAAACAGCAAAGACTTGAATGTTATCCACTGACCATTTGATAATAGAAAAGGGAAGACCTTCAGCAGAAAATAGCAGGGCACGGAAAGTCCACAATGCTGAAGCACTGTACGATTTTGAACTACCACTTAATTCCTCACTTAAAAAACAAAACTATGACAAATGTAACTATGAGCCTACACTCAATATCAACCAACCATTTGTATGTGATTCACCCTCTCAAGGAATCAAAGCTAATGTGCGGCACCATTAGTTTTCTTTTACCTCTGGGGGAGCAGCACAGAGCATGTAAAAGCAGTGATAATTTCTCTCAGGACTAGAAACTTGACAAACACGAGAACGCTCCAGCAAATATGTTCTGATGGCAGCTCCTGAAATCCTACCCCTGTCATCAAACTGGAGCTCGACAAATTTCCCAAAACGACTGCAGTTGCATCATTTCATAAAGTCATTAATTGATGCAAATAATTAAAATATACTCAGGAATTTAATGTTTAAACCAAAGTTTACCACCTTGAGTTATTATTCCTGACGGTCTTTGCATTCCCAAATGCTTCAAGAACAGGATTGGACTGTCAAACAAAAGGGTAAAAGTTGAAACTGAGGCCATCTGCTTCAGGTAAGACTCATTTCCTAGAAACAAAATCAGGGAAACAAGAGTTGTATCCAACAGAGGAGGCATCATTACTCAAGGCATTATGCATTGCAACTACTCACCTCTAAAACTTTCTGCTCCACAGATTGTCCTTCATTCCCAGCTCTCCCACCCATAAAGGCCAAATAACGCATAAGACTCTTAGTGCTCTCTGTTTTACCGGCTCCACTTTCCCCACTAACCAAGATGGACTGGCTTATTCGATCATTGATCATCTGTCTGCCAAGTTCAGATTTCTTCTGAGTTCACAATAAGACTTTAAAGCAATCAATAATGGAACCTGAAAAAGAAACATTAGAGTAAGTTACCTGTATGCTGCATCTGCAACGGCGAAGGGATGTGGACTCAGCTCGCCAATAGCAGCCCCTTTATATTGCTCCATCATATGACCATCATAGAGATGAGGAAGCCTCCGGAAAGGATTCACAGCGATCAATATATTTCCTGTGTAAGTCTGTAACCATTATGGGATTTTAGCTCGATAAACCAGAACTAAATATCAACACAAAAAAAATGAACTAGACCATCCATGGTTGATGTGAAAGTCTCAGTATCCAACTGATATAAGTACCTAATTGAACTTCAGCAACCTACTTTATGGCATAACTACCAAACGTTCAAGAGAAAGAGCATGGAATCTATAAACTTACATAGATCTCATTTATGTCGTATCTAACTTTTAGATTCTGAAGCACTCCTGGTTCATTCAAATATGCAAGCTTTGTCATGTCATCGACACCGCATGATGGGAACTCTGGATCCTTGGGATACACACTAGATGCTTTAACAACAACCTTGCACAACACAAAAACTCAACTGTTTTAAGTCCATTTAACTCTTTCAGACGTAAATAAAAAGAGAGAACCAGGGAATAATATTTGCCATTATCCCATCAACAACGACCAGAATTATGTGCCTTGTTAAAGCACAGTCTTCCAATAAGTTAGGCGCTAGCCATTGGCTGTATTAGAGCCTTGGATTGGAAAAGCCTGATTAACTCTTTCCTACTTTGCAGTAGAGAAGAAAGGAAAATTATCTTTAAGCACTCACTGTCTTGTCTGATGTGCATTGGACTTTAAGTTCATCGCCAGTAATTGCCAAAACTTGCCCATCTATCCAAGATACATCGGGATCCTCTATCCAGACTAGTGATCCCACTGCAAAATTCACTGATGCAGCCTGCAAAGCAATAGGATTTTTCAGTATATGTAACAGAGGAAAATGCAGGACGAAATAATCAAATAACTCAACGGTGATCCGCGGGGAAAGCTGATCAGGGACGAAATAAGCAAATTACGTTACACATGCAGGAAATGCAGGACGGGAACAGAAAGGATATACCATTGTCGATTGCAAAGTCAATCAGATTGATCCGCGGGCAGAGTCTGCAAACCCTAGAGTCTCCGAATGTGCAATGTGAGCGAGAACATTTACCAATCGCTCCTCAATTCCGGTCAATTGGCGATGCTAGAACGATCAAATCTCCGGCCGGAACGAACAATCGGCGGGCGCTTTCGCGATTTCCTTTCTCCGACTCACGCGGAACGTAGAAACCATGTCATTGCGTTTTACTTTCTTCGATCGGAATGGTGAAAAAGACGGATTCGGCAGCTAGAAACAAAGATGCTGTGGAAAGGGAGTCACATCGGTACGGAGCCAGAGGATGGAGAATGGCGGGACCTTTCTGTGAATCGGAAGAAACGACGACGGCATCGAATTCCTTCTATCCTGCAACCGTGATTTCGCAAATTTTCCTGTGATTCCACTTTCTCGGGGAAACTTTTTTTCCTTTTCCTTCGCTCTCTCGCTCTCTTCTTTCTCGCAGCTTGGAGGAAATGTGTCTCTAGTTGTGCACTCGGCCTGGTGACCGTTGTTTGTTTGGCTTTTCTTTTGCAATGCAACACGACTTACGTGAATATTGTGAATCCATGCTTCCCTTTTTCTTACTTCCTGATTTGCCCCGCATATTTGAAGTAATTACCCCTGATGAATTAATGCTCGCAACCAGTGGCGGGTAGTCACTAGGAGGTGTGCAACGGTTTGGTTCGGTTCGGACTGGACCAAACTCATGAGAACCGCGGTCCATTAGTGAAAGACATGTTAGGATCAAAGACCGGACCATTCTTGTATTTGGTCCATTTGATCCGGTTCGGTCCAGTCCAAATATGAGCTCGGTCCACCATTTCTTCAGTAATTATAAAATTCATGAGGACCAAGGACCGGACCGCATTTTACTCGGTCTGTCCGGTCCAGTCTTAACAACGGTTTGGTCCGGTGTGGTCCGGTACGGACCGGACCATTGCACACCCCTAGGCCCTAGTCACTAGTCAGGGGTTTGCACCAAGTGCGATATAATTAGTATTTGTTGTCCGAGTCGGTGGTCGGAATGTCGTTTGAACACAATGTATTAATGATGTGTATATAATTTTTTTAAAATTAATTGAAATGCTGAATTTCATGTAATATCAAGGTGACATCGAAATTATTTTCCCATTTCTGAAATTCTTATAACTTTTCGTCAATTGTGAACATTGTAATCTTAATTGTTATAACCAAAGTTGTTAAACCGGTTTAAGTCGTTGAGCCGGTCAAGCAAGTGGTTTGAAGGTTAATTGTTTGATTGAGGTCCAACCTATTTGAGCCGTTTTACACATTTTCTAAATATATTTACATATAAGATAGAAATGTGACTGAAATAGAATCTACTAGTTTATATCTATTAAAAACTCAAATAGTCAAATTCCATTAAAAAAAACATACTTATCTCAAGATCTACCCACCATCCCCTTGCCTCTCTCCCCTCTCCCCCTTCCTCTCTCTTCTTCTCCCTCTCTAACGATCAGACCCTTGATTTTGTATAGCCCGTTTTGGAGCATGACTTTGGTCGGACCTAATCTAACCGACTGTCCGGTAGAGGTGTTACAACCTTGGTTATAACACTTGTGAATAACCATTCATAACTTGTATATTTAATGATGTAATCACTTAGTTTCCTATGGTTGAAAAGAAAATTGACATAACAAAAAATAGTTTGTCTAAAAAAGCATAGCATAAATAAGAAACTCATGATGATAACCTTTAGTCTTTTTTTTTTTTTTTTGCTTGAGAAACAATACATATATATAGCATTATCTAAACGTTAAAGTATTCTGCACAATACAATAACAAAATTAGTAAGAAAATAACATTTTTCATCCAAACTTTATGCAATGAAAAAAATATTTATCGACCATGACACTATAAATTTAGTCGAAGGATAATCTTATTCACTCAACAACAAAAAAATTAAACATATCTTGTGGTACTACCTTGCTAATGCCAATGACCCCATCAACGCGTCCATGAAAACACCAGCTCGACTTTCATGATTTGTCTTGTACTGCGTTATTTCATATTAAACTAAGTAACTATGAATGATCCATCTAGTCAATTACCCTATTGAAATCATCTATAAAAATTGGTATTCATAAATTGAGTTCTTTTAAACTCACTCATTTTTCCAATCATGCCATGTTATCAAGAAATTTAGGATTTAACGATTAATCAAACTAAAACTTTCAAAAAACTAGTCACTTACTCTTTGCATAACAATATCATTGCTTTAATAGTTCTAAAAATCAATACCAATTTAAGAATTCTACATCACATATACACATTCAATACTGCAATTTAATATGCAATATTTGAATCAATGATATTTGGTTTGCAATTTTAAAATTAGTATCCATTAACAAAGAAAGTATTTTCGAGAGAGTTAGTGGGCTAGCTAACAATAGTGGAAAATTCATATAATTTGTAGATTTTAGGTTTTTAGATTTTGTATTTAAAAAGATACAAAACATTTCTTCAGTGTAATTGGTAGTGGTTGTTGTCTTCGTTTGAAAATACCATGGTTCAAATCTTGAGAATGATGTTTTTTTTCTTCTTATGAATGAAAAATAAATAATGATTGTGAAGACACAATTACCCTTCCTACTTTCGCTCTCGTTGCAGAAAATTTGAAATGTTGAAAAACTCCACGTATCAACGAATATAATATAACAGAGTCGCAAGTAGTTTTCCGTATTTAAAATTTCTTATTAAAAATTTAAAATTTTCTTGTAAAATAAAAATACATCCGTCTCAAAATTTGAATTTTGGTTTTTAAAAATAATACATCAAGTGACTTTTCTACTATAGTTAACTAGCTATTAAGTATTTTTTTTTTGTGTTTGATTTTTTTTTTTCAAATTTTAGTTATTTTACTACAAATTCAATAAATAAAATAATTTATTCATATCTTATAAATGGAGAATAATGTTAAAATCACAATTCAAATATCATTAGTTCCAATATTGGGTATTGAATTTGTAGAAGCGATGTATAATTCAGCTATTGATGGCATATTTATAAAAATGACCATTGTATATTAGTTTCCACCAAACTCATTAGTACCATGCCTTTTGGGGAGGATATCCAAATATAAATTCGTGCGGGCTTGGCCGAAAGCGTACAATATTGTAGCTACCTTGTCTCGAAAAATGGTATCAAAACCTTGTTCCGATTCGAACCAGGGTAGTGGACGTCAGTACGGCGGACCCTCATTCAATGACCTCGGGATTTGAGATTTGTGTTTGTTTGGAGTATCAAGGAAGGTCCACGTTTGTCTGATGGATCAAAGAGATCTTCATCTGGTCTGGTGGATCAAGATAATCGTTGAGGGAGGACACGATGTTCATGGTCCTTGTCTTGGGTGGAGGATTTGTTATGAAACAATTCAAGTACGTACCATATCGAAAATACAAGAGAACAGATCCTTACATAGTAGTATCCACCTAACTCAATTAATAGAAGGTCTTTTGGGGAGGATACCTAAAAATAAATATGTGCGATTAGCCCATGTAATTTGGACATTGTTAGTTATCAATATTATAAAGGTAAAGGGTATGCTTATGGTGACCTCCAAATCATCGGACTTGTAAGTGTTTTGAAAATCAGCGATCGATGGAGATCAGTGCATATAGTGGTTCTCAACTTCCCGAGCTAGCTCGATATGCTTTCATGATCCCAATCCCTGCTCAATCCTTCTCATATTCTCGATGCGGTGGTTGAAACCTTACGCATCCTCCGTGGTCGAATTGTTGATCTAAATATAACTAGCGTGGCCCCGGCCATTTGGCCAGAGGAATGTGAGATATGAAATTTGATAATGTTATGGGGTGTATAGTTTATTGTTGAATAGTTTTTTTTTGGGAAACACGTGATAAAAATAGTGAATTTTAGTAGGAAAGAGACGTGAATGATGCAACGAAACAAAAATCAGCCTTATGAAGAAAAATCAAGTACTTGTTACCTTGTGAAACAATATTGTTTCTGGTAATATGATGAGGTGGAGTAAGTTTTATAGAAACCAAATTCCAGAAAATCGAATAAAAATGGTCTATCCCGCCGGTTTTCGGGAAATGAGCATCTCACAATTGTTGCTAGCTTTTACTCGGCCCGTTGGCCGATTAATTTGCTTTATAAAACTTTCATCTTGTCATCATTGTGCTTTCTGGTTTTTTGCCAAGCCATGATAAAATCTAAAGAAATCAAGAATGAACAACTCAATTTGGGATAGGAACCACCGTTTATGTATTCCTAGAAAATGATGGTAAACACGGACTCACCTGCCAAACTGGTATGGATTGATATTTTTATCGGGTATCAGGGAACCATGTGATTATAAATTAGACTTGATCAAAACGGGCCAAAACTTGAAATTCAGCCTGTTTGACTGACCCATGCCAAACTCTAATTATTCTTTACTTTTAAACTTTCTATTTGAAAATAAAAAATAATGAAAGAAAAGAGATGACTGCAATTTTCCATTTGAACATCACTGATTCGGGAATAAAACTATAGAATTTCGAAAGGAAACTGAAAATGTTTAGGATCGTTTTAATGTTAAAAATAACCAAATAGATCTTTCTGTTTGATTTTTTACTAACAAATACCAAACGATTCCCTATAATATACACTATAATTTAATCATTATGATATCAAATAATTACATAATATATATTTGAAATGAAAAAAATTGGACTAATTGGGTTGGTCGAGGTTGAACCATTGAATAACTTTAAAATACATTGTATTTTAGCCACTAAGATATAAAATAATAGCATAATATATATTATGCTAGAGAAAATAGCTTCTTTTAGAGTGGCAAACTCATGATGTTCATTTGTTTTACTTGATGGGCAAATCCCGTGTAGGTCAGGCTCATTCAACTCTTTTATTTTATGATTAGCGATTAACCCATTAGAATCCATGCATTAGTTTATTGTTAATTTTTTTTTCTTTTTAGCAATAAAAAGGAGTATTGTTTTTGCATTTTCATATATATTTTACCACCACGGAGAAATAAAAGGACTTAAAAAAAATTGACACTCCTGGACCCGTTTAAATCTGCATGTGTACGGTAAGTTGGCCCGTTCCACAGAGTAAAAAGAAAAAAACTGACACCCCATATTCTACCCTTCCTATAAACGCTCCTGGAGCAAAGAATTTGAAATGGGGGAAGAGTTTTTTTCCTCTCTGCGATTATATTTTAATTTAAACTGATGCAACAAATGTACTTAGTTACGATTCTACTATCTCAGGTTAAGTGGTAATAAAATAATTGTTTAGTGTTGAAACCTATTTAATGATGGAATCCTATTTCAACACTGATAAGGTAATGGCCAACTAGTCGACCATTATTTTCTTTTTATGTGTAGAACTTGTGTCATCAGGCAACCACTTCATAAGTGGTTTATCGTTCTTTTCATTTGTAATGGTTGAATCCCGTTGTAAATGTAGCATTAACTCGACCATTTTGCGAATGTGTTCAACTGTTTTTAAGTCGTTGTATAACTTGGGTATAACTTCAAGTTAGGTAACTTGCATCTATCTATATCGTTAAAAAAAATACTAAAATCCATTTAGACTATTGATTACCAAAACAGTGGTAACCGGCAGTGCAGGTCATCACTTATTGATCTCTTACGAATGTTAAGTAAATACACATCTATTACGTAAAGGTGACGGAACGATAGTTAATTCTTACTATAACACTTTAATCAGAAGCAGTACGTAATCACGGGCTTGAATCATGGAAGCGATATGACAAATACATGATACTATTACTATGATAGGATTCGTCCAAAACGAAGATTCACTTCCACGATCACTTGTTAGTTTGAATGACTGTTCATCAGGAGAAACAGTTTCCTTTTTCGCGGGGCCTACAGTAGAAATGGATTCACCACCGCAATTTACGGGACTGGCGAAAATCACAGTTTCTGGAAGCTGCAATCGATCGCTGTCAAATATTAACGATCGGCGGGGCTCATGCATGGCCGTGGATTCAGTCTCGTTTCACGGATATCTGCAGATAAATAGAGCGCGCAGATGGTCCTTGCCGATGTGGGCCAAAAAAACCATGCTTATCAAGAACTCGGTAGGCCCGGGCCCGGAAAGAATTTCTGTGTTGTTTTTTTTTTTTTTTGGTACGAAAAAATTTTCTGGTTAATGGTGGAAATTCACAAACTAGTCATTTTCGGGGCAGGGAATCCAAAGACCATGCACCCATAAATGCGGTTTTGTTTTGGATCCATGTTTCCTGAGAGCGAAGTGCTTTGTTCTGCTGTAGTTTTTTAGAAATAGTTTTTGGTTTGAGCTTTTAGAGAAGTAATTTTTTTTAAAAAAAGTTGAGTGTTTAACTGAAAAACTATTAGAAGTAATCAAAACTAGGTCTCTTCTCTCTCGTTTTGTTAGCGATTCCCTTCGATGGCGGCTTCGCCGTCGGCTGCGGCCTCGGCAGAGGGAGCTCCTCCGGTGGGCAACACTTGGGCCTCGCTGTTCTCACTGGACCCTGCAAACAGAATGAAGTTTCGCTCCCCTGAGCGGAAGAATGACGGATTTCGACTTCCCCGTGAAGTGAAGAAAAGAGGATAGGAACGGTGGAAGGACAGCCTCATTGCGCAATTCATGGGTGATCCGCCAAAGCCGGTGGCTCTCCAACAGTGGGCAACTAGTCTCTGGGGAATGGATGGGCCAGTTCGGGTTTCCAAATTTGGCCCTCAATTGATGGTTTTCCAATTCCCCTCGGCTTCCACAAGTCGATGGGTTCTCCGATCAGGCCCTTGGCACTTCCAGGGCAATCCTGTATTTTTTCGGAAGTGGTCACCAGGCATCCAGCCTGTGCAACCGGAGTCAGAGACACTCCCGATTTGGGTGAAGATTTGGGGGATTCCCCTCGAGCACCATTCAGTGGAAGGGCACGAGTGGATAGCCAGTACAATTGGTCAACCATTGTGGATGGATCAGTCGACTCGGACTGGTGGACAATTAGGGTTTGCGAAGGTGTGTCTGGACCTTGCTGCAGATTGCGGATTCCCAGATAAGGTGAAGCTCTACCCAGACGAGGACCCTTCGTTTGAGGTAGAGGTGGAATACTTGAATAAACCTATCGTTTGTGAACGATGTTCGATCTATGGTCATGATTGTGATTGGCTTAGTAAGCAGGGGAAGAAGTGGGTGCCTAAGATGAAGGCTGTGGAAGTAGAAATAGTTGATGGGGGTGCTGGTTCCGTGGAAACTGTGTTAAAAGTGCAGGTTGGACAGTCACACGAAGGTTCAGATGTTCCCTCTAAGAGTGGTCCAATCTTGGACAAGGGTACTTCTCTCCCCCCATCAATTGGGAGCTCATCAGTGAGTTTTGTGGAAGCATTGAAAGGGCCATCAGGGAATCCTGGGAGCTCTTCCAAGCTTTTGCAGGTGGCTGCTCTAGTTAACTCACCAGAGTCCTCTGGGAGGTTAACTCAACAGTCAACTCCTGTTGGGAAGGAGAACAACCCCTGGATAACAGTTGAGAGCCAGAAGAAAAAGAAGCATAATCCACCATATGTTCCCCCAGAAAAAAGAGGTGGGAAAGGAGGAAAGAAGAGATGAAGATTCTAGTCTGGAACACAAGGGGATTTAAGGATAGTAGTAAGAATAAAGTTGTACAGCTTATAGTCAATTAAAAACAAATAGATATAGTAGCTATTCTAGAGCCAAGAATAAGGAAGCAAGAGTCTGAGGATTTGATACACAAGAGATTCCCTGAATGGGAAAGTGAGGTGGTGAATAATTCATGAGGGTTGGGAAATATATGGCTTCTGTGGAGGCAGGATGTCCAGCTCACTATTGTGGATAAGTCAGATCAGTTTATACATGTGTTGGTTAATTCAGGTATTCCCTTCTTTGCTACTTTTGTCTATGCTTCTAATGAGGAGGTCGATAGAAGGAGTCTGTATAGGGATTTGGTTAAGTTACGAATTTCTCAGTTGCCTTGGACCATTTTGGGTGATTTCAATGCTATTAATGACCCTAGTGAGGCTTCTTATAACCCTGCTTTTAATAGTAGTATGGAGGAGTTAAAAAATTGGCAGGACCAGTCTGAGGTTATTGAGCATAAATCAGTAGGTTCCTGGTTTACTTGGATAAACAAGCAATCACAAAATCCTATAGCTAGAAGGCTTGACAGGGTGTTTGTCAATATTGAATGGTTAAATAGGCTCTCTAATAGTGCAGTTGAGATGCTCGACCCCTCTGTATCAGATACTGTCCAATCCATTTGGATACTGATAGTTCCCTCAAATCTCTACCAAAACCTTTTCGATTTTTCAAGTTTTGGGTGGCTCACCCGTCTTTTTTAGATATTGTGAAAGAGGCATGGCATTCTGATGTCTCGGGATCTCCCCTGTCTAGAGTTTGCAAAAAGTTGAGGATCCTGAAGAAACTTCATAAAACTCTAAATAAGGAAGTATACTCAGACATTAAGGAGAGGGTGAAAATGAAGGAATCTGAATTGTTGTTTTCCCAGATGGAAGCCCTTTCCAACCCTTTCAGTGAGACTTTTGAGGCAGAACTGGTTAGGGGTAAAGAACTCAGGCAGTTACAGTTAGATAAAGAGTCCTTCTTGAGGCAGAAGTCAAGAGAGATCTGGGTTAAAGAGGGGGATTCTAATTCTCCTTTCTTTCATCAATCAGTCAAAGTAAGACAACAAAGGAACACTATCAGATCATTGCTGAATGAGGAGGGTGAGAGGGTTAATGACACTGACTCAATGTGTAAGGTAATAGTGGATTTTTATGAGAAACTCTTAGGGACTAAAGATGAGTTAGTTCAGGGAAGATCAGTCAACTTCTTCAGACAGTTATTGAAGAGGAAACTTCAAAGCTCTCAAACACAGGGATTGTGTAAGCCTGTAACAGTTGAGGAAGTTCGAAGTGTTATTTTTGGTTTCAAAGGAGAGAAAAGCCCTGGACCTGATGGTTTCTCAGCCTGCTTCTTCCATGTGGCGTGGCACATTGTAGGAGATGAGGTAGTGAAGGCAATTCAATACTGTCTGGCTCATTCCTCTATTCCTAATGAGGTAAACTCTACTATTTTAGCTCTCATTCCTAAGATCAAGAACCCTGAGGAGATGAAGTACTTTAGGCCAATCTCTTGCTGCAATATTCTATACAGATGCATTGCAAAAATAATTGCAAATAGACTTAGTGAGTGTCTGCCCCATGTGATTAGTAATAACCAGACACTGCTTTTGTAAAGGGAAGAGTCATTGGTGAAAACGTTATGCTAGCTCATGAGTTGGTGCAGAAATATAATTGGAAGAATATTTCACCTCGTTGCATTGTTAAAGTTGACTTAATGAAGGCCTTTGATTCAGTAGACTGGCAGTTCCTTTTGACTGTGTTAGAAGCTATGGGATTCCCTAGTTTGTTCTTGAAATGGATCTCTGTGTTGGGTTCAATGGTGGGATGGTAGGGTATTTTGCTGCTAAAAAAGGATTGCGTCAAGGGGATCCACTCTCCCCTTACTTGTTTGCAGTGGCAATGGAAGTATTTACTTGCCTAATGGAAGAAGCTGTTTCAGAAAACAGGCTCCCTTTTCACCCAATGTGTAAAAGGATTGGACTTACTCACTTAATGTTTGCTGATGATCTTTTTTTGTTCTCTGATGGGTCAAATTTTGGTCTTCAGTGCATACAGAGAGTCTTATCTGAGTTTAGACTGCTGTCAGGGCTTAAGTCCAATCCCTCTAAATGTGAACTGTATTGTGGGGGGCTACCCCAGGAATGGAAGGAAAGTATGGCTGCTTATGCTGGGTACAAATTATGGTCTCTCCCAGCCATGTATTCGGGTGTTCCTTTGATTTCAAACAAACTCACAGTCAAAGCTTGTAAACCTTTGATTGATAAGTTACTTAGCAGAATCCAAAACTGGGGGGCCAAGCTTCTGAGCTATGCTGGGAAACTTCAGCTAGTAATGTATGTTCTTTACAGTTTAGTCCAATTCTGGATGGTTATATTTGTTCTACCTAAAAAAGTGATTCGAGAAATTGAACAACTTTGCAGCAACTTTCTGTGGGGTGTGGGTTCAGAAGGGAAGGTTAGAGCTAATATGGAATGGGGTAAAATCTGTTTCCCTAGGAAGGAAGGTGGTCTGGGAATAAAGAATCTTGTCAGTTGGAATCAAGATTTTGTGGTCAGGCACATTTGGGATCTACTAATGCAGGGGGGTCTATTTGGGTTGCATGGGTGACAAGAGTACAGATTGCATAACATTGATTTCTGGTCTGCTACTAGTAAATCTGGCTCCTGTATATGGTTGAGAATGCTGAAGTGCAGAGAGCAAGTTCAGGGTCATCTATCTGTTATCAATGGAGTTGGGTCTTGGGATGGGAAGGTGCAGAAGAAGTTCCCTTTAAAGCAAGTTTGGGATTTCTTCCGACCAAAGCTTCCTGTTGTGAGCTGGTATAAGCTTGTTTGGAGTCAGCTTGCAATGCCAAGAGACCAATTCCTATGCTGGTTAATCATCAGAGGGTACCTTACTACAGGAGACAAGCTTTTGAGTTGGGGTTTTCAGGGGGACTTCAATTGTGCATTTTGTGCTACTGCTGTTGAGACCCTTAACCACTTATTTGCTGAATGCAGCAGGTACAAAAGCCTATACTCCTGCTTGTTCTCAAAATTCACCAGAAGGGTCCCTTCAAACAGTTAGGAAGATGAGTTAAACTGGGTTGTGACTGCATTTGCTGATCCTAGTGCAACTTGCAGAGTTGGGAGAATTCTTTGGCAATCATTAATCAGTAGTATTTGGCGCGACAGGTGTAAAGTTAAGCATGGGAAGCAAATTTTGAGCTTGGAAAAGGTGCAGGAAAGGGTGAAATCAGATTTGGAAGTGTTGTGTGAAGCTGAGGATGTGGGAAGGTTCTTGTGATTGAGTTCTCATTATTTTGCTAAATTCACTTGGCTCTAGAAAAGTAGTAAAATAGTGTTGCTTGTATTAATGTCCTAGTGGCAACGGTTGTTGCCATAATAGTTCTGTTTTTTTATGAAATCTAACATACCATTCATAAAAAAAAAACTATTAGAAGTGCTTTTTTAATATTAGAGGTTGTGTAAAATAATTATAAAGAACTTATAATATAAATTATGAAACAATAAAATGTAGTCAAAATGGATCTTATTAGACTTCTTTTATATTAAGTAATATGATTTTATAATTTATTTATTTTTAAAATGATATAAATGAAATAAAATAAAAATATGGTAAGGATAATCTTGTATTTTCAAACAGTTTTTCCTAAAAAAGCGCTTTTCGGCTTTTCAAAAGCCGAGCTTTTAGATGTGTTTGGCCCTGCTTCATCTTTTGAACTCGAAAAGCACTTCTAAAAGCCGGGCCAAACATAGGCATTACCATAGTGGCATAAAGTTACATTGCCTCCCAAAAACCCGAGTTATTGAAACCAATTGATTATTAATACAATAGTAAAGCGTTTTGTTTTTTGTGACTGAGAAGTCTTCCGTTTGAATTCCATTAACCCTATTAATATTGCACATAGTATCTTATGTACGTGCAAATTTCAAGCCCATATCAAAACCAACCGATTCTTTGACGTGGTGGAAAAGTTAACAAACCTCACAAAAGAAAACAATAAAAACTAGCTACTTGCCTGCCCTCCATCCTCCTTGTGACATGGGACGAAACTTGAAGGTTGTGGAGGAGGCTAATAATTGGATCGTGAACTTCATGCACTCTGGAACAAGTAACATATGCTTCGCCATGCATTATATTCTCCACATTCCTCCATGTCACATGGTCCAAAAGCTTCACATCTATGCCAAAAAAACCCGGTTGTAGCAAATAAAATGAGCAGACTAGACTAGACACCAGAGTTTCGAGACATGATCATAATCCCGCCCTTTTCATAAACACAAAACTTTTCATTCTCTATTTTATGTGTGGTTGAAGACTGATTTTTTTTCTTTTTACGGTAACCTGTTGAAAACTTCATTAATCTGTGTTTGGGGTTACATTATCACAATGCAGCTGACTAAGCTATGTGTGGTTGCAAAATGAGTTAGTTTGTTGCTGTTACAATTTGCAAATAAAATTAACTTAAAATTATTATTAAAAATTAGAAAGTAGTATTACACATGGCTCGTACTTAAATAACATGTTTTATTGTTTGCAAAAATGATTTCTTTTACGTTGTTGGGTTTTATTACGGTAAGAAATAAGATAATGAAACATATTAAATGTAAGAGAAAAATATTTACATAATACAAATGAATAATTTAAGTATAACTCGTCTAATTTTATTTTTTAATGAATAAAATATTTCATAATGTCTATATTTTCCAGTTGGCTCCATTCAAGCACTTTCTAACGCTACTACCATTTATCTCCAACTTGAAAGTCTCATCAACGCATTTTCTAACGATTACAACAAATATATATCACCACACTTATAAAAGAAAATAAATGAGGCAGACCAACCCTCATTTTCTATATAAGAAAAATATGTTATTTATTCCCGGATACTATAGGCCGATTACTTCATGCTCCCATATCTACAATTTTTTTTGGTGGAATCCCATCTCTTCATTGATTGATAAAGGAGGGAGGCAGGGAGCCCATATGCTCAAGAATTTATGTCAATCACACACTTCTCTCTTTTTTTTCAAAAGGAAAACATCTCTTGTCACGTTGGGTGACAAAACACCTAAGACCAGCTCATTTACGTTATTTTGTGCTCATTCGCGTCATTTTATGTTCATTCACGTAATACTATGATGATTTATGTAAGAGTGTAAGTTTTTCTGGAAATTCAGACTTTCCCCCCTTATAATTTGTATTGGCTATACGTTATGAAATTAAATTTGGATTATCAATTAAACTGTAAAAATATGTTGCATTGATCATAATCTACACAATGACATCCATTTTGATATATTTTAAAGTTTAAAATTTTATTTTACACCGGCGTGAATAATTAACAATATGCGTGAATGAACATCAGGTTGCGTGAACTAACAATATTGGTTGCGTGAATAACGCAAATATGACCTGAATGAAACAAATATGACGTGAATACATCAAATATGGTGTGAATAACCTAAAATCAGGTGTTTTGTCACCTAACGTGACAAGCAAGGTTGTCAAACTGGTTTGTGCCAGTGTGCCGGTTTAGCAAGTGAAATGGTTCGACCGGTGGTACATATCGGTTTGTGCCGGTTCATGCCGGTTAATATTACAAATAATTTACAAATACTCATATTTAAGCACAACATTTAACGTCAATACCTAAATATTTGTACTTGAATCCAACAAATAGCATCAACATTTAACTTTTTTAACACATAAAATAAATAATAAATTACTTTTATCAAATAAATTCACTAATATAAGATCATTTTACTTAGAGATTCGTATATCGATCATGCCGGTCATACCGGTGGTGTCATACCGATTTTATGACCGGTACAGGTTCAACCAGTGGCACGCTGGCCGGCGTGACAACCATGGTGACAAGAGATTTCACTCTCTTTCAAAATACAAACAAACCATATAATACCAAATACCTTCACCTCTACTCTATAGCTAGCTGCTACCAATAAGCCACAAGAACAAACCCAAATTTCCCTACTTCTTCATCTCTCTTCTTAAAGCAATCTACCCCTTCTTTTTTCTTTATTGAACTCCACCAAGAGCTAAGAACAGGGTAGCCGCCATGATTTGCTTTACCGGGAAGAAGAAATGCAGCAGTGCTAAAGAAGGAGAGAGAGTGAAGCTACTGGAAGAGGAGTTGGAAGCAATCATGTACGACAGAGAGAAACAGAGCAAAGCCTATGAGAGGGATTTCATGGTTTTCGCATTCAAGGAAGCAGAGTGGAAGCAAGAGAAGAGGAAGCTCGAGGAGGAAGTCAAGAGGCTGAAGAAGCTTGTGGAAGAGAAAGAAGAGATAGAATGTAATAATGCAGATTGGCAACTCGCAGCTGGGACTGCCACTAACTTGTTGCTGCAGCAAATGAGGGAGGAAAGGGCACTCAGAGATGCAGCTGCTGATAAATGGAAGAAGCTCTACCTTGATATCAAATCCGAGCTTGATGATCTCATTCAGAACACTCATCCTGCTGGTAATTGGTTCCATCTCTTTCTTTTCTCCGCCTCTCTCATGGCTGCAATTTCATTATACATAACATAACCATGAATGAGTTTCAAGTTCCAATCTTTTTGAGCCTAGCAGTCAGTTTAAGGAAAGTTACAGAAACCCAATTCAGTGCATAGTAAGATTAAGATACTACTGTTCTCTGTTCTTATCATGGCTAGGCATGACATGGTCTTTTGGGTTCTGTGGATGATTTGATAAAATGGAGTATCTATCTCAGCATAAATCAACCAGTTTTTTTAATAGGTGGGAGGAGTTATATCATCTCATCTCATCTAACATTCAAATGTCCCATCTCTCTTCCTCTGTATTTTTCATTGTTCACTTATTCTACTGTTCCTGCAGTGGAGGTGACGGCTCCTTTTGACAAAATAACACCCATATAAAGTAGAGACAAAAGAAAATAGGTTTTCATGAAAGTCACTCGCATATTCCGATGGTGCTAAATGACATATGGATGGCCATGAGTTAGTTGCGGTTTCAGACTCTGCCCATTTCGCCTTTTGTTCCCATCTGGTTCAAACTCCTGAAAGAGAAAGGACGAAACTTTAGCATCCTGGTGGTGACCAACTGACCATAGCAATGATTTTGAAATCGTATGGGAAATTATATTGTAAAAGGTAGTGTTAATGTATTTTGTATTAAAACTGCTGCTCAATCATGCTTCATTCGTTTTGTACTGTTAAAACTGCCTATTGTTTGGTGTTCAGTATCTGGTATTTCTGATCTAACTAGCCGGTATTGTAGGGTATCTAAACGTTGGGTCATAGTATAGTTAAGATTGATTATGTATTTTATATAAACTCACGTGCTCGAAGTTTGTACTTGGCCACAGGTGCTTAACTCAAGTGTTAATATTGGATGTCGTGGATAATGAACACACGGTTACTTGATCAAATCAGTTCTAATACCATATCATAAATCAATTGGTCTCAATAATTTGAATAATATTTTAATTATGGAACTTTTATAATTTTCTTACAGATCATTTGATAAACCAAACCAATCTTCCCTACCTGGTTTTAACTTACATTCAAACAAAATGTTATTTCAGGAGGTGGATTGATGTGCCGCAGAGCAGCAGAGGAAGAAGAAAACTTGATGATACAGGAGCTGAAGATGGAACTGAAGTTGAAGGAAGAGACGATAGACGATCTGAAAGCGAGACTCGTCGCGGCGGAGCGGGGAGAGTTCAACAGGGCACGGGAGGCAGACATTCTGCGGCAGAGTTTGAGAATCGTCGGCAGCAGGAACAAGAACAAGAAGCCTTCCACCAGCTTCGTCCTCGGCGGTAAAGGTAAACCCAACTTCTCATTCGTCAAACGGGTGGTGAAAGTACGTAGCAGCGGATTAGGAGCATAATTGTTACAGCAGAATTAATGAAGACGATGATCATTCATCAATGTATAGAAGGACAGCAAGTGCATAATGATAATGGTGATTCTGCAGTAATTGCTGCTGTGGTTTAGTTTTTCGCCAAATGGAAACATTCAAAGTGTGGAATGAAGTTATGATATGCTGGACCACAACTAAGAGTTAAAAGAAGTGACCTGCAAGAGAACAGTTATGGCCGGAGCCCACGCACTTTTAGTGGCAGAGAGCAGTGAATGTGATGAACAAAATGATAAAAAGGCTGATAGTAGACCTTAAAGTTACTTAGAAAGTATTAGGGGGGTGTACGATGGGTCGGGTGGATCGGGTTAATCCGCTATTTTCGTGATAGATACAGATACAAGTTTATGGTAACTTCAATGCACAATGCGTAGAGAAGCAGGATCGAATCGTCAATGCAGCAATTTGGTTACGGATTATGGGAAGAAGATTGGAGAATTACGGTGGAACCATTGAATCAACCGGAGAAGGAGGAGGAGAATTACTTACCATGAGTCCATGACCAGATTTTGGTAACCTAATACAACCAATCAAGTGATACTATCACAAATTCACAATCGTCATCTTCGAAATTCATTCTGGAGCTATGGGCTCTTTCTACACACCTGACTATTTTCCTTTTGGGCTTAGGTAAATTCCATATTAGGTTTGGCCTATATTATTGGGCCCATAATGATGTTATCCATCAGATATCATGGATAGACAGGATAGTAGGTAGGGATGGCAACAAAATCCGAACCCACGGGTACCCACCCGACTCAATCTGGTCAACGCGGGTAAAACCCGTGTTGACGGGTTTTGGGTCGGGTTTGGGTTTAAACCTGCTACACTATTTATCGGGTTGGGTTGGGTTTGGGTTTAGGTAAACCCGACCCATGGGTACCCGCCCACACCCATATAATTAATTTTTCCGGGTTATTTGCAATATATCTTTCTTAAATAACTAATCTTCTTTATGTTTGTGGAGACATGTCTAATTTATTCTTTCAAATTGTGTACAATGAAGTTGATATTATCGAGTGGAGAGTGAAGAAGTTTAGTTGACAATGAGGAAGGAGCTTTCAATTAATCATGTTGTTTATAGATGTTTATCATTAATTTGAACAATTTGTATTGATAATTTCGGCTTTGCTTGTATGCTCTAGATTAGTGTTTTTTGTAAGGATAATTTTTATGAGAAAATTGATGTTAGACTTTTTATTTTGAAAGAAATTTGTTATTGTAAATTTTTTACCACAAAAATCCACGGGTACCCATGAACCTGCGGATACCCAGCGAGTGGGGTTGGGTTTGAGTTTTTCAAATCCAACGGGTTTTACCCCGGGTTTTTTTGGCGGATAAACCCATGGGTTTGGGTTCGGGTTTGGCAAAACTCGCCCCAACCCGACCCATTGCCATCCCTAATAGTAGAGGTATAAGCTTGACTTGGATGATCCACTGACTCGTTCCGTCCCTGAGGGTTGAGACGTGTCAGTTTGTTTATAGGGTCAAATTAGAAACGACTCATTTGTTGATCTTGTAAGGGTCGGGATGGGCAGGGACAACTTAGGGACGGGTAGCTTTTTGACCCCCTGACCCTTAGTAACAACAAATATCTCATACTACATTGGGTCTTTTTGTAAAATTTTAAAGGGGTAGGTACTAAATTGTAAAAAAAAAAATATCTCATACTACATTGGGACATTTAAGAATTTTACCAGTACTTCATATACTAATACATCGTTGTTGAAAATTCATACAAGCCAAACAATGCATTTTAATATTATATAAATTCTCATATAGAATACGTAACTTCCTCAAATATATGAATTCTACATTACCAAACCACCCCTAAATATTTATATAAAAATTCTGAATAACTCTTCAAGATCTATATATCACATATACTTTGTTCTTTGTTCGGTTCGAATTTGATGGAGAACATTATACAAATTGGATAAGGGAGGAGAGACTCAATTGGAGGCATGAGACGATTTGTGTAGACATCATAAATGTTGTTGATAGGATGGTTTGTAGTGAGATGGAATTTCTGGATTCAGTGACAAAAAATTGCGTTTATGTGAAATTTGAATAGATAGACCATCATATCCCGTAATTTTGAAATTATCATAATCTATTAAAACCATACATCTTTACTAAGATCGCCAGAAATTTGTTTACATAAACTTTTGTATTCATCACAACTATTCTTCACAATTTTGAACAAAATTGGAAGGCAAAAACATAAATCATTACACACAAAGGAAACAAAAAAAAAAAACAGTAAAAAAGAAATACGAAACTTATATATAAAAAATAGCTTAGAAAATTTAACTCTCAAACACTTTCACCATCGAGAAACGAAGAGAGCTATACTTGTATTATGAGTTCCAAGTTTTTTTTTATTCTCCATCCTCCTCCTCCTGCATTATCTTGAATCATCACTTCCTCTCGCCCATTCCAAGCGTGTTCTTCACGGAATCCACCGCCCCCTGCGCAATATTCTTCACCGACTCACCAGTCTGCTGGAGAAGGTTGGCCCCTTTATCCGCGCCTTCTTGGGCCGTCTCCTTGGCGGACTGGGCCGCGCCCACGGTCCTGTCCTTGGCCGCCTGGGCCGTTTCTCCCTTCAGCCCAAGGGTCTCCTTGGTGGAGTCCGCGGCCCGGGAGGCCCTGTCCTTGGCGGCCTCGGCCGCGGACTCGGCGTTGCCCTTGGCCGTCTCCGCGGCGCTGGCGGCCTTCTCCTGGCCGGCGGCGGCCTTTTGCTGGGCGCCTTCCTTGGCGGATTCGGCGGAGCTGGCGGTTTTGTGGCTGGCGGAGTCGGCCTTCTGCTGCATGCTGTCGGTCCACTCCTGGGCCTTCTCCTGCCCCTCGGCCCTGCTCTGTTGCATGCTGGCCATGGCGCTTTCTTGGTTTTGGTGGTTTAGTTTACGGTGGGGGAAAGAGGAAAGAGAGCGAACAAATTAGATCGTGTGTTTTTATTTGGTTTTTATTGTTTGAGGATGTTGGAATGAGGTGAGATTAACGATAGTTTATATAGTTAGTGGAGGTGGGTTTTGGAGAGTGGTGGACCGCGATTTTCTGCAATTGAAATGGGTCGATGGATGGATTGAATTGAATTGTTTGACATTTTCAAGTGTCGACACAAAATAATTTACTATTTGATATTTTCAAGTGTTTTTTTTTTACGGATTTTCAATACACATTTGGTTCATCAATTAGATTATTTCAAACCTTTCTTATGACGCGTATTCGCTTATAACTATGTTCTTGTCTATGTAGGTTAGAGTTCGAGGATCGTATCAATGTTTTTTATTATTTTTGTTTGATGCTCGGAATTCTGTGCTATCTAGATTAATGCACGTTATTTCCCTCTTGAGTACTGGCTTAATGGATTTGGTTGTCTGTGGAGAGACAAACCATATTGAATTGAACATCGTTCATCCTCTCTGTATTCATGATTTATCATTTCTCCATCATTTCTTCTCGACAGTTCGCAATAGAACTGTAGTTGTTCGAAAACATAATATACCATGACATATCTATGATGTTGGAAATTAACATGTCATCGACCAACTATGAATTTGCTAAAGGAGATTTGATTCTTCCTTGAAATGAATCTACCATTGATCAATGTAAATCATACGTAATCCAGTAGTTCAACATAGGGTCGGAATCATTCGAACAGTGGAAATCAAAAGGTAGGGAGTGCCCTCTAGAAGCCAAGTAGTCGGCATATTTATTCTCTCTCAGGTGCTCTATGTTAATGACATTTCCCTTGCACTCTTTTTTTATTTATTTAACTGATCAGTTTTATTAATAAAGTGAGAGTAGTGTAAAAAGTATTGGAGCCCAAATGGAGAGACAACAAAACAACTAGGATTAAAGTAAAGATTACCCAACAAGCCCAAACTAGCTAGTGCAACAGATCAGTTTTCCATGCGCCACGTGTCCTCCCCATGCATGTACGAACGTGCCTTTTCCTACCGCAAGTTTTCCCTTTCCATTTTTCTCTTCTCCCAACGGCTGAGAGCTGTCGCCGGCGAGTCGGAAATTGGACGATCAGATCCCAATGGACGGGTGGCCGTGAAGTTACCGTCTCCGACAAAATAAGGTATTGCGCTTTGCGCCAGCAAGTAAAAGTCAAACATACGCCAAGCCAAAATAAGGTAGGATTTTCTGCCTCCTAGGGCACCTATAATAAATGCATGCCACCAAATGGGGTGGGAATTCGATCTTATTTTTTGGGTCAAAAGGGAAATAGAACTTGGTTTGGCTGCAGTCAGAAACCGTATCTATTTGGTCCCAATAATTCGAGTTGTTCGGAGAAGGTTAATTATGTTGGATATTATACTACACTCTAACATGTCCCCTTAAACGAAAGCCAACTTAAATAATTCGAGTTGTTCGGAGAAGGTTAATTATGTTGGATATTATACTACACTCTAACATGTCCCCTTAAACGAAAGCCAACTTACGAGCTTGAAGTTTGCACAGGACCACCATATCTTGTGCTTTAATAAACTGATAATATTGGGGGTCGTGGAGATTCGAACACAAGACCACGTGCCCAAACCAGCTCTAATACCATGTCATAAACCAGTTGGTCCCAATAACTCGAGTTGTTGGGAGAATGTTACATTGGATCTTATACTAGTCTCTAACACGCGCCCTCACACGAAAACCAACCCATGGGATTTAAGTTTGCACAGGCCCACCATACCTTATGGCTTATGCTTTAATCAAGTGTTAATATTGGGGGTCGTGGAGATTCGAACACACGACCACTTGGCCAACCAGCTCTGATACCATGTCAACAACCAGTTGATCCCAATAACTGGAGTTGTTGGCAGAAGGTTACGTTGGGTCTTATACTACTCTCTAACACGCGCCCTCAAACGAAAGCCATTCCATGGACTTTAAGTTTGCACAGGCCCACCACACCTTGTGCTTTAATAAACTGTTAATATTGGGGGTCGTGGAGATTCGAACACACGACCACTTGGCCAACCAGCTCTGATACCATGTCATAAACTAGTTGGTCTCAATAACAAAATGAACTAACACGAGAATGTGATATACATGTACAAAATTTACATTTCCCACATTTGTGGGTTTTTTTGTAAAATTCTCGCATGCGTTTAGTCATACGAATATGAGAATTAGACCCAATTACTTTATTTTTTAAAGTATTAAACCCAATTTGCAGTACACATTTCCACAACCAAACCTTAATTAATTAGTTGTTGGGATTCTCCGTCTTAATTACCCTACGATGAATCAAAGTGACAGCTAGTTACATTGTCAGTTACCACTACATAACTGCTTAATTTAGTGGTGGTAAGCGGGATGAGATTAGGTGCTAACCCTTATAGGGGTTAGCACCGTGATAACTAGCAAAAATCACTACGAATTATTATAAAATCAATACAACATCTAAGCTAAATCACTACTAATTCAAACTAGTAGTAGTTTTTCCCTTGATTAGGACGGTGCTAACTATTGTACAATTAGCACCGTAACCCCTCCCGGTGGTAAGCACACCAACCAAACTGATGGCATGATACTTAAAACAAATGCCTAAATTATAGAAACTAATTAACTGCATTGACAGAGTTCTCATCCTTCCAAATAAAAACAATTTCAATGACTCATAATAAGAACCAAAGCTAAAATACAACCTTCCCCCAAATATCCAACAATAATACCACACCACCCATCACAATCCACATCCCACCCACATACCCTCAGAACTGACTTTACATTCAACATTCCAAATTTCAAACCCCCCACTTTAAAGAACAAACAATACTTTTCCTAAACCAAAAATTAACCCATAATTAGTAAAATCCCAAACCCAATGAGGGTGAAAAAAACGCCCTAAACACTTTGAGGAGTTGTGGCCGCCGGTTCGACCCTGCTCAGCGGAAACCCGCCCTTCTGGTCCGGGTCATCCTGGTCATGGTACGCGTAAGCGAACCCGCCGTGCCGCGTCAGATCCATCCCCGCCAGCTCATCCTCCGCCGAGATCCTCAACAGCTTCAGCTTGTGCAGTATATAAAACAGCGGGCCCATCGTGGCGCTGACCCAGCCCACAATCACCACCACCTGGACCAAATGGGCCGCCAGCAGCCTGCCCCCGCCGCCCATAAAAAGCCCATACGGCCTGTTCGCCACGCTCGGGTACACCTCCGCCACGTACTTCTCCGACGCGAACAGCGCCGTGAAAATCACCCCCCACATCCCGCAACCGCCGTGCAGCTGCGCCGCCTCCAGAGGATCGTCGTACTTCAGCTTCTCCGCCAGCTTATTGCAGCCCATGAGCACGAGCGAAGCCACGAACCCGCAGATCACGGCGGCCCACGGCTCCACCACCGAGCAGCTCGCCGTGATCGCCGCCAGCCCGCCCAAAAGCCCGTTGCAGACGTCGGTCACGTTCCAGTGACCCGACATGACCCGCTTCCCGAACAGCGTCGTCAGCGCCGCCGTGCAGCCGGAGAGCGTCGTCGTCACGGCGGTCCGCCCAATCGCGCTCCACTGGCCGTAATAGGCGTCTGAATCCGGGTACGGGGCGAGGATTTTGGCGAACGAACCCGGGTTGAACCCGTACCACCCGAACCAGAGCAAGAAGGTGCCGAGGACGACGAGGGAGGCGCTGTGGCCGCGGAGCGCGACGGACCGACCCGACCCGCCGAACCGCCCGATTCGGGGGCCTTCGATTAAAGCGCCCCAGAGACCCGCGATTCCGCCGACCATGTGGACGACGCCCGACCCGGCGAAATCAATCACGCCCGACCCGAAAAGCAGATCTGAGGATTTCGCGGCGCTGGCCCATCCGTCGGGGGACCAGAACCAGTGGGAAACGACTGGGTAAACGAATCCGGTGAGGAAGGAGGAGTAAATTAGGTATGCGACGAATTGGGTTCGCTCGGCGATTGAGCCGGAGGTGATTCCGGCGGCGGCGATTGCGAAGGCCCACTGGTAGAGGAAATAGCTGTAATCGAAATTGGAGGAAGGGAAAGATCCGAGGGCGAAATTGTGGCGGCCGATGAAGCCGTTGGAAGGGGTGCCGAAGGCGAAGGCGAAGCCGAACATGTAGTAGAAGAGGCCGCCGGCGGCGGCGTCGAGGACGTTGGTGAGCATGATATTCATGGTGTTCTTGGCGCGGACGGAGCCGGCGCAGAGCATGGCGAAGCCGAGCTGCATCGCGAAGACGAGGTAGGCGGAGAAGAGGAGGTAGGTGTTGTCGACGGCGTACTGAGTGGCGGTGAAGTTGTCGGAGGCGGCGGTGAATCGGTCGCAGATGAAGGAGGCGGCGGCGGTGGAGTTGGGGCCGAGGAGCCGCGCCAGCTCGTCGACTGGGCAAGCCATCGCGGTGGCGACGGAGGAAGAGGGAGAGGGAGTGAGTGAGAGAAAGATTGAATTGGGGAGGTTCCGAGGAGTGAGTGGGTTTTTTGGAGAAGGGAAAGGGTCAAAATATAGGAGGCTGAGGGGAAGGAGACGACTCAGAGCTTTTTTTTTTCCCTTCTAATTTTGAATTATTTGTTATTATTAACTTATTATTATTGTTGATTTATGTGAATCTCAACAGTTTCTTTGATTCTTTTGTTTTTTTGACAGAGGGGACTTCTGTTAGAGATTTTGTTTAGAACGGTTTTATAAATTAATTTCTATTTACTTTTCACTCTTTTGAGAGCGAAAAGAAGAAGAAAGCAACATTCCATAAAATATTTTTTTTATAAAAAAAATCTAATGTTGTTTGGTTGATTAAGTCAATAAATTCGTTCGGACGTAGATTCTGTGTTGATACAAATTTAGATTTAGATTCAACTGATGAGTTAAACCTTGTTTGGGAAAAATTGGCACCTAATTTTAAGCTATACAAGGTATCTTTTGAATCTTGAATCTTTCTTTTCCTATTTTTTACATGATATTTTTCTAATTTTGATATTCTATTTTTTTTACCTCTACTTGTGATATATTTTATGCAGCAAGTTGTGTCAGATAAGTGAAAAGGCGAGCAATTCACTTTATGTACGATTAATGGTCTAATATTTTTTTTTTTACACTAGAGTTCTTTTGAGATTGAGGAATTTTAATAATCTAAACTGTGTATATAGAATATACACACATTCATGTATGATTCACGCTAGCATATGTCTGGTATTTGGCACATGATATTATATAATTCATAATATGTGAACAACGTATTGTTTTCACTCTCTAACCCAAACCATAATATTCATTTAATTTAATATTTATCCAGACTACTTACAACTACGAGTTCCACTATCATACACAACTGATGCAGTTCACAAAATACGGCATTGTGCCTTCTGGAGGAATTCAGTACATAGCATCATTTTAAAGGATGTAGTGAGTCTAGTGACTGCAACATTTTCCCATTTTGTGCTATACCATTTCAAAATCGAGTATTTCTCTCAAAATTAAGTCGATTAATAGTTAAAATTATTATCCCTCACTTCAAATGGGTAGAATAATCAGCTGCACAACCACCGCTCATCATTACTAGCTTTTTACCCGGCCCGTTGGCCGGAGAGGTTTATTTTATAATTTATATGTTTAAATCTTTTTTAATCTTTTAAATATTTTATAACAGAGTTTGTAGTATGTCTATATTGAAATTTCCAATATTTAGCACACTCACTTGTGATGCTTCGGTTTTTGAATCATAAATTATGCCGCTGTCACGTCCCATTTAGAACTTATGACAAAATTTGTCAACCACAACACTAATATTTAGTGTACGCCAACATGAACCACACACACACATATATATAGTTCAAGCTAGCGTGCGCTAGGAGTACGCTATACTCTTGTGTTCATACTACCATACGACCATTGAGTTTTACTATTTAGACCCGAATTAACCGGAGTTTTTTGGGGCATGATACTATACCCTAACCTCTAATAGGTGAACTCTAGTCCCTAATTCTGTAACCTCTAATTTATGCACATACTTCGTAATACCTATCTTCTATCGTATTTTGAGTTAAATAAAGTATAGTATACATTGATATTACATATATATATGTGTGTGTGTGTATATGTATATTAGACTCAAAATTATCTAGGGATCTCGCTTTTACCCCCATAACGCCAGACAACCATTGGTGTTGTCTATCGATCGATGTGTAATATATAAAGAGGCAAATACTAAGATCCTACTATTTATTTCTTATCCTCTCCCGCCGTCCCCTTTATGGAGAATAAAAAGGTAGGGATGACAGGATCATAGCTCAATATGGTTTTATTATGTTCATCGTATCGAAGGTTATGTTCTTTTTTGCTTCTTTTTCATTCTACTTTATCACCTATGGTTGTGATCAGAGGTATTTAGCCCTCAAAAGGGGTTGGGATTTTAGGTTCTTTGGAAATCCAATACACATTCATGATCCTCGAGTTTGGACGAACTCTCGACCAATATTGTAAAAATTATGACTTTTTAGTGAGAAATTCTTAGTAAAGATACTTCATTATTGGATTTATTCATCCATATTGAAACTTGACACACACCGTAGCCCTCATGATGACTAAATTCTCTAATATCGACTCATCTTCATTTTGGATGTTTGTTTTTTTATCCAGACACTTAAATTTAGTATATTATACAATATGTATCAATTGTTAATTCTTGAAGTTTATACTAAATCTCAACCGGTGGTCATTGTTTATATGTTGGCTTAGAATCTCAATCTAAGGCACTCACACACACTATCGAGGATTTTGGTCATAACATGATCGTTGAATGTGTAATTTTCAAAGACTTTACACATATATATTAATAATTGATAAAGAGTGTCTCCAATACACTCATATTTTAAGTGCATTTAAAATGTCTTATTTCATTTGATTATTTGCATTAACTTATTATCTTATACAACATATATTAATTCGTGTTTCTCGAGTCTAGACGAACTGACAACCAATTTTGAGAGTTGAGATTATTGGATAAAGATACTTGATTGCTAGATAAATATGTTTATTTTCAAAGGTAATTGAATGTCAAATGTTTATTTTCTCTCTTTTCATATATATTTTGGTTTAATCGATTAAAATATAATTGTTTATATGTATGTTTGTTTATTTGTTTATCAAAATGTAACTTATCATTGAATTTAAGTAAAATGAGTAGAAAATTTATTTCATAAGGTTAATCAAATTTTTTTATTTAAATAAATGTGATATATGTCACTTTCTGTTTTCTTATTTATATTTTATTTATTTAACAAAAAATTATTATTTATGTGTGTTTGGTTAAGTTTATCAACATGTAACTTATTATTAAAGACAAAAAAAAATTAATGGATAAATGAAAAAGAATAATTGAATAAAAGAAATGAAAATATTAAAGAAGAGAGAGGTAGATCCATAAATATATTAATAACTAATTTTGTTTTTGTAAAAAAGTTGTCCAACTTGGCAAATTGTGGATCCTCCAAGTGCTTATGTGGCAAAAATTATTTTTTGAATTGCCATAATATATAGTATAGATAGATGCTTGTATTATCTTCTTATAAACGCTTTTTCTTAACAAATTTTTTTTTCATGAATCATCAAGCAGAACAAACAAACAAAAAAAATACGCAGGGATTTTGAGAAATAATTTTTGAGATTGTTTATCCAATAAATTTGATTTTTTACCTTGGATTTATCTAGCACGAGGAGAAATTTTACAATGCTATATAGTATTGGTGCTATAGAATTTTGCCTTTATGGAACAACTTAAAACTGTACGTTTACGTTATAGTACAACTTCAGATTGTACCTATACTTATTGTACAAATTCTTTTATGGTACAACTTGAACTTGTACCTTTATGTGATGGTACAACTTCAAGTAGTAAAGTTGTACCATAACATAAAGGTACAAATTGCTTTATGGTACAACCTAAACTTATACATTTAATGTTATGGTACAACTTTAAGTTGTACATTAAAGCACCAATACCTTTATATGATCTCCAAAGCTTCTACTGATGGGACACGATACGCCTCCTCGGGCGCCTCGTTGAAGAGGATCCGCACGGCTGCGCGCGCGCTGGCGGTGGCTGATTTCAGCCGCCTTCCCTCCTCCAACTTCTGCCTCAGATCGATCATGCCGGAGATAGCCTCGATGGTCAGCCTCACCCGGGCGGGGTTGGTCTCAGGCTCGACCTCAAAGGGGGGAGGTGGCAACTCGCCGCCTCCCATAGGCGCTTCCTTTTCACCGTGTGCGGTTCCGTCCTTGCGATTGCTCCTTTGAGGCGCCGCCACCTTCTCCTCCTGCGCCATGAAGGTTCGTTGCGCCTTATCCTCCCCCTTCTTCACAAATTCGTTCAACATCCCCCTATCCACTAGCCCCTGGATTTCTGACTTGAGTTGATAGCAGTCGGCCGTGTGATGCTCCCATTCGCGGTGGAACTCGCAGAACCTATCCAAGTTCTGCTCGTTGGGACGTCCCCGCATGGGGCCTGGCCAGAGGAGGTGGTAGCCCTTGTCCCTAGCATACTACAAGACGTTCTTCAGAGAGTCGTTGAGTTCGGTGAAGTTCGCCGCACTCCGGGGTGCGAAGCGCCGCGGCTTGGGTCGGCGAACGTTCTGAGGACAGCTCTGAGGATTATGTGGGACATGGGGCATTCGGGGCGCTCTTGACCCCTCATCCTCTTCAGGCCGCGCCTCTCTTCGTTCCATCTTGCGGCCAACGTGTCTCCTCCAGCATTATGACTTTCTGCACCCTGCGGTCCAGGTCCTCCGTGGACACAACGTCCCGCTTCGACAGCGCTCGGCAAAGCTCTTTACTGGTGGTGCATTCATCCAAACATCACCCCAGGACCGGGGGCTTGACATCTTTGACTGCCATCGCGACCGACATCCATCGTTCGTAGAAGTCCCAGAGCGCCTCGCCTTTGCGCTGCCTGACTTTGAACAATGCGCTAATTGTTAGGCTCCTGCGCTTCCGGTTGGCAAACTTTGAGAGGAACATGGCCGCGAATTGCTCAAAGCTCTCGATCCTCCCTTCTTCGTTTTGATGGTACCAGTCTAGTACCACGCCGACGAATGTCGACGGGAAGGCGCGGCACAACGTGGCGTCCGAGCTATTGTACAGCTGCATCTTGGTGAAGTAGTTGTTCAGGTGATCTTCTGGATCGGTCGTGCCGTCATAGCTAGGAAGCGCCGGTATGATCGAGTTGGCCTGCTCCGCTAAAACGCTTCGTGCCCGCGGCTGCCTGACTCCCCAGAGCCGCCAGAGGCGCCTCGTCGCCCACCCATTATGCTCGTCGAAGTCTGGTGCCATGTGCCGGGTCAGATGACCTAACTCCTCTGTGCGCTTCAGGGAACTGGACATGCCCTCCTCGTCCTCGTCTCTCTCTCTCTCTCTTCCTTCCGTTGGGGGGAGGCGCCGCGTCCCCCCCCCCCCCTTCTTCAGAGTCTACACTTCCTTCCTCAATGCCTCGAGCGCCTGGTCTTGGTCCTCGATTATGTGAATCAAGTGCTCCTTGGTGATCGTGACGCCCTCCGATTGGGCTGTCTCCTGCGCCTCGTCTCCCCCTCCTTGCACTTCTTCCGACAAGCGGGGCACCTCCTCCGACCCCGCTTCGTTGGGGGCGCGGTTTCTCTCCCCTGTCGTCTCCGCCGCTTCTTCCATGGTCTCCTTTATTTTCAAGGCTATATTCCCCTATCTGGCGCGTCAATTGTTTGTGCCACGTAACCCGACGTCCCTAACGGCCGATGCGCCTTCCTTCTAAGAACTCACTCCAACCTCGCGCCTCGTTCCTGCACACCAAAGCGCCCAACGAGCCCCTCGCTTGGGGCTCGTTAGCACTCCGACGCCCAAGTTAGAACAGTCTTTCTAGAGAGAGAAGTGAAATGTAGTTTTTAGAGAGAAGTTCCAACCTGAGTAAATGAGCTCCACCAACTTCACTATTTATAACAGGGTAGGGTCGATCATTGCCCCCCAAATCCGCCCCACGTCATCATCTCATTAAATGCACCGTACTTTACTCCTGCCATGCGCCCCGACATTCTGACACAGGCTCTGAACCTCGAAGCGCACGACCCCACATCCTGTTTCCTCCGTTGTCCCTTTTATCGTCATGCACTTTACGTCATGTCTGGCCCCACCACCTAAGTTATGGTCTCAGGCCCCCTCTGGGTTGGGCTTTTCCTTCGTTATGCCCGCACCTCAAGGCCATTTTGACTTCTTGGGCCTCCCCTTGGGCCCTTGTATGCCCCCCACAAACACATTTCAATCTTTTAAAACGCCCTGTCCTCGTCTTCTTCACCATTCTCAAATTAAAAAAAGAGGCCGTACAGGGAAAATAGTGCAGACAACATGGACTGTGACCGTTGAATTCCATTCCGTGTGCCTACCTGGAGGGATGAACCCGCAAGTTGCTTCAAGTTCGTATTTCCCATTTTGACGCTGAAACGATATATAAATAATCAAGATTTAAGAACCCTGTTAATTCTATAATAATACATCAAATAAACTGGTCAAGTAGTTGGAACTGCGGCACTATTTTTATAATAATACATGGAGATACGCACGCCACCAGACTGAGATTGAGATACTCTGCTAACACAGATGGTTTTGAGTTGTTATTTTGTCCTGTCTGTCTGTCTGAACATATTTTTCCACATAGAAAAGTAGGAAGAAGCACCAACGAAGACGACGACATTATGATATGATTTTGCTTTATAGCTTTAGATCGCAAGAAAGAACGGGATAACACAATTGGTTGAGGGGGAAAAAAAAAAGTAATCAACGATAATAGACAACAGAGAAAAAGGTATCTTTTAGGGCAGAGGAGGATGAATGAATTGAATACACAAAAAAAGATGGCAATCTTTCCGCAGCATGCACATGTCTCTCGTTGGTTTTACACTTTACCTTGCCTCAGCTCAACTCTTATCACACTAACCGCAAAAATAAATGCTCAGATTCACCTACACACTTTAAAATCAGTACGACGATTCTACCGGAAAAATCGCTTACCAAAGTTTAACCCAGTGTATAAGATTTGACCGATATAAAGCAGTTGGACCATAAAACACAAAATATTACATCGCTCATTTATCTATAAAAATTATCGCGCACACAATTTTACCATCTCGAACAAACGATCTCTCAATATCTCTACTATCATTCTTTCTCAATTTAAATTGAATGCATATCTTCTACAGATTATTGTTATTGAAGATAATTGCACAATCCAATTTGCAAGTAGATTGATTGAATGACAAGTCAAGTCAACCAAGAATTTTTATCTTTTACTCTTTGTGGTTCAATTTAGAAAGAAACAAACGACTTCACTTGGTCAAAGTCGTCGCAATTATCCTCTGCTTTTTTCCCCCATTCACATTACAATTTCCCACTGTCCACAGCAATCCATCTCCAGCATCAAACGTTTAGGTGAAAGAGCTGACTGGCAGAAAAAGTCAACCCATACATTCATTTTTCTACGACAAATTTCATGAAAACTGACCAATCAAATTCAGGATGCCCTGCGGCGGCAGGTAACCAAAATAGTCATTTGCATTAGATTGCAGGGTATTCCCGTAAAATGCCACAGCCAAGAACATGATGTAAGAGCTACGTAACTTATGGCACAAGATACCTAAACCGGTTACCCTGAAGCATTTGACCAGGAAATGTCAGCAAGGACACTTCCACTTCTCCCTAACCTGCTTCGATGAATTTATAACAACTCACAGTTTCATTCATCTGGTCATCAATGCGTCCCTCTTGACTGCTTCTTCTGGTTTCTCCGCTGATCTCGCTTACCTGAAAACATCAATCCACGCACAATACATCGCTGTGGTTATAAGTCTGCCGAAGGATGAATCGTAGAGATTGGAAAAGCAAAGAAAGAGTTACAGTGCATACGCTTCTTTTCTTCCTTTCTCTTCCTTCTCAGATTCTCCATGTTTTTCCGCTTCTCCGCCACCTCCTTCGTGTCCATCCGCACCTGCACGAGATAGGGGCAAAACTAGGAAATTTTAGAACAAGTTGAAACAAACATCATCCGTTAATTCGACTAGTTTTGAGCTGGGAGACGGAGAAAGGAAGAACGGAAACGAGGGACTTGTTAGATAGTAAGGTCATACAACCTCGTGACCACCACTGCGGAGTGCCTGGAGTGGCTCGACGCAATCCTGACCGATGACAACCATTTTCCTCTTTTTGTTGTCTCCCGCGCCCATAACGTTCCTCGTATTTTGTCTAGTTAGTTCTTCAATTTGCTGCTGGAGGAGGGGCGAAATACCAGCCTGAAAGGATATTAGACATTTTCAAGTGACTTGTCTAGTTAGTACTACCAAACTCGAATTCAATGATCTCGTCAGTGAAATGCAGCAGTGCAATTATTGGAAAAGTCAAGGCCTCTAATCATGGGACACAGTTGAATAATTACCCCAGCTAAAAACCGATGTGAGAATGATTTGGGTTGCAATGGGCGTGAAAGGATGGTATTGAGCTCCTGTGAGAAAGAAGAAAAAATTAACACAAAAGGCTGAGACAACCGAATTGCAGATATAGAAGACAGACCAAGACACAAGTAAAGAAAAAGTATTCTTTCACAAAAAGAAGAAGAAAAATAAAAGAAAAAATAATACCTGCTGCAGGGTTTTCAGTTGTGCCGAGCTAGCTTTCTTTTCTCTACGATGGTTCACTCTTTCCTCCTCGCTGTCATCCTCGTCGATAACTAGCTCAACTGATTCTGCGTTCCTCTCAAACCAGGATTTCGTTGCCTTCTCCTACTCAAATACATCAGGCTTAGAAGTCAGTACACTAGCTTGAACTAAACATGTTTATAACACCCAAGAATGAAAGATTAATGTAAACACTTTTAAGAGATAAAACAGATGACACAAACCAAAGCAAAACATTAATACCTGAGATTCCTTCCGTGATATCTTGTCTATTTGGCGTGCTAGAGACAGTCGTTTCATCACCTCAGGCATGTAAGAATCATCTAAAGGAAATCTCTGAAAGCTTTCCTGTTTAAGGTAGTTCAATAGAGGGAAATATTACTCCACTGCAGTTAACCACCAAATGCTTAAGAAAGGGTTACTACGACCTAGCTCTTAAATGAAACAAATATTTGGAACTGTTGTAAAATTTGTAACAACAGAATCACTTGCTTGCACCATTTTGCGTTATATGAGACTTTTCAAAAATTCCAGACTGATTTTCGGTCAACAAAAACAAGTTTGGTTATCTGCTTTCCTAATTTGTTTTCAAAGTTATTTCAGCTCTCAGATGCTTAACTGGGCAACACATGAGGAAGACGAAAAGATTTCCTCTCAGAAACTTTACTACCTTTGAAAATGACTTGCAGAGTGATGCAAACTTTGAGGTATCCTTTGATGAGATTAGAGCAATGCTGCAGCCATCAGCAAAAGCCCTAGCCGTCCTTCCACTTCTGTGAACGTAAACCTAACACCACAATTGCAATGGTAAATTCAACAAAAAGAAAAGAAAAGGAAAAAATTTGCAGCATATGGTGAAAGGAAACTCTGATATTTACTTCAGCTGAATGAGGAAGCTGATAATGAATAACAGTTCGAACACCAGGAATATCAAGCCCTCTTGCTGCAACATCAGTGGCAATAAGTATGCCATGTTCAGTGGAACGAAAACGATCCATTGCCTGCATTGATAGAGGAGGAAATGGTGACATTTTTTATGATTAAAAATAACTGACATGTACACTATACAGACAACAGAGGTGACGAAAAACAGACTACCAATCCACAGCCAACATTTTTAGGTATTGCCATGTTGTTTAACATTAAGCATCAATGCAGTAAATCAGTCTAATAGGTTGTTCAGATAATCTCTAATTTTTATCACGAAAGCCAACTTAATTCTGAAGTTGAAGTTCATATTTCAATAGTCTTTTTTTATTAGTTTATAAAGAAAGAATATGAAGATTTGCAGTACCAACAACAGCATATTCAAAAGCAAAAAAGCAACTTATAGGAAAAGAAGAGAAAAGGGAAACCTTCAAACGAGCTCGTTGTTGCATCTGAGCATGAAGTGTCCAAACATTGATTCCAAGGATGCGCAAGATGGAAGAAATGTGGCGCAGCGCCGCAATTGAAGTACAAAATACAATAGTACGACCTTGCCCATGAACACTCAATAAATAATACAAGTAAGCATCTTTATCTTCTTCCGCGCACCTGCACAGCCACAATGCAGCATGGAAGCATCAGACTAACAAGAACATACGTAAACAACCAAAATTCCAAATAGATAAGACTTGGTAACAATAATAGCTAGGTTATAGATTGCGTACTCAACAAAGGATTCTGCAAGCTTGCTAGCCAAGACAGATGCATTTGTCAAATCGACAATGGCAACATTATCCCTCATTCCAGCACGCTCAGAAAGGGTTTCAATAGAATTAAGGTCAGCAGACACAGCTTGTTTTGATTTTACTGATCCTCGCTTTAGTTTCTTGCGAAAATCTGCAGACAATGCTAGAGTGGCAGAGAAAACAAAGGTTTGTCTTTTCTTTCTCTGGAAGCTAGCCTCTGTTACACAAGTTTTGCTATCTTGAGATTGATCAACAGAAGAAGTGCTGGACATGGGAAGCATATCAATAATTGACTGCACCTCGCGAAAGTGTCCATTTTCAATCATTCTATCTGCTTCATCCAGCACAAAGAATGACAAGGAATGCAACTGCAAGAAGAAGTTATGCACAAAAGTATGTCAACAGAGAAAAAAATTTAAAATGAGATAAATTTCATTTGCCTATAGTATAGTTAATATGGAAAGCAATCAGCACGGACTTCAACAAGATGCTCCTCTCCCCCTGACATAAGTTCCCATAATCGCCCAGGAGTTCCAACAATGATCTCAGGCCTTGCTCTTAGCAGTCTCTCCTGTTTCTCCGTTGACATTCCACCAACAATTGCAACCACTCTAACATTGATCCCTTTAGCTGCTTCCTTAAGATGATCAGAAACCTAGACAAAATAATCCGAATATGCAGGTCAGAATTAATTAAGTAAAACAGTTACCAACTTAAGCAACCTGTCATCTGTCAATGTATTTAATATGGGGGAAAACGTCTTTGAACCTTGGGACCACATTAATAAAAAATAAACAAGCAGAATACAGCATTTCAACTGCAACAATCCACATGTAAACTGTTAATCATTTCCTGCATAGACATGAAAGATGGAGGGGAAAAGTAGTGGTGGATGCGGAAGAGGCATGCTTTCCTTTCAACTAAATGAGTCTGAACTACAAAAGTCAAATGAAACTATCAATCCATAATCAAATATAGTTTTAATAAAATCAAACATTTCATCTTTCCCAGCAAAACAAAAATGATAGCATATCCTAATTGGGGTGAGCAAGACTATATTTGAAAGTAACCAATGGTGAGATGGTCCATGTACCTGAACAGCGAGTTCCCTCGTCGGGGTGATGATAAGAGCACGCAGAACACCTGTTGGGGCATACTTGTTGGCATCATCACCCTTGTCATCAAGCAGTTTCTCAGCCTTATCCCGTTCTTCTAGTAGACGTTGCAAAATCGGCAAACCAAAAGCAAGAGTTTTCCCAGATCCGGTCTCTGCAGCACCAATAACATCCTATCATAGAAGAGAACAACCATGACTATCCCGCCACCAATACAATGCCAATACTTTTAAGAAGTTACACCAAACTAACCTTTCCCTGATGTGCCGCTGCAGGAATACAAGCTTTCTGGATCCGTGTTGGTTGCTTAAAACCAAGCCTATGGATTGATTTCATAAGCATTGGATGAAGCCTCAATTCATTCCATGCATAAAACTCTGTCTCATCAACTGACTCTTCTTTGGAGTCACCATTGCTATCGCTATCTACAGCATTACCATTGCTAACAACAGCCCCGTCATCACCATCGCTAACTACAAGGATAAGACTAACATTAGAGAACTAGGAGTTGTTGGTTGGTCAGCATATTCAGAACCAACAAACTAGTGGTGTATCAGATGAGCAATAGAGTTCAATAGGCAATTAAAAGCAAGTGAATGATGAATATTGTCATTTCATCACCAGGTGAGATGGATAAACATGGACAGCAACCAAAAGGATCAGAGAATCAGACCGCAGTAGGAATCAATTCGCAATGCCAACATAATCCAAAACAAGTAACAAGAGCAAGTAGAAGCACCAACCAGATGCCACCTCATTTCTCTCTGGTTCATTAGCATCCGTTATCTTTTCATTCTTCTGCTTCCCTTTTTTCTTCTTCTGTCTCTTATTCTTCTTCTTCTCCACGGCAGTCTTATCCTCTACACTCCCACCAGCACCATCAGCAACAGCATCACGCTTCTGCTTCTTGGATTTTGATTTCTTTTCAGGTTGAGGAATCGACAACCCATAGTCAAGCTCGTCGACCTCTTCGAGCGAAAGAAAACCTGAAATTCGCCAATGTCCAATAGGTATCATAATTTTTCTCCAAATACATTACCATTCTCACAGAGGACCTAACAACTACCGCCCAACAACAATTTCACAGTTTAGTTTTTCCCCAGTAACGTAATTAAGAAGTCCTGAGACTCGCTCTCTCATTGCACCCGAAAAATTTCACAGACAGATAAAGAGAGGAGAGCAGAGCGAGAGGGAAAAAAAGGATGCCGAACCTCCTTCGAAGTCATTAACGCCGGCGAAAACAGAGAACGGGTCACCTTCTTCGGCTTCGGGAAGCGACGATTTCCAGGGGAGTGAATCGAATCCTTCGAGCACCGGGTCCTTCTGAGCTCGCTTTCTCTTTCCCCTCTTGTTTGATGGTTTGGATGTCGACGGCGGGTGCGGTGGCGGTGAAGCGGCCGCCATGACCAGTGGTTTTTGGTGTAGACCGAGAAAGAAGTGCGCGTCGGGAAGGGTTTATGGTTCAACTTCAAGGCAGTTTTAGAAAGAATTTCGAAACGTTTGTTTTTTCGCTCTGGTTTAAACGTTTTGGGTGAGGACTGAGGACTAACGAATCATTGGCCCAATGGACAGAATCCGAGCCTTGTTTAATAAGCCCGCATAATGAGTTTGGGCCTATTATGCTCCAGAGTCCGCCCGCTCCGGGCCTGTGTGGTAATTTTGTCAATATTATTCCCGCCGGCGGTTATAGTAGTTAGTTAATCAACCGCCAATTTAGCCACACAAAAACCCAGCGTTATCCCTATAAATATCGGCGCCGGCAGGAAATTCCTCCAAAATTATGCGCTCGCTTCTCTTCAAATCAATCCTCTCTCTGCATCCCAAGCACTGTCCATCATCAATTTCACACTTCGCCATGGCCGCTGCCACCAGAGCTCGCATCAGAGGAGTAGTCTTCGACATGGACGGAACCCTAACGCTCCCCACCATCGATTTCCCGGCGATGCACAATGCGGTGCTCGGCGAGGACGAGTGCCGGAGAATCAAGGCCGAGAATCCTTCCGGCATCGACATTCTCCACCACATCCAGAGCTGGAGCCCGGACCGGCAGCGGAAGGCTTACGAGATCATTGTCGATTACGAGCGCCAGGGTTCCGACCGCCTTCAAATTATGCCTGGTTAGTTTTGGTGAATTAGTTGCCTGAGGTGCCACATTTTATATTCATCTCTTGGTGGTTAAAGTGGGAAATGGGAGGTCATTGTTTTTTGGGCGTGTGTTTTTGTTTGATCAGGTGCTGCAGAGCTATGTGGGTTTCTGGATTCGAAGAAAATCAGGTTTGGGTTCTCGAGTTACGCGTAGCTTTTGCTGATAATGCTTAGCTGAGATGCGTAAGAAATTAGTGTCATGGAAGCTTTAGTCGTAATTCTTCAGGATGGGGTTAATCACTCGAAACTTCAAGGAAGCTGTTGATATTTTCCATTCCCGATTTGGGGTAAGTGAGTTGCTTGTTGAAATGGGCTTTTGAATGAATCTAGTTTGTTATTGGTTTCTTCTAAACTGATTGCCGGCATGGTGAGTCTGCATTGTAAGGCTGGAGTTCGCTCCTCTCCAGCAAGTTAGGAAACTTCCATAAACTTGCCTTCATTAAAAAGCTTTGCTGCTTTCCTCAGGTTTGTAAGTTGTAAGGTGTGATTGATTGGTGTCCTGACTGGTACTTGTGTTAAGAAACGATTTCTGTTTGACCCTAACTTAACTGCAGTTAATGTTTTTCCCCCATTGGAGCTGCTTCTTTCTTGGCTGTAACAAAGTAGTGCTCTCACGGACATTGTTTTTTCTTTTCACTTATCAAGATTTCACTCTTTGCAATTGGAAAATTCCATTACCAGCTTTTATTTCAAACAGAGGGTGGTCTCAATCTTGTCTGTGGTGGGTTGTTGATGCAGAGGAGCTTTTCTCCAGCATTGAGCCGGGAGTTCCGTCCTTGCAAACCGGACCCAGCTCCTCTACTGCATATCTGTTCAGCATGGGATGTTCAGCCTGACGAGGTCATAATGATTGGCGACAGCCTTCAAGATGACGTGAGTCATACCATCCGTGCACTCTCCTCCTATTTTGGAGTTCATTTATTGAGTTAACAAGATACAAACATTATGCTTTGGTTCTTTCATACTTGGCAGAATGTAGTTTTCCCTCTGCTATTTACTTGTCTTGATTTTCCTTGTTTCTTCTGTGCCTATCTTGATTTTGCAGGTGGTTTGTGGGAAACGTGCTGGGGCATTTACATGTTTGCTCGATGAAGAAGGCATGTACAGCGCTGCTGACATTGCAGAGGTGAATCTCGAACCAGACTTCAAAGTGGCATCCCTAACTGAAGTTCAATCAATTTTGGAGTCAAAGTTCAATCTGCTGCCTTGATTATCTGCTCCTGGTTTTAAAGGGATAGATATCACTTTCTTGTGGAGTTCCTGTATTATGTCTGATGTTTGTCGATCCACAGCAAGGAAAGAGGAATGTTTTGTTTTGTGCGTTCTTTAAATCTGTAATTGTCAATAGATGCTTGTTTCCATTTCCCAGGCCAAGATGAAAAAAGAGTTCCTGTATTTTATCTGATGTTTGTCGATCCACAGCAAGGAAAGAGGAAAGTTCGTTTTCTGCCAACTGTAAATTTGCATCTGTTAATAGATGCTTGTTTCCATTTTCCAGACCAAAGTGAAAAAACACAAAATAAAAATAGCAAGTTTCGCCCACCGTGGGGCTCGAACCCACGACCACAAGGTTAAGAGCCTTGCGCTCTACCAACTGAGCTAGACGGGCTGATTTTACAATAATTTGGTGTCATTTTTAATCTTACCAACCTTACATTCAAATTGGAGGTTGATTTTGTGGTTTTCCCTGCCGTTCTCTCTTATATTCCTTACTTTGGGACTGGTTTTATGATCTTTGACTGATGAAAGTTCCCAAAATGCTTTTTTGTGCAGTTTGTTTGCAGGTATTACCTTGGGGGTGTGTTGGCATTGATTCCTGTTGCATGTAAAGCTCTTCCCATGCTCATGGCATGCATCCTTTTGAGTAATATTGGTGCTTCAATTACTGAAGTTGCTACAGATGCTCTTGTTGCTGTGTATGGCCAAAAACACAGAATAGGAGGCCTCCAGTCCTATGCATCTATGGCTTTGGCTATAGGTGGGATCCTTGGCAACTTCCTTGGTGGCATTTTCTTGCAAAAGACAGCTCCCAAAACCATGTTTGTGGTATTTGCATTTCTGTTGGCTCTCCAGCTTGTTAGTTCATCAGTAGACAGGGAGGAAGTTCTTGGTCTGTCACGGGAACCAGACCATGCTGTCGCTGAGAAATCAATATGGGTGAGCATCCGTCCAGTACTGGAAAGAACTTCCCATGAAGAAACTGGTTGGCACCCTCCAGTTTCTGTATGCAGCTTCACTTCTTCTTGACTTTGTCTTGGTGAGGCAGATCAATCTTAAGTTAAAGATTCCAAATGAGTTATTTTCTCTTTGCTTTTTCCGGTTTAGCAGAGACCCTTGCACAGTTTAAACTCCTCCCTTTCTCAGTGTTGTTACTAGACACGAAACAGAACGTAACACGCTCAAAGCGGCTGAAGGTCATGTACAGTTACTGGTTCGAGTTACAAACCGGTCGAAACTCCAAACTGAATTGGATCCATGAGCTACTGCAGATTATTAATAAGTCAACAAAAATTAGGTGCAACTAAGTTCGCCGGGACTCTTCCCATAGCCGCCGCCGCCGCCGCATGAAAGTACTCTTCCAGGCTCCACAGCCCCTCGTCGTCCCACAGACTTCCTTCCTCTGCCGCCGGTAACATATCGTTGCCAAAGAAAATCCTATGCTCCTCACCGCTGTCGGTGTAAACAGAACCGTTGCTGCTGCTGCTGCTGCTGCTACTATTGGCCGCGGCGGCAGCTTCTTGCGTGCCGCTGAACTGAGCCACGTGGTAATTGTCATCGTTGTTGGTGTCGTCGAGCAAGGAAATCCTCTTTTTCATGTCCGGCTGGTTCAGCTGCTGCTGCTCCTTGTGTTGTTGGTGGAATTGCTGCCGTCTCAGGAGGCGGTTCCTGGCCTTCTGCGAGGCGTCGAGGAGGGGCGCTTTGGTCTTTTTCTTGAAGTGGGTTCGCCAGTAGTTCTTGATCTCGTTGTCCGTTCTCCCTGGCAGGCTCCTCGCTATAGTAGACCATCTAGCCAAATCAGGATAAAATCAAATCAACATATAATACTAATCACTAATGATGATTAATTAATGATTAATATTAACTTAATTGTCAGTGGGGGGTGATCAATTAATGATTTGTAATCAACATACCTGTTCCCCCACCTAGCATGCAACTCCACAATAATGGTCTCCTCCTGTGGGGTGATGTGGCCTCTCTTGAGGTCTGGCCTCAAGTAATTCACCCACCTCAGTCTGCAACTCTTCCCATTCCTCTTCAGCCCTGCTAATTCGATATAAATTTAATCAGGAGATTGCGATATAATCCATTACCATTCATGACGACGCGACGACGACTAAGAAGGTGGTATAAGATTCACAATGAACATTTTTTTTCGACAACTCGAGTTATTGAGACCAACTGTTGGTTTACGACGTAACAAAAAAACCTGCAAGCCTGGAAACAGAGTTCCATCGTCCTTCGCCATGCAGCTTGACATAATCGATCAGCAGCTTGTCCTCTTCCGCAGTCCACGGCCCCTTTCTCCAACCAGAAGCTGCTTCTTGTTCAACCACAGCAGTACCATTACTGCTGCAGCTTATTCCCCACGACATACTATGTTTCTTTTTTGGCTAATACTATTTGTTTGGCAAGCCCAGAGGTTTTGGTTTTTGTTTACCAAATCATATTCTGTGACTTCAAAGGACAGTTGCTTTGTGTCCATATTTATACTAGAGAGTGCACCACTCTGTTAGCTTACTCTCTCCACCAGCTTGTTGTAAACATGATCTAGAGTCACCATCATAAAATCCTCATCTATTTGTTTTCTTGGGGAATATTACACCTTCACTCCCTAAACTATACATCGATTACAGATTCACCACTGTACTTATTACTTTAGCTTCCTATTATGGTCGAGATTCCAACCAACAATATTGACTGATATGCCCCGACATCATCTTTAGGGTTTTGAAGGATGTTTTCTTCTTTCTTTCCCCCTTTCAGCACGAATCCGACGGCCAAGATGCTCTGAGGATTGGTATCAAGCTTTCTAGAAATGGGGGTGGTGAGAGAATAATACCATAAGACTAGTTTATTAATTATGTTTTGTCTAAGGAATGGAGTTACATGTCCTTTTGGGGATTATTATTCAAGAATAAAAATAAAGCTAAATTATAAAACAACAGGGTTACAGTACAAGACTCACTAACTACAAAACTGCATGTCTTATCATCCTGATACGAATCATGTCACCTCCTGATACCGTATAAGGAGCCGATATGATTTGTATCATCAGAGATAGTAAAACATAAGTAAAACGTAAGGTTTAATAGCTAGGTTTTGTGTTTTCGAATTTTCTATGTACCCTATATTTTCCCCTTATAAAATTAATACATATATGACTTTTACGGAGCGAAAAGTAACAACCATGTGCCACCAATGTACTAGAGCTTATTGCATCTAGGCAAAAGGCCATACAAAAGAATTTATTATAGCCACCCTCTATAAGCATAATCCAGTGAAAAGATTTGCATTAATTCATAGAATATTAGGGAGGGGGTTAATTTTTTTCTTTAGGGGAGACCTTTGAAAGCTACTTGGCCACCAATGGACTGAGACCAGGTGTAGTTTTTGCTTACTTCTTAAATAGAAGAAGATTGATCCCTGTAATGATCTATACAATCAATAGTAATCTCCCATTAGTTTATTTCTTAATTTAATTAAGAAATTGGATGCATTGAACTTTTGTTGGATTCCATATTAGGTAATGGTTGATTATAATACTGGTGATAGTATAGGGAACGTCACGTAATTAGGGACAGGTGTAGAGTTCTGGCCGGCCTCCATATCCCTGCAAAAAGGCCAATGCTTGTTTAATGGTTTTCTATGGGGGAGTGATTAGTGTGGAGGGGTTGAATAAAGTCAGATCATCCAAGAAACTAAAAGAGGAGAAAATAATCACTAGCTAGAACATATGCTTTATAATTTTGTGCAAGATTAAGTTGTAGCAAGTGATGCAAACAATGACACAACGTCATAATTCTTTTGACAACTTATATCTCCAGTTTCATCCTACGTGACCCCGTGAATCCGTTCAAATCAATAAACTGAGAATCTATAGCTATTTACCGATATCACTGATGTGATGAGGTTCCCCTATGGGTTTATTGGTCCGACCAAAGCTCGTGTCGCAACTCTAATTCTTGGTTGGATAATTTATTCTAACCACAACTCTGACCCACACATATCGAGCTTTACTTTATATATATATATATATTTATCTAACTTCTCCTTTCGTGAATATCTTTTTATAAATTAGATTTCATTCACACATAACACTTTTATTTGAACTTTGTTTGAAAATACCTAAATCATGTTGTTAATTATTGACAAAATTACCGTATATATTGTGCATTTGATAAAACCGGAAGCTATGTGATTTTCCTAAATTAAACATCATATTGAATCTAATTTCCCTTGACGTTTATAAAACATTATTGAATCATCAATTAATCTCAAACTAATCGGGGATACCACGTTAATACCGTCTCGCGTCTCATCTTTTTCTACAAAGCGATTATATTGCAGGACAAACAACTAGTCCATGATTTGGGCAAATAATTTGGCCCCTTAACCATATATTTAATCAGCAAGTGTCGCCAGCTCGCCATGCTAGCTAACCATGGTTTCTCCGACAGCACCAACAAAACCCCAAAAGAAGAAACTGGGTCCGATGAAAGTGCAATAATTCTCATGTCTTCTGCTTATGTTTTCTTTCTCTTTTTTGACAAGATGTTTTCTCGTATATTGTCGATATCGAAGGGAAAGCTGGAAAGGAATCCAGTCCTTTGAAGCAACAATTAATTAGGACACTAATTAACTGGCCCCTGCGATTAAAAAAAGAGCATTGATCTCTCTCCTGGGATGAATGAATGAGTTTGGTTCAATCAAGACTGCTTGATCGTTACAGCACAGCAAAGCTTTAGGCAGCTTCTAGCATTCGTGAATCATCATTTAATTTAATTGAATGTTTAGTTTATGATACAAAAACAAAATATCTGGTTTTGGTTTTGGTCGCTCTACTTATTCATATTTAACTATTAGTACTTTTGAACTATATGGAGTCACCGTCGCCTATGCGAGAGATATGCCAACTTAGCCCTTATGTATAGGGTATCCTTTTGGGAGTGCGATAATCGATTCGATTTTGGTTATAACAGCTCGCGGTAAGCAGCAATTACCGGTAATGTCATGGTTTCACGTTCGAAAACTGTTGATAACTCTTATCGATAAGTACCTTACTCTCTTGGTGCAATGTTCATTCTTTCCACAATTTTTTTTCTAGAAGCTTATATCATCATGGGCCTTTTATATGGTATTTGTGTCCTTAATTGAAGAATAATTCATTCTAAAGGGATGATTCTATTTATCACGATATACTATTAAGTTTTTGCGAGTTTTGATATGCTTTAAACCAGTATACCATAGACCGAAGTGTATTGTCCTAGAAACAATATATAGAGGTTCTTCTTGACAACCCACCTAATTAGCTTTTCCCTAGCTTTTGCGCACAATAAGGAAGGATTATTTGGTCATTAGCTTAAAATAGCCAGTTAATAATTAAAAAATTTGGGACTCCAACTAAAGAGAAAGTCCACTTATTAACTGAAAAAATCGTGACTCCATGGACTCCAACTAAAAAGAAAGCCACTACCCATCACTGTTTAATTATTTAAATATATATGAGCTCATTATTATACATCAAAATATTGATGTTACAAGTTGAGTTTGTATTACAATGTTAAAAGTATAGTTTAGTTTGAATCGTAAAATAATTTGTACGAAATACGCTTGTATAGACTATACCAAGACCTTAAAGGTAAATATTCAGTTTGTATCATAAATGAATTTGGATGAAAAGTTATATGTATTGAGTAAATTTGTATTATAACATTAAAAGTACAAGTTTAATTAATACTATAAAAAATTGTACGAAAATGTGTAGACTCAAACTGAATTTAACTATAACATTAAAAGTACAAATTCAATTTGTAACATAAAAATTTTATTGAAAGCACCGATATTATAAACATTATAAATTTTGTTTATATATTTGTTATATATATATTATTAGCAACGGTGTTTTGTTGTATCCATTTAGATAATTTAGATTATTATTAGTTTATTAACATATTAGGTGTATAATTCAGGTGCATAAGCACTCTCTTATTAGTTTTTAATTATTCATTATTCATTTTATAATTTAAATTTCAAAATTTTAACAAAACAAAAAAATTATATAAAATAATATATATTTTGACATATTTTGGAGTAAAAAATTAAATATGTTAGTCAAGCATTCTATTGAATCATATATAATAGCATTCATAAATTATGAATTCTTCAATTGTGGTACCCGATCTCTACGACAATTCTTAATGTTATCCCCACCATCAATTTTTTGTTAGATTGTTATGAAAGTGGGTATAACCTTGCTAACTAGACTTTTACTAATTTTCATATCTTCTTAAATTCAACTTAGAATGATTATGTCACCTAAGCCATTTTTACAATTGGGCAACCATTTACTAATTTTCATATCTTCTTAAATTCAACTTAGAATGATTATGTCACCTAAGCCATTTTTACAATTGGGCAACCAAATTTGCAGACATGTAAGAAAAAAAAAATGAAACGTATCTATTACAAAATAGTCAACATCTACTATTATTCATTAAGTTTTCAATCTATAGATTATCAAATTTTTTGTTGGTCACATGGTTGTTTATCGGCGTTAGGGAAAGAACAAGTCTCATAAAATGTTTGTGAGATATAAATTTTACTGTGTAATAATCAATATTTTCAAACATTTGATTATTAAATACTGGCTTTCAATGTAAAAAAGGACGAACAACCTATCGTGAAGAACAGTATTTCGCTAAGGAACACAAAAACTTTGTAATTGGTGGAGATGACGGTGCTTTAGAGGCGTAGCCGAGCCATCACAAGAAAACCAAAATGGAATTTGCTATAATTCTTGACATCGAGGAGTAAATAGTGTGGTAGTCTTATTAAATTCTTAGGAGTCAATTTCCTTGCATGACTTTTGTTTTCTACTTTGAGTAAGAACTTCCATTAGTAAATCGGGTTTGCATGTTAAAAATTATAAGAGCATGATTTCAGTAATTAAATGATTTGAAATTTTTATGGTATGAAATAAACCATGTTTTGCTTTGGGCAATTACTAATGTTATTTATACTATTAATGAAATTGATCCGGCCAACGGGCGGGTCCTGATCTAGTTTTATCTTAGTGTTATTTTGACAATAATTTTTTTTTTTCACTAAACTAAAAAAATATTTCTAAATACCATTTTGCTACGTATTCCACACGATCTTCATTGCGGTTTCACATAGCAGTGTACTAGAAAGCATCAACCGGAGTCGAATTAAGACGGGCTGAGTCAGAATTTCACCTACCCAGGGTTCTTTGAATTTTAAATTATCAGGTACTTGTGCTACCTGTGCAGTACTCACAAACAACTAAATCTTTGGGTGGATCGGTATTAGCTCACTAAAAGCTTCTGAAATTAGAAGGAAGTGCCACAATCATAGTATGATACTGTGATCTCTTATTCTTTGTATTACAATGTGCGCCAAACCTGTGATTAATCAACAATATATATAATATAAATACCATTTATCTCGATCGCTCAATCGCATGCATCAAATAAATATTGTTTGATTAGAGATTTGATAGTTAAAGCCAGATCCCAATTACATGATGCCTACTGAACTCATCCTCAGGTCATCATCAACTCTAACCTCTGTTACACCAACTTTTTAATTATATGCAGAGATTATCAGTCGATCAGTGGATTTGGTTGTGCATATGCTACATAGGATATTTAATTAGTGACAACAATCCAATCGTAGTTTAGTTCATAAGATATCATGAAACTAGCAATAGGATATTCTCTTAGTGCAGATTTTTTGTACAGCGACTTCGGAACATGAAAGTTGAAATTGATGATGTGTATGAGAACCCGGTTTCGACCTTCAAAAAGACGACTAACATGCATGATAAAATTGTTAGCTTTGAGGGGGCGATTGGTTGCTAAAGGTTTTTGAATTGTTCATGGTATTTGTAAAACGTAACCAGGTCTATACCTTGTTACTAATGATAGGAATCACCGTCGTTAGATTCAAATATTTTTGAAGAAAAATAGCGTCATTATTTGTGACACAACCAGTTCCTCATCACTTATGATGCAAATTAACGATTTGAGATCACGTTGCCAATACTTATGGTGACCTCTTCTATAGCATATCAAATGTGGTTTGTATATGGTAAATCCTTGGGTCGGAGAGTCTATCAATGCAAAGTGTTTGAGGATCAAGATAATCAGCAAGAGAAGGTACAAAAAGTTTGCATTCCCTGTCTTGAGGGAAGGATTGATGTTACGATAAAATTCAAGTACCGCTTTGAAAAATATAAGAAAAATGAACCTTGTATATTATAAGTACGCACCTAGTCCAACTGGTACAATGTCTTTTGGGGTCGACACCCAAAAATAAATCCTTACGGGTTTGACTCAAAACGGACGATATATCTCCAAACTCAATTATACAAACTCTTACATGTATCAATCTACACTACGAGTAAGGCTGGAAGTTTGGTACCAGTATTTGGGATAACCCAAATACCGTATCGAATTTATCACTAATTGGTATTATCGAATACCGGTTTATATTTTAGTGATTGAGATTGGGATTCATTGGAGTGCTATTTGATATTCGGGATTACAGGATTGGGATCGGTATATACTGAAATACCGAGAAATGCCAAAAATTAAAAATTAATGAAATATAGCACACAACCTTTGGTCATTCCTCACTCTTTCACAACTTAGAAGCCCCTATCCAACTCGATTTCGACTTTCCAGTTTAAGTTACTGTCGTCTCTCACCTAATCTCATGTTATTTTTATAACACCAAAAGGTAAACACTAGTATTAGTCATCTCGCAGCCTCCAATTCGACAAATTAAAGATACCCAGTTACCAGAATTTGAGATGTCACCTCTCCTCCCTTCTCTTGTCCATATCCTAGCTCTAGGCAAACTCAAGACTCTTTACTTAGTCTCTTTGCTCTAAATTAAACAATAAAATATAATTTATATATTTAATTATTAATTACCAAGGTAATTAATTCGTATTCAACAACTACCGATTTGGATACCGAAATATTTAGAGATTGAGTTTGGGATACCGGAATTATATAGGGATTGAGATTGGGATTGAGTTTAGGGTATAATTCGGTATTCGAGATTTCGAGATTTGGTATTGGAATCAGAGCCAGAGCCAGTATTTTAAGTTCGCGGGGGGGGGGGGGGGGGGGGGGGGGGGGCGAAAATTTTATTATCGTAAAAAAAATATATTGAATTAGTAAAAATGGGAAAATAATTGAATTATTTGCTATACATTTAAAATTATCTTTGAAGATATAAATGTATAGGTTGAATTAAATGTACCTAGTTTAAAGTTAAATTAGGTATGAAAGTATGAAAAATCAACTTAAAAGACAAATAGTACTAAAAAAATAGTACATTTAATACCAACGATATTTGGTATTGGAATCAGAGCCAGAGCCAGGATTTTAAGTTCGGGAGGGGGGGGGGGTGGGGGGGTGGGGGCGAAAATTTTATTATCGTAAAAAAAATATATTGATGTCACCCCACAAAATGTTATTTAAGATAATTATAAGCACTAAAATTATGATTTAAATTAAAAAATGTATCAACGATAGGTTCAAAATTATGAAATAAATTTCAACAAAAAATAATGCACCATGTTCTTCAATATATGATAAGTAACAAATGAATGTCTATAAAAATGGGAAAATAATTGAATTATTTGCTATACATTTAAAATTATCTTTGAAGATATAAATGTATAGGTTGAATTAAATGTACCTAGTTTAAAGTTAAATTAGGTATGAAAGTATGAAAAATCAACTTAAAAGACAAATAGTACTAGAAAAGGAGTTGTTGATGGGTATTGAAACCACAGCCTCCTATATAACAAAAGACCACTTCTCCGCTAGACTAAAGTAACCAGTTCAACAATCAAATTGCACAATCAAATTATATATACATGTATCGGAATTAATACGTAACTTCAAATTTTCGTCGTATTTTAACACGATCTTCAAAATTTTCGGGGAGGTCCCTACGTAGCTCCGCCCCTGATTGAAATACCGATATCGTCTCAATTTCCACCACTAACTACGAGCATCACTTTTGGCTACTCATATGTTGTTTCCTTGTATACATGAATATCCTCAATATATACAGCCAATTATAGACCAAATTTGTAAAGGCACGTAGTCTATCATCACCATGCATGGCACAAGCTAAGGGAAGTATAGCCCAACATTCTCTGAAGATATCGAAGAACCCACTGATGAACAGCCGCAAGATGTTCATCACAACGACCATACATGAATTAGCACATCATTTGACATGTTCTCCTTCTTAATTTTCTCTCCACCACACCCAATTAGCGGAGTGACGGCCGTATCTTTCGAGCCTGCTGCTGGCAGGTAAGAAGAACAGAAATAGAGATCATCCATCTTTCCCCACTAATTAATTACTTATAATGAATTAAGAAATAAGAAGAAGAACCCACATAATCAAGAAGAGAACTGAAAGAGAGAAGAATTACTGGAGAGAACCTATCTCGATCGTGCAAGAGCTCCGAAGGTGACAGCCAACAAGAAGAAGTCGAGTCAAGTCGAAGATCATACTTTGACCATTCAATCAATCCTTTGTGGTTCGATCTTATTATTGTTCCACGGCTATCGTGACTGAGGCTTTCATTTTCTTATCTTTTGGGCTATAATGGCAGTTCTACCAACAAGTACAATAATCAATCATCCCATCTTCAAGCATGCTTAAGTGACATAAGCACAAATTTCAGGGCAGGGAGAAAAAAAGTAACAAAACTTACTAAAAGAAAAAGGAAATTAAACCAATTGAAAAGTTGGTACATATGGGAGTTAATACGATGATATCGCATACTTTCAGTAAGGAAATACTATTTCTAACTAGAAGTAATCCAGGTTACATATGCATGGTTCTACTTTTAATGAGTAGAACCTAAATCCTAATTCTCTAAATCATATACTCTATTATATTAATTTAATTAGAAGTAATAATAATAATAAATTTGATTTGTCAAAATATACCCAACATACTAGCTAGATACACCATCTTAGAATTTGAGTGTATAATTTAGATAATTATATTAGATCTAAATGCATGCTTTAAGGTTAGGGATGGATGTGTGTTGGCCAACGGGATACACAATCTTCCAATAATTCCATAGATTTTTGGAACACACTTTCTTGACCCGACTTTGGGATGGATGTGTGTTGGTCAACGGGTCAACCTAAGCTTAGCTATTGCGCATCCTCTTGTTATTGTTCTTGGGGTAGGATAATGTTGCTATCATATCCCGGAAAAAAATCCCAGAATAAACTAGTTAGTAAAAAAATTCCCAAAATACAGTTTTTCTGAAAATATTTTCCAAAATACAGCAGTTTGGGGTTCGCCGTTGCGGACCAAGACAGTGAATATCATCACCACTACAAACTAAAAAGGTGAAGGGTTCACCGTTTTTGATAAAGACGGGGAAACCATCACCGCTTTTGTCCAAAACGGTGAACCCTTCACCGTTTTTGACTAAAACGGTGAATGCTTCACCGTTGTGGTTCAAAACGGTGAACCCTTCACCTCGATTTTCCAAAACGGGGATTCTTTCCCACGTTTTACAACCCTGGTAGGTTGGAAGTTAGGTAACAGCGACCTAGCATTCACCGTCGTGGTCAAAAGCGGTGATGGTTCACCGCTTTAGTCAAGCGCAGTGATTAGGCCCCAAAAATTCCTATAAATACCCAGCCCTCAGATTCCCCCTTACAGCAATTCAGTACGAAATTAGTGCCTTTTTGGTCCTTTTCTCAGTTGGCTTACAACAACGAGAAACTCACCGGGATTCGGTATGTTATAATTGTGCATTGTTTACATGTTGATGTATCAGTAATTATATGTCTGTATTTAGTGAATTTCGGTTATTGGCAAATATGTTATGTTAGATATATTTAGATGAATTATGGTATGATTGATGTTAGTTAGTTATGAATTTGGATAGTTTTCTCATGATAGATCAGTTAGTTGCGGTTGTTAATGGGTTTGGATGATATTATTTTTGTATCCCTAATGTACTAACTATACTATAGTAATCTTATTCTAGTTAAGCTAATAGTTACTTATTGTAATTTGCAGACATGGGTAAATTTAAGAAGTTTCAGCTTATTATTCGGTGGAATGGTCGGGTGACAAACTCGGACTTTGGGATCGACTATGAAAATGGCGAATCCACTATGCTAAATATTGAGTCGAGATTCACGTGGCAAGAACTACGTGACATTTGTGCAGAAAGGACTTGTATGGACGGGCAAAGGAGAGTTGGTCAAATTACTTACTGGTATCCAAACATGAGTGATGGCGGAGTTATGTACGAAGAAGTTGTCATAAATGATGATGACGCGGTGAACATGATGATACAGTTCCTATTTGACAACGGGATGCGGCTTGCAGAAGTGTATGTCGAGACCGAGCCGGTCGGTGAAACTCATTTTCACCAATATTCTTGTGATGATGGTTTTGCAGGAGGGTTCGGCTGGGGTGGTAGTTCAAGCAACATTGGAGGAGGTAGTTCTGCAGGAGGCTACGACTGGGGTGGAGGTCCAAGCAACTACGGAGGAGGTAATTATGCAGGAGGTGTTGGGTGGGAAGAATACCCGCAAAATGCTGAGACTGCCCCATTCGTTGAGCCCGACGGTGATCAATGATTTGCTTGGGGGCCAGAGTGGGCTGACATTGAGAACCGCCTTCGAACAGGGCGTACTTCACATGACCGAGAAGATGAGGTTGGTTATGTTAATAACGATGATCCTCCTGAGCCAATTAGGCAATCGACATGTCCCTCGATGACTTATGGGAATAAGTGATTCCTACAAAACAAAAAATACAATGTCTTTAATATAAAACAAAAAAAATTAACCTATTGAAATAATTAAAAAATTTATACGGTATAGACAGAGTGTCTACCGGATTATTGTCCCAAATTGCACGGGAGCGATGTTGTTCTTGCTCGTTTAAATATTTGCGATCCCTTGGGCCAGGATCGATATACAAACGAGGGTCGTATATCTCAGCACCCATCTATAAACAAATATGAAATGAAATTAGAATATTTCAAACCCATTTAAAAAAATATCAAAAAAGGTGAAAAAAATTTTCGTACTCTCAGAGCCTCTTCGTCCATTTTTTGCCGAAAAGCTGGAGAGAGTATCGACGAAACTTTAGAGCAAAAGATTTAAAACAAAATAAAAACTCTAGTAATTCTTTCTGGTGTGGAAGATCGGACTTAGCCGCAATCACAGAGCATACTTAGAACGAGACTAGAGGGAAGTAATGGAGGGAGAAAGAAGTATAAAAGTGGTGGTGTGAGTTGGAATGGGGGATGGGGTGGTATTTATAGGGAGGACCACAGAGCATTCACCGCTCTGGTCCACAACGGTGAAGCAATCCCCGCGATTCTCGAGGGAGGTAAACTGCGCGGATCACTGACGTGGCTCGGTTTGAGGCGTCGGATCTGGGAGAAAAACCAGAATCCGCGCCTCACAGCATCTGACGGTGACAGTGAAGCGTGCGAATGGCGCAGATCGATGACGTGGACAGGGCAGGCTATCACCGCTTTTTTTCAAAACGGTGAAGTGTCCGCGCATGTCCACGTCAGCGACCCGCGCCACTTCACTGTTTTGCACCACAACGGTGAACCCTTCACCGTTTTAGTATGCAGCGGTGATGATATTCACTGTCTTGGTCCGTAGCGGTGAACCCCAAACTGCTGTATTTTGGGAAATATTTTCATAAGTACTGTATTTTGGGAAATTTTTTTACTAACTAGTGTATTCTGGGATTTTATCCTCATATCCCACTCCACAAATCATGTCAAGAATGAATCGTCAGACGTCAAGTCAGCATAAGCTCTGACTTGCCTATTCTTGGAAAATTAAGTTGATTTTGGGCTGCAAACTGTTGCAAATATGCCCTTCAACGTTTGATTTAATCAAGTTAATGTCGGGTAGATTAAGTGGATCGAACCTAAATTGCATAATCGATGTTGTCAAGTCAATAAATTGTATCGAGTCGTTAACGGTTAAATAAGCTGTTTATTAGTGGTCGGTCGACGCAAATAACCTATCGAAATTTTCTATTACTATAACAGGTGAAGGTAAAGTTATCCCCATAGTATTAACTAGGGTTGAAGAAGGCGTAATTCCGTGTATGTCTAGGCGTGCTTCAGTTAGGTCCTAGACGTTCATATATAACTCCTAAATGGCGCCTAAGCAAAGCTTGGTACGATTAATTGGCGTGATCTATGATTAATTGAAGTGAGCTAGGCGTGCTTAAGTATGCTGGCAAACCAGGTATTAATTAATTTGTAGCTAACCTTCCCAAAATGGCGCAGTCTCTAGCGATCCTATATTCGACGGGTCCTTCACTCTTCCTTCCTCCATTTTGGAATTGCAATGTTAGATCAATGAGACAAAGACTTGAAACTCAGGAATCGCAATTGATTTCTCCTTTTCGTTCCATCCCTTTCTCCCTCTGCCCTGCCTTTTTTGTCATTGCCGATTGTAGAGTAGCCAAACTCCATCAATTTGGCACTTCTTCTTGAGCTCCAGTCAATCCAACCCCTGGACCTGATTTTTTTTTTAATGCTCTCGACTGCAGAGCAAACTTATGATTCTGAGAAATCCTGACTTATTTTTCTTGTTGTTACCGTTTAGCTAAGTTATTAATAATCACTAAAGTAATAAAAAAAAAGTGTTATAAAATTATCATTTTTACTAAAAAATTATTATCTTTGCTTAAAATGTCTAAGCATTTAGACGGGTTCGGCACTGAACAAGACTCTTTACTACTAGCTTATAACCCGACCCTTTGGCCGGAATGCTCATATTTGATTATTTGTATTTTTATGTTACTTTTAAGTCTATTAACCCGTTTAATCTTATTGATAATCATTCGATCGAGATGATACATAAAGAAATAATATATAGGTCGAAGATTCGGAGAAATATCATAATCATTTAAGAATATAAAATATAAAAATGTATCATTGACCCCATTTTCATAATGCTAATTAAGTCCCTGTTAAAATGCTATTGGTTAGTTTTCTTTGACAGTCAAGAAATATAGAGTATAAAAGCTCACTGAAATTCTCACACAACCCATAGATAGTTTGAAACTAAATCTTAAACCTCACAATCCTATATAAAGGGTTCAATGCTCTCCTTTTAGAAACAATATGTCACTAATCAAAAAGAAATGGAGAGTTGTTGATTCAAGTCATCTATATACTAAAAACTCGGCTAAGAGGGGACCATCACAACTTGAGAGCAAACGAAAAATCAGGGTTGTCTCCAATATACGAATAGACTCGATCAAAGTAATAAGGCGCAAAATTAGACACTCCTTATCTATTAGTTCCAGTAGGTTGAATAAAGAAGCGACCTATTTCAAACAATCAATCAATGATTGCTCGTTTTAAGATAGAAATAGGTTATGACAGTTGCAAAAACCATAAATCTAAAGATCCAATAGCCACCATTCTCCGTTGTACAACCAAATTTCTATCTCAAGAGGCATATATTCAACCAAAAATTCAATTTCTAATCTTCCTTCTACAACTTCAGTTATTGATGAACTCCATTCTATTCGCCATGAATTGATATCAGAGTTGAAATCTTCTACTCGCCCAGCTTAAAATCCCCAACAATAAAACCGTAGTGCCAAGAGATACCTGAAGATTGATTTTCAATGACAGTCTTGTACTGGGAAGTGAAAGGTGCAAACTATTGCACGATGGATGAAATTTCGGAGGAAGTTAGAAAGAGAAAAGAACAAAGATAAAAAAACACAAAATTTAAATTTAAATTGAAAAATGCAAGGATACAACAGTAGTTACATAATTAGTTTCTTCCATGTTGGCCAATTACCCATTTACCTTTAGCAAAAATTAAGGAGGATTGCGGGAATTTAAAATTGAGAACATTACATGAAACTCTACTATGAAAATAGAAGCATCAAGCTCGATAAAAATAAATACGGTAGACTTAGTGAGCTTGCTAATTATGATGAAAAAGTCCTCTAATTTTTCAGAAATTAACTTTGTCTATTTTTTGTATAAAAAAGGATGCAATAAATTTGTTTAGTGTAACTGGTTGTGATTGTTATCTTTGTTTGAAGAGACCCGGGTTCAAATCTTGATATTGCTATTTTTATATGAAATAAATAATAAATGTGTAAAGACAGAAATGCCCTTCCTACTTTCACTCTCGTTGCAGGAAATTTGAAATGGAGAAAAGTACTCAAAACAGCTGGGAATAGCGAAAATATCAATTTGAGGCCCAGCCCAGCCCAGCCCAGTAGAGCAGCCTCATTTCGATACTGGGCTTCGACCAATTCTCATTTCTCCCCCAACAACGGTGCCCATCTCCATAATAGCCCAATGTTGGAAGTACAATAATCTGCCTCGGCCCGATTCGAATTGCATTGCACCGCCCCGTTTCCCGTATTGCCCTCTCCTTCCTTCCTTCCCTGATTCAAGCGCCTCCTCCACCTCCAGGTTATAAATCTTCCCTGGCTCACCAGATTCTAGGGTTTTGGTCATCTTTCTCTCCGTCCCGCGCCCTAAACCTAAAGGTACCGTTCCCATGTTCCGCTTTCTTCTGTCGATTGTTTGGTTGCTACGAAAATGTTTAGTTCTTTGTATTCCTGGCCTGCCGAATGCTTCACTTCATTGTAGCGCGTCTGTTTGCTTACCGAGGCGAATCTTTAGATAGAGAGGAGTTCGTGTCTCTCTGTAGAATGGTGTCGAAGCTGTTAATTCTATCGATTTGATTCTAGCTTGTAGCTGTTGCCTTTTTGTTGCGTCTTTTTTCCTAGTGGGGGGCTTTTCCTTTGTTTGTAGCTTCTGCAGAACTTATGCTGTTTTCTGCCTCTGTTGATAGTTTGTCGAATGGTCTTTTGGACTCCTCGTGTAGCTTGCTAGGTCGCTTGCTGACCATAATTTGTTCTGTTTGTCGCTGCAGTTTCAGCGAACTTTGTGATGAAGAAGAAGAAGCAACAGAATGATGTTGTGGAACCTGAACGCGAGGTCGATTTGAAGTCCCTAATTCACCAGCATTCTCAATTCTTCGACAAGTTGGTCGAGCTGATCCCGGCCAAGTTCTACTTGTCTAAGGACGAGGACAAGCCATGGTTTCAAGGACTAAGTAAGGCTAAGAGGGCCGCAGCCAAGAAGGAAGCGAGGGAAAACATCAAGAAGGCCAGGAGAGATCGGTTAGACCCCGACAAGGCTAACGTAACCACCCTTGATTTGCTCAAGCAAAACTTGGAGAAGGAGAAACAGAAGGAAGAAAGTGATGATGATGAGGAGGAGGAGGAGGAAGAAGAAGAAGAGGAGGATGAGGATGAGGAGGAAGAAGTGGAGATCAATCCTGTGATATCTGGTGTGAAAGATGATGCTAGGTCAGCCACATATGAGGATCTCCGGGAACGTTACAAGAGGAAACTGGAAGAGCTCAGAGGCGAGCGGAAGGCTGATGGCAATTCAAGAAGACAGCAGAAGAGGGAGGAAAGGCAGGAATACAGGAGCAAACGCAAGAGGGAGCACGGCTCTGGAGGGAAGAAGGCTGTAGCAACCAAGGCCGAGATAGCTAAAAATGTCGAGAAGGAGGCCGAGGAAGCTACGAAGGAGCTGCGATTCAGTCACGTGAAGATAGGGGACGAAGACGATCACGGGATGATGAAGAAGAAGAGGAAGCTCTCGAAGGGGCAGGAGCTCGAGAAGGCGAAAGAGCTGCAGGAGGCCAAGGCGGACCCGGAGAAAGGCGCCAAGGAGTCCTGGAGAGCAGCGACAAGTAAAGCAGCCGGGGTGAAGGTCCACGACGACCCGAAGCTGCTGAAGCAGAGCATTAAGAAGGAGAAGAAGAGGCAGCAGAAGAATGCGGAGAAGTGGAAGGAGAGGGTGGAGAGCCAGCACAAGGTGAAGGCTGGGAAGCAGGAGAAGCGGTCGCAGAACATAGCCGGGAGGATTCAGGAGAAGAAGGCGAGGAAGATCGCCAAGCGCGAGAAGAAGCTGATGCGGCCCGGGTTTGAAGGTCGCAAGGAAGGTTACATCAACGAAGCCACTTCAACATAGGAAAAGGGTTTCTGGGCATCGCTCTGAAGGTAGGTTCTTTTTCTACATTCGTTTTTCTCCTCTCTTCTTCGTGCCAGGGCAGGATGAGAGGGTGTAGCTTCATGTAGGAGCTGTTAGAAAGTGATTTTGTTGTAGAAACAGTCTGCGCAAGGGAAATGGATGATGTTTTGTACCCTCTGATATCTATGTGTTTCCAATTATTTATTTATTTATTTATTACTGAGTGATATTAATGAAATAGTTAAACTTTCAATTCTACTCAGGACCTCTAAAAGATTCTAAAGAAAGTCACCCAAAAAATCAAAAGATTTTAGCTCTAAAAGAGATAAAAGCAGTGCTTTACGCACCACTCTATGGACAACACTGCTGGCGGACCTAGATACTGTCCTAAACTCTATACAAACAGACAAAGAACTATCCTAAACTCTATACAAACAGACGATCGAGAGATCATTGCTTCGTTTGCTGTTGTTCTATTGGATCATATGCGTTCGTCATTGCTTCGTTTGCTGTTGTTCTATTGGGTCATATGCGTTCGTTGTTAAAGACGATCCTGGGTCAAAATTTGTTGCCAGAGTACCATTTGTTGGTAAGTTTTTCGGCACCAACCCACTTATGCACATACATCTAAGGCTCCAAGTTGAGGTTTTGGAGCCTCAAAATGAGTTGAGTTGAGTTCGTTAATAAAAGAAGAGTGGGAAGCCTTTCATTATTGTAAAGTATCTGCATTAATCGTTATTCGACAAACAGTAAGGTACATTCCTAAACGGAATCCCAATTACATGCACTTCTTTCTTTCAACTACGAACACAAAACCAAACCTTAATATGAAAATCAAGTCATTCTACAGATAAAAAAGAGTAGCCAGACTAATGTCTTTCGAGAAACACATTGGTGTGTCACCTTGGGACGACATCAAACCCTCGCCCCGGTCATACCGGCAGTACCGGTACCTTTCGGCATCTCCGCTCCACCGCCGACGCCGTAATCGTCCCTGTATCCCGGCCCGTACCTGCTGCTGAACATCCCGGCGTGGAGCAGCATCACGTACAGACCCTGAGTCACGCCCAGTATTATGACGAACGCCTCCAGCACCCTCAGCCTCCACCCTCTGTGCCCTCCCACGTTTATCTGCTTGCACGCCAGCCCCAACGCCAGCATCGTCACCGCCCACGCCAGGATCGCCGTCGAAGCAGCCGCCGCCAGGCTGTCGTTCCTCCACGTCCTGATGTGGTTTCCGCCCAGGACCTTCGACACTATGCCCAGCACCGCCGCGAGTGTCGCGAACGTCAGGAAGAACCCCGTCGCCCCGTTCCCGCCGAAGCCTGCAATCAAAAACAAGTAAAAAAATAAAAAATTAAAGCCTTACTTGGAAACAGGGGAATGAAAACAAAAAAACAGAGCATATCTAGTTGGTTGCTTTACTGGGATGGTAAGTCTGGCCGTTGATGTAGCGATTCAAACACCAGCTAGCGAAACCCAACACGATTGCGTACATGACCAAGTTCAGAAACATCAATGGAGCTGCTACGTTCCTTCCAACCGTTGATTGCGCCATTTTCTTCTCTCCTTCTCTGCCTCTGGATGATAGGTAACAATGTGACAAAAGGAACCGATTAAATGTTAGTTTGCTGGATAACTTTGGCTTCGTGATTCTGGAGAAGGAGGTGGGGAAGGACACTATATAGAGAGAGAGGAGCAGAGCGTAGCCATGGGAGGAGGAGGATGGGGACACGTGTAAGGAAATGAGGGAAGTGCATTTTACAGGTGGTGGGACACATGTCGAGTTGTGGAGAGGAGGTCTTTGTTTAAGAGGTTTGATTTGGAATCTCTCCAAGTTCAATGATGGGCTCTTTCCTTTTTACTTCTTCCACTGCCATAACTGTTCCGTCTACCCTTTATGTCGAGTGAGAATGGCGACATGTACATTATGGATGATATGAACTTATCTTGTTCTGGTTTTGGCTTTGTAGTTTTGCATTTACTCCTTGTGCTTACAAGATGATCATGATGATGATGACGACCTAGATTGTTCCAACTTCTTTCTGGTCAAATGCAACAAAGGAGATACAAACAGAACAGCCCAGAAATGGCTGATATAAACAAAGGTTCTTAAATCCGAGTCCAACCTTCATCTTTAGGATGAGCAACATATCTCCAAGCGACTTTTGCTCTTTTACCTTCTTTCTCAGAACTCCATAGGAAGTCTGAACATGCCAGCTCGACCATTTTAATGACCTTTACAGGCAATTGAATTATGTTCATCCAGTATTGAGTAATACTAGAGATGGCAGAGTTTATTAATTGCAGTTTCCTAGCATAAGAGAGGACCCTAGCACCTCGACATTTTATCCTCACTGTGATTTTGTCAACTAATGCTTTTGCAATCAGCTGTCTTAAGCTTCCCAGCAACAAGAGGAACACTCAGAGACTTTACTGGCAGCTTCCCAATGGCAAATCCTGTTTTAAGAAGTAATATCCAGCTGAACAGCATGCCACTGCTGAAAAGACGAATGAGACAATGATGGGCTTACTCCAGCTCGCTCTTGTTTAGATTACATTTTAGACCAGATACTTCATAGAAACTATCTAAATCATTTTCGTAACCTCAAAAATTTCATATGACCCTTTTGTAAAGATTAATAAATCATCAGTACATGATCAAATAAACCTAGTCTGTGAAGACAACTTACCAGCTTCTCAGTACGCGCCCTCAGGATCCGGACGAGAAGTTTTGGAAGATAATTTGGAGTCTCCCTACGCCTGAGAGAGTGCGGAGCTTTATGTGGCTGGTGTTGCTAGGGAAGATCGCTACAAACCTGCTGCTTTTCTCGAGAAGGGTAATCCAAGGCCCGTGGTGCACAAGATGTCAGGGTCAGCCGGAAACCATTCTTCACATTCTCCGAGATTGCCCTCCGGCCATCTATTTCTGATCCCGTCACGTGCCGCCTTCCAAGCAGGACCGCTTTTTCCATTTTGATCAGGCAAGCTGGCTTCAGGACAACATTGGTAACGACGAGCTTCTTGATAATGGCATGACCTGGAATGCCTTCTTCTGCACTGTGGTTTGGTTATTGTGAAAAAACAGGTGTTCCTTGTGCTTCAAAGGTTCGAGTGGAGCTCTTTCCTCCCCATCTTTGGCTCACTCCATCAGTGGCGGACCTAGGATTGTTGGAGAGGTGTGTCGCCGCTAACATAGAATAATAATTAAATAAAAAAATTAAGTAGAAATTAAAAGAAATTAATTTATGAAGTTCACAATGTCATTTTACAACGAATCACGACGACTTTTCATCTGCTGAAATGTCTCTAAAATACATTCATCACTTATGCTGCAAAGCAAATGTTTTTCAATATACACAACTTAACAATCATTTATAAACAATGATATTATACTCTAACCCCCAATGTGTGAACCGCAATCCCCAATTCACTAACCTAACATAAGATTCATTTAATCTTGAAAAATGAAAATCAATGATTCTGATTCGTCGAAATTATTGTTGAGTTTCATTTTAAGATTGACCAAATTTTGCCGTTTGGGTTAGAAAATTAGGGATTGGGGTTCACCCATTAGAGGTTAGGATATAGGATCATGCCCCAAAGTCCGGTTAATTATTTATCTAAATAGCAAAACCCAATTGGCATACGGTGGTCGGACGTACGCTAGCATGAACTTATATTTATATATTTTGATAACTTATGACAATAAATTTCCATAAACACAATGGAGTTGTGTCGGATACAATGATCAGAGGTGTGTCGGAAATCCCGAGATCAAAATTTTAGTACCGACGAATTAGGGGTCTTTCACAAAATTTTCGGGCGGAGGTGTGTCAGATGACACACCTCCCTTGTGCCTAGGTCCGCCCCTGCACTCCATCATTGCCAAGGCGAGTCTCTGGCAGAAGGCATGGGCGGCTCCTTCTCTTTTACCTTGCGGGAGGAAGCAACCAGCTACTCGTATTGTTGCGGACATTGGGTGGAAGGCTCCACCAACGGGCTGGTGCTCCTTGAACATTGATGGTGCCTCGAACGGAAATATGGGGCTTGCTGACTACGATGGGGTGCTTTGGGACAATCATGGTTGCTGGATGATGGGGTTTGTTGCAAACATCGGGACTGCCACTGCAGCTTTGGCCGAGTTGTGGGCCTTTTTCCATGGTATTGATATGGCGTGGAGGACTGGTTGTCGCGCCCTGAAGATAGAATCTGACTCCAAGTTGGCCATTCAGCTCATCAGCGATAGACATGATCAGGTTCATCCTTATGCGACTCTTCTTGCTGCTATTCGAAGAAAGCTTAGCCAAGATTGGTTGGTAAGCATTGCTCATACATACCGAGAAGGAAATAGAGTCGCGGACTGGCTCTCGAAGCACAGTCTCATCTATCCCTACGGAATGTATGAGCTTGCCGATCCACTTCACGACATAGCTGGTCTTCTTCAGGATGATATGCGGGGAATCACGCTCGAGCGTAGAATTCCTACCCGTCCCTCTACCTTCACTTATCCTCTGATGTAATTTCTTCTCTTGGCTTCGGCCTCCTTTACGCAAAAAAAAAAAAAATGTAATATGCCGTCCATGTTTAGCTTTTTATGTTTTGCTATAAAGAACACTAGGAATTTTTTCGCCCGGGCTCTGCGCCGGGATGGGTGTGACAATTAAGTTATACAGTTCTATTTTTCATTGTTGACCCTATTGAGTGCCATGTCAATGAATGAGAGTGATTTAATACGAATATGAGGGGCAAAAACAATAAGTAACAAATACGAATTTCATAACTGGACTCCACTGCATTGTTTATAAGTATAAACAACCATCTAGGGTTGCCCTTTGTGTCTCGTACGGTATATTTAAAGAATGTGCTGGCTATGTTATAGATACACACTTTTCTTTGGTAGAAATATAGATACACACTTTATATATATATTCATAAGCACCCCAGTTTCTACTGATAATAAACATATACATCTTAAGTTTAATAAGCATCTATTTTAGTATGCATTTACATAACGCAACTGCAACATTACATAGACTGGAACCTTCAGCAACCACAAACGTGCAAATCCCACAAAAATGAAGACAAAATCACAAGAGAGGACAATAGAGACGACATTTATGACCACCAAAGAGCCAACACGGTAGCAACAATTATTCCTTGTCCAGATATGATTGTTCATTGTCGAGCAAAAGCCAACTGCAAGAACCAATAAGCAAACCCATAAATTAGAGGAAGCTAACAACAAACAGAAGGAAATAAAAAACAAAGTGCAGCAGAAATGAAAGAAGATCAAGGAGCATATCTCAGCAGGGGCTCAGCAATAATATCGGATGATCGAAAGCTCCCAAACCTAACCAACACTCGTCAAAACCTCCGAAACCCACACGGGACTGCTTTGACGATCACCTCAACCCACCAAAATCCTATCAGCGAACGCAACAAATGTTGTTAGAAAAGAGATCAACTCGAACCTTTCAAGTCAAAATGAGACAGAACAAACCCATTCAATTAACAGAGTAAGATAAACTCAGTAGAGGGAGAGAGCAATCAACTCAAATAGCTAACAACATCAACTCGTAAACTACAACTGAATGAAACTAACAGAGAGATAGAGAGAGCCTGACCAGCATGACCAAAGATCCTATCAAAGAGCACTCTTGCTTCTAATGTAAGCTGGATAGAGAAATCATATAAACAAACGTGCAACATCTTGTTCCGGTCCTTGCAACAAATCACACCAACCCACCTGCTCCATCAGTTTTACCAACCTGCAGATTCCATAAAAAGTTACACTCGTGTCAATCCCAAGTGACTCGAAATACCTCTCACGAAACCAAGCTAGAAAATTAAAAGCCACAAGAGCAAACCATAGTGAGAACAAATGACCACCAAATGAGTCAACAACTAAATGAGCACTCCAAACTCCCTCTGCTCTTTCTGCTGCCTCAAGAGATGATAAATCAATACAAAACCAAATATTTTTTCTCAGGCAAAGGCTACCTCACAAGCTCAATTAAACTACGCACAATGAGGAGAATGCTTCATAAATACCATTGATAAGAGGAAACAAAAGAGAACCAGAGTAAGATGCAGACATTGAACAGTGATGGATGGGAGAAAGCTAGAAACTTCACCCGAAATCCATTTCTGAAGGCTCCTATGCATCACTTCGGTTTCTCGATCAATTGCCCTTCAAATCCAAACTATCCTGGTCTTTTTTTGGGCTCTAACAGGGATCCAACAACCACCGCCAGTCAATGAAATCTCTGCTAGTAACTCGTCGCATGCATTTCTTCGGAAAAGAGATATAAAAGAATTACAAACTAAGCCGGGGAAAAACTAAATAGCACAGAAAAGAGATAAAGCAAAACCAGCAATGTCTCACCTTATAACGTCGTGGTTTGCAAATCTGGTAAATCGTCCATATATTAAAATTAGCATGATCAAAGAATCTTCTGGTGACCTTGATATTGTCGTTGGCCACATAGCTTTATCCAACTATTCCCAATCAAAAGATCGGTCGGCTCCCAAAATGAGTTCGAACCAACCCACCTGGAAGAGAAATAAAACTCCATTCATCATCTCATTGACCAAAGTATGCTAAAGAGATACAGGAAGGTGAGAACAAACTCACCCGAGATGCAGAGAACGATCGCCTGAACCTGATGAAGTGATAAAACAAACCCATGTGAGAAATAAAAAAAAATGAAGGGATTAGACCAAGTAAAGAGACGAACTACAACCATTCGATAGGAAAAGAAGGAACAGTCATCTGAAACAAAAATACAGTCTGTGGATCTGGGTTTCTTCGAGTCCTCTACCAACCTCTTAATTCAGCAACTTTATCAATTCGAGATCCGCTCACCTCCCAAGATCTCCTCCACCTACTATATGAAAACAAAGGGCTAAATTGCAAGTTTGGTCACTAGAATTACTCAAAAATTTCACGTTTGCCACTGAAATTAATTTATTCCATCCGTAGTCACTTAAATTAAGTTAATAATTCAAGTTTGGTCCCTGGCCGTTAGTCTCCGTTAACTTTTGCTGATGTGGCGGTCAACTCTTATAGTTGACCGTTAAATGAGTAACGTGGCAATTAAAATAATAATAAAAAATAAAATTTAATTATTTTTTATTTTCCACCTAATTATTTTAAAAATAAAAAAAAAAGAAAATCCTAAATAGCATTAGATTACTCGTTTAACGGTCACTTAAATTAAGATTTCTCCCCTGCCAGTCCTTCAATTCGAACGAAACGAACCTCGTTTTCACTTGGTTCAGGTATGCCGATTCCTACTCCTCCGATCGTCGCATCTCTGAATCGCGACTGAAAAATGTTTCCGGCGTTCCGATTGCCGTGTTTTCTGCTTCCTCTCTCGGGGGGAAGGAAACTGAGAGCAATTCTGGTTTCGAAAGTTTCTGTTGTTTGGACGTTTGACAACTTCAAGAATGCTCTGTTTCAGAATTTCGGTACATTATTTGTATCGAGCTTGTATTTGATGTCTCCACCTTTTGGCAAGATGTTATCTGCAGTGTCTGATGAGCTTGCTGAGAAATCATGATAACTGATAACGACAGTAAACGTACTTATACATGGTGGATTGAAGACCATTGACGGGCGCAACATTACATCATGGAAGGTTGGTGCTAGACTTAGTGGCGCATGATATTATGATTGGAATTTGGAACATTTAGACAAACGATGAATACTGAACACGATAGAGGTTATAGGAATGACCTAAATCTAAATGAGTAATGTTTGAAAAACGACCGACTAAGAAACGGAAAAGTTTGCTTCTCAGTCCGACGAGGATCCGGAAAACCTTGGCCGGTTTTTATTTAAAACGAAGCCCCCCGTCACTTGAACAACACAGAGCTGTTTTTGGAAACACGGCCGCAAATTTCATCCCGATTCGCGCGAAGCAGCCTTCCGTCTTATCTTAGAAGAAACCTAACCAGGCATCGGATTCCCCGTGAGAAGTACCGCCAGCCGGAGAAACGACGATGATAGTGGAGGGCCGACTGCAGAGCCCTGAGGGATTGGGATGCACAGCCGAGGGCTGCAGAAAACGGTGTTCAAGGTCTTTGATTCGTACAACAGAAAGGCGATCAGGGAAGGTGAGCTCCGCGGCGGAGTTGCTGAAACGGGATTCGAAATTGCTCGACGGGATCGGTAAGTTTTTTTTATTTTTAAAATAATTAGTTGGAAAATAAAAAATAATTAAATTTTATTTTTTATTATTATTTTAATTGTCACGTCACTCATTTAACGGTCAACTATAAGAGTTGACCGCCACATCAGCAAAAGTTAACGGAGACTAACGGCAGGGACCAAACTTGAACTGTTAACTTAATTTAAGTGACTACAGATGGAATAAATTAATTTCAGTGGCAAACGTGAAATTTTTGAGTAATTCTAGTGACCAAACTTGCAATTTAGCCGAAAACAAAGAATCTAGAATTGGCTCTCAAAGAAGAGATAAAGGAACAACAGACATATTCTCGAAGTAAGAGTTGCAGAGAGATAGCAGTCGTTATGGAGGAGATGGTGACGACGATAGCGCATGATGAAGTCGTTCAGATTCCTGTTGAAGGAATATTGGCAAATCCTTGTTCCCTCGACGACCACTATAGATGCCGGAATCTCTGAGAATAAAGAGGAAGTAGTAAAGACGGTGCCTGCCTCTTCCTCAAGGTGATAAAACGAAGCCCAAAGTAAGTGCAGCTTTGATCCTCCAGACACAGCATCCAAACTTAGTGGACGGTTTGGATGTTGCTTCTCCAACTTGAGGAAGTCTTCAACCAAATAACTGCTGTGCTCTACGGCATCTAAAGAATCCAAGAGTTTAGCTTTTACAGCATTCCAGACCTGATTTGAGTTAACCTGGTCGTTGCTGTTCCTAGCCCTGTATATTGGTAATAACTTTAGCAAACAAAAAAGTGAATGATGAAGCTTAAATTTTACATTTACAGACGATTAACACCTTCCAAATCCTAACAAAATAATATGGAGATTCCTGCCCGCAGCGCCTGCAATTCCTGTTTTCCTGCGCTCTGCGCAGTTCACGGGAGGCCATTTTGGTAAATGGCTCCGTTCCATTGAGATGGGCCGCATAGAATGGCTTCGTTCCATTGCAAACTTAAAATGGCTTTGTTCCATTGAAATGGGCCGCGTAGAAATCAAAGCCCAATTCAAAACTTAAACGTCGCTGCTGGCTCCGTCACGGGTCGGATTGGGCTGCCGGACGGATCGATACTCTTCTCTCTTCCCATCTCTCCCAAACGCCGAAATTCCCTAACCTCGCCGCCGAACTCGAGCTTCCAGTCGTCGCTGCTGGCTCCGTCACGGGTCGGATTGGGCTGCCGGACGGATCGATACTCTTCTCTCTTCCCATCTCTCCCAAACGAACCACAACTTCCAGCTTCCAGCCGCCGAAATTCCCTAACCTCGCCGCCGAACTCGAGCTTCCAGTCGCCTGCCCAAACAGCCTCGCCGCGACGCCACAGCCTCGCCGGTCAATTACAGCTCCTTACATCGACCTCTCCGTCTTTATCGCCACCGCCTCTCTTGACTGTCTCTCTGTTCCTGTCTTTCGCGACTGCTGCTCGCCGCCGCGACGCCACCGCCTCGCCGGTCAATTTTCCCCCTCCCTCGAAGTCCATTACAGCTCCGAAGTCCATTACAGCTCCTAACGTCGACCTCTCTGTCTTTCTCGCCACTGCCTCTCTCCACCGTCTCTCTGTTCCTGTCTTTCGCGTCTGCTGCCTCTCACCCTGCCTGCCGAATTTTCCACATCCCAGTTCGAGAGATTAATCAATCACTCTGCCTCTGTAAGTTCTCTTCATTAGGTTACCCTCTGTCCCTCTTTCTAATTTAATTTATGCAATTGATATTTGAAACCGCCCAGGAATAAGAATTCAAGCAGTGTAACTGAGATTAAAGGAGAAAAACAATATGAGTGTCTACTTAAAGATGTCTGATATTGTATACCTGTTTAAGAAACCACGGACTGTAATCATGAAGTTGGTATTCTTTGTACCTGTTAGAAATATATATAAAACATCAAGCAGTATGACAGATGAAGAGCCATTTTCACTAATTACTTCATTTTCGGATTATGATTTTTACTTGGGCATGGAAATTTTGGCATAACTAAAGTGCCGAAAAAGCTTTATGTGCTTCTTACCTTAATCCAGAGACACTATGCCCAGATCCATTATTTGTTATAATAAACTTGCAAACACATAATGATACTACTGATCATGAATAGCCAAGAGAATTAGGCAGTTTATACAGGGGGAGTGCATACAGAGTTCAAAGCTATATCGGACCACATTAAGTGCCTATCTCACAAGTCTAATATTTTCCATATTCTTTTAACTTCAGGTAGACACATTGACAAAAGCAGAGATATTATTCCATGTCATGCCCTTTTTCTGCACCTAGAATTTCTGCTCCTATCTACTTATTTGAGAGATTCCCAGTTTTGATGGCCGATATCTGATGAACCTATGTTTATGATTGACAAAAGCATTAGAAATTAAACAAGCTTAGGTGGGAAGAACAGGGCAGCAGGCAGCAATTAGTCAATGAAAATGATGAACCAACTGAAATTAATTAGCATCAAACAGCAGCTTCTATACATACAGCTCAACAGAATATGAATAATGAAAACGGATTTGCTTCTTAATCAATTCATTGTCTTCCTTCTTTTTTTTTTTGCTTCTCCTTCTCCCAACTCTTATTTGCATGCAATCAGAGAGTAGACGTAATCAAGTTCCAGCTCTGCCATTAGTATAAGTAATCGGCCAGACCTAGAATCCCTGCTCCTGTATGAATTGTCTCCATATATTATTTTGTTAGGATACACATGTACTTGCTTGCATTGGTTGTCGAAGGCGAATCTTATGTTCTTTAATGTTCTTTCTTGATCATGCCTCTCTCAATCTCATTATTTGTGCATTATTACTATCCCTTCTCTGTAAGTGGTTGTCAAGTTTTCCTTTAACATTCGTCTTGCTCAGTACTTGCTCATTATTTGTACATTAAGGCAAATTTCATGTTCTTTTTTGAAGTTCTATGCGTCGAAGAAGAAGTATTCCACATGGGAAGTCATCGACAGTCTCAAATAATGAGTCAACTCGACCATTAAAGATTGAATGTAAGTACAAATATTCATCTTAGCATAATTATATAGATTTGCAATTTAATATGTTTCATTTCACGTGTTTTTCAGGGTATAAGAGAGCTGTTTTTTTACCACCAGAAGGTGTAGTGGATTCTAATCAGTCTCTATCTGAAGCACAGAATAAAATTTCCGATGGTATGATTATCTACTTAATGTTTTTCTCTTTAACTATTTCACTATGGTTGAACTTACAAAATCATTACTCTTCAATGTAAATTTTAGAAATTCATGCACATAAGTTAGAGTTGAAGAGAATTAATCATCCGTTGGCCAAATTAGCAAGAAGGAAACGTGCTATTTATATAAGGCAGAAGCGTATATATGGCAGAATGGTGAACATTCCTTCCGGTAATCCATTTGTTCCATGTTTTTGATTTATTTATTATTAGTTTAATGTGTTATGCTTCTGTGATTAATTTTTTTAAGTAATTCCCATACAGGGCTGCAAAGTGAGATGGATAAGTTACAATCTAAGAGAAATAGATTATTGAGATCTATCAAATTAGGCGAAAATCGTTATAATCATCTTCGATTGATGCGTTCTGGTGACTTTCCAGGTTTGTTAATATTTTTGTTATTACATTTCCCTTCAATATCACATCTGTTATCCATTACTTAGTAGGTTTTAGCATAAAGGGACAACTATACAATAATAATCTTTCAGTAGGTTGTAGCTATACCTGTTTTATAATTATGAGATTTTATTTATCTTTTTTTATTGTAATAATAGAGTTTGTGTCTAATTTAGTTTTTTTTTTATTGTAGTGGTTGAAGTGTTTGATATTGGAAAACCATCATATAAATGTGCATATTGTGGAGCAATAATGTGGAAGGGCGAAAGTACAAAATCAACGAGGAATTCCAATCAACCAAAATTTTCGTTGTGTTGCAGACAGGGTAAAGTGAAGCTCCCTCCTCGAAGACAACCGCCAGAGATTTTGAATATGCTATTGCAAGCAAACTCTTCAATGGGACGTCACTTTTTGGAATATATCAGAGGATATAATGGGGTCTTAGCATTCACTTCTATTGGAGGTAAACTGGACCGCTCTATAAATGATGGGCGAGGCGTCTATGTATATTCAATTGGAGGGCAAGTATATCACCGAATCGGCAGCCTGATACCTACTGAAAGGAACAGACCCAAATTCGCTCAACTCTACATATATGATACTGCCAATGAACTCCGAAACAGGTTAGACTTTTTCTCCACAGATCCAGATTCAAATCCTTTGCGCGAATCAATTATCCAACAATTACAGGAGATGCTAGATTCAAGTAATATATTGGTAAAGACATTTCGATATGCAAGGGATAGATTGAATGACAATACTGTTCGACAAGTTGAAATAAAGTTGCTTGCGAAAAGAGAAAGGGATGGTAGAGAATATGATTTGCCATTAGCAAATGAGGTCGCTGCGTTAATTGTTGATGATACTGGTGAGCAAACATTTTCTCCTGATATTGTTGTCCAGTATCAAAGTCATGAACTGGAACAAATCAGTATATATCATCCAAGTTTGATGGCTTTGCAATATCCCATATTATTTCCACATGGAGAAGATGGTTGGCACCCAAATATTCCATATTTTGGGAATGTGGATGGGGATGAGGATGCAAATGAATATAATGAGAAGAATGTGACTCAATGTGATTTCTACAGTTATAAACTTCAGACCAGACTGGAAGAATCAAATGCATTACTATTGTGTGGAAAGCTGTTCCAACAGTATGTCGTAAATGCATATGCATTGGTTGAGGCTGAGCGTTTGGATTGGATTAAAAACAACCAAACAAAGTTGCGACAACATTACTACCAAGGTCTTTTGGATTCTTACTTGAGAGGTGATTCAGATACCAGTATGACTGGAAAACAGGTGATTTTGGCTTCATCACATACAGGTAGTCCTCGATATAAGTATGAAAGTTTCCAGGATGCTATGGCGATTTGTAGATGGGCAGGATATCCAGATCTTTTCATTACATTTACATGTAATCCTGCTTGGCCCGAGATCCAGTCCATGCTTGATTTGATAAGGACTACTACTAGGAAAGATCCTAATAGAGCTGATGTCTTCGCAAGAGTTTTCAAGCTAAAGCTACATCAATTGCTCAAAGAAATTGTGGAGAATAAAATTTTCGGGAAAACGTGTGCATGTAAGTTATATTCAATACCTTTACTTTAAGCATCTTGAATTAGTGAACTGTTCGCGCACTATAATTTATATTTTGAATTATTATTGACAATTTATTTCATTGCAGATGTAATGGCAATTGAATTCCAAAAACGTGGCCTACCTCATGCTCACTTATTAGTCTTCCTAGCTCCAGAAGACAAGTTATATAGTCCTTCGGAAATAGATTCCATCATATCTGCAGAAATCCCAGATCAAGCCACAGATCCTGAATGTTATGAAGCAGTTTCAAACTTTATGTTTCATGGTCCATGTGGCATTCAAGGACCTAAAGCTCCATGTACAACTAATGGTGTGTGTTCTAAACATTTTCCGAAGGAATTCTGCAGCCAAACAACTATTGATAGCAATGGTTTTGCAAGATATCGACGTAGGGAGAACAACAGATCATGTATGATTAATGGGGTTTCACTAGATAATCGATTTGTTGTTCCTTATAACAGATATCTATTGCTGCGATTTCAAGCACACATAAACGTCGAATTTTGCAACAAATCAAGGTTAGTATTCATCTGATTCATTCTTTTTTTTTTACGATCATCATTGAATTAATCATATATACAATTTAAATTACCGTTCCCCCTGTTGGTTCCTTTTCTTTTTCTCAATAACCATTTTTTCCTTCGTTATTCATATTGTCATCATTGTACTACCATAGTAGTAGTAGTAGGGATAGACATTCCAACTGCTAGGTTGAATTAATTAAATAGAAACCAATATGATTTAATCCAGTTTGAAGATTATATATTTTTATCATAAGCGTGAAATTGTTTAAGTGGAAAAGACAGATTACATAAAGTTATAGCTATAAATGTTGTTTCTTTCTTCAATGCTTACGCTTAAATTCTTTGTTTCTATATATTGGTCACTTTGTTTTGGTAAATAGAACCATAGTACGTTGTAACTCAATTTATGCCTCAATGTATTGCGTGAATGGCCGAAAATGTTATCATATTATCCCATACATCAAATATGGAAATTTGAGCATATATTAATTTTTTAAAATTGTTTATTTATGAGAAATGGTTTACTGAAGTTGTCACAACTGTGAGGAGTCTGATCAATATTAAGATTATAATGTTTGGAGTCTTATGCTTAACTTACTAATTTGTTTAGGGCTATCAAGTATTTGTTCAAATACATCAACAAACCTGAAGACAGAGCAATGGCGACTTTGGAATCTAGAGCTGGTGATAATGGAGAACACCATGACCAAGAAAAATCGTCAGCAACATGCGTTTGTATTGATGAGATCAAAGCTTTTCTAGACTGTCGCTACATCACATCAGGTGAGGCATGCTGGAGACTTTTTAAGTTTGACATCAGCAGTAATTCACCTTCTGTGTTGCGTATGTCATGTCACTTGCCTGGGCAGAATAAAGTAGTTACAAAGGAGAAAGAAAAAATTGAAAAAGCTATTGAAAAAGATGAAACATCAATGTTGTTGGCATGGATGGAAATAAATGCTCATTCTTCAGAAGCACGAAAATATACCTTCGTGGAGTTTCCTCAGTATTTTGTTTGGAATCGGAAGTTGAAAAGGTGGCAGATGAGGAAGGGCAAGGTTTGTATTGGAAGATTGTATTATTGTCCTCCATCGGCCAACGAAAGATTTTATCTTCGTATGTTGCTGCATTTGGTCAGAGGTTGTCGTTCTTATGAAGATATCAGAACAGTTAATGGTGTTGTTCATGAATCCTTCCAAAAAGCATGTTATGCTCTTAGGTTATTGGCAGATGATGAAGAGTGGAGTGACTGCTTGAAGGAAGTTGCCTTCTGGGGTTCTGGATATAAAGTAAGGAATCTGTTTGTCACAATTCTTATGCACTGTCAAGTGTCTGATGTGCAATCTTTGTGGGAAAAGAATTGGGAACTACTGAGCGATGATATACTGTTCAATCGAAGAAGGGAGTTGAATTTACCCAATTTGCAATTATCGACTGATGAGATCAAGGATATGTGCTTGGTGGAGATTGATAAATTATTGCAGAAACAGTGGAAGTCTCTTGCTGATTTCCCAGGTTTGCCCATTCCATCTGGAACTTTGAGATCAAATTCTGGAAATCGAATGATTGCCGAGGAGTTAAATTACAATTCAGAAGATTTGATGAAGGAGTTCAATACATTGTATCCAAAATTGAATTCAGAACAGATGAAGGCATTCGATGAAATTATTACAGCTGTGGAGGAAGGGAATGGGAACTGCTTCTTTGTAGATGGATTTGGAGGTACAGGAAAGACATTTCTGTGGAAAGTTATATGTTTGAAATTGCGGGCAGAAAAGAAAATTGTGTTGTGCGTTGCATCTTCTGGTATTGCAGCTTTACTAATGGTTGGAGGAAGAACTGCCCATTCTCGATTTCACATTCCAATTGACTGTGACTCAAAATCAACATGTCATATTGAACAAGGGACTGATCTAGCAGAGTTGCTTCAGAATGCATCTCTAATTATCTGGGATGAAGCTCCTATGGCTCATAAGTACAATATTGAAGCAGTGGATAGAACTCTCAGAGACATTTTGCATGTGAAAAATTCAAACAGCAAGGACATGAACTTTGGAGGAATTTCCGTTGTGTTCGGTGGAGATTTCCGGCAAACATTGCCAGTAATTGCTAAGGGAACCCGAGCAGATATTGTAAATTCTTCTATCAAGCGGTCGTACTTATGGCCATCACTGAAAGTATTGAAGCTCTCCCAAAATATGAGATTGTGCACAGAAAATTGTGGGCCTGAAGAAGCCATCCAGATTGAAGAATTCAGCAGGTGGATTTTGCAGATAGGTGATGGAGTCGGTTCCAATGTTTTTGGGGAGACAATGATCTCAATTCCGACATCTCTGAGCAGTCAATGTGAAGGAGATCCCATTGCCGATATTGTCAATGAGGTATATGGTGATCTCCATTTGAATCACAGCGAAGCCACCTATTTGGTTCATCGAGCTATATTGGCTCCACATCATGAAATGGTATCGACGATAAATAATTACATGATGGAAAGGTACCCAGGAGATGAAGTCTGTTATCATAGTTCAGATTCAATTGAGGTTGATCCTGGTAACAAGCATCATATTGAGGGTGATTATTCTGTGGAGTTTCTCAATACGTTGAAGATCAGTAATTTTCCAGACCATTCTATTAGGTTGAAAGTTGGATGCCCTGTAATATTACTGAGAAATATGGATCAAAGTACAGGTCTCTGCAATGGCACAAGAATGATTGTCAAGAGGCTGGGCACGTGGTTCATCGAAGTGGAAATTCTGACAGGTACTCATATTGGCGACCGCATATTTCTACCTCGAATTAAATTGTCGACTCACTACAAAAGTCTGGATTTCACTTTGGTCAGGAGACAGTATCCCATTGCAGTTTGCTTTGCTATGACAATTAACAAAAGTCAAGGGCAAACTTTGAAGCACGTCGGATTATGCTTGAAAAAACAAGTGTTCTCTCACGGCCAGCTTTATGTTGCACTATCACGAGTCACAACGCACCATGGAATGAAGATTTTAAGTTGTGATTCAGAAGGTGAAGAATCAAAGACCATGCAAAATATCGTGTTTGAGGAAATTTTCCATTAATATTGCAGAACTTGGAACATATTTGAACCCGAGATGCCATGTAATTTATGATGTTTTTAATGCAATTACTTTCGGTAGGATTGAAAAATGGCCCTTATATTAAGCATCGTACTTTGTTTGTCATGCATGGACAGTAACTTTTACTGGGGTGTCGACGTTTGAATAATGCAGGTGATACCATAGGAGGGTTGAGAAATTGCTTATATTAATCCACGTATCTTTCACTTAATTCTTTATTATTTTGTTCATGGGGGAAACAAAGACACCTGATGGTGTAATAATCATTAACGACAAATGGGTTATTGTTAGATCGAGGTTATATATGATTTTAACAGTAGTACTTGACTAATATCAATTTGCTTCGTGAAAATATGGGTTTGGTTGACTTTTTACATACCTCATGATCATGAGTTCGGTTTGTTCAAAGAAAAATTTACCCAACCTTTTTCGACTGAGCTTGGGTTGGGCCCTTTCGAATGAGCCCATTTTATTTAAAATATTACAAGATTTAATTACGGTCCAGCCAATAAAGTGACCCTGAAAGTTTTTTTTAATTGAAAAAATTGATACACTTCTGCATTTCGGAGTTGGATTGGAGGTTGCTATTTGGGAATCGTCCCGTTTGATTAGAGTAATTATTTGGGCTGTTATAGAAAAATTTTATTCTTATACTGCCATGCCAAATTAATATATATATAGAGAGAGCAATTACCAAGTTCACTCAACTGCCAAACACCTAGGACTATTAAAATATAATACTTAAAAGAACGATCATCTACTAATACTTATTATTCATACTAATACTACTAATATATAGTTAATAAAATAAATTATGGGTAAGTTATGTATAAAATACGTACGGGTATTTGACTTCATCTCTAAACTAATGGTATGTTTAGTACATCAATTGTTATAAAATATCTAAATTAAATCATTTATAGAATAAATTAATCTAAAAATAATAGTTAATTAAATACTTAATACGTACAGGTATTTGACTTCATCTCTAATCTAATGGTATGCTTAGTAGATCAATTATATAAAATATATAAATTAAATCATTTATAGAATAAATTCATCTAAAAATAATATTTAATTGACTATTTAATTCATTAAGACCTTCGGTTGGGTTTTTTTTGGAACAAGAAAAAATATAGTCCATTTTTTACGACTGATCTTGGGTTGGGCTATTTTCGAATGAGCCCATTTTATGAAAATATTAAAAGGTTAAATTACGGCCCAGCCAATAAATATTGTATTCTTTGCAAAGAATAATTACTAATTAGAATATTGTCTCACATCTTTCGCACCAAACTCACGAGACCCCCACATCAGTCCAAATTCATCCCTTACATTATTATTATTTTTCAAACTCTAATCCTACTCTATCAAGTTACGTGCATTTACCAAAACTCAAAATCCTAACCTATTTTATTGGGCATCCCATATAATTGAATTAATTAATTGCCTGATACAAAATAAAATGACAATAAATTGCAATTGCATTCCTACACTGCCACACCCACCGTGAAATTCGCAATAAAATTACATCATTGTTATTACGTTTGGTGTTTACTACATTATTATTCCTTTATTTTATATTCAAATTAAAATCCCAGTCCAACAAGGTATGTGCGTGTACCGACTTCCAAAACAATAAATACAAGCCCCAATTTCGTCGGAATAAGAAGAACGTCCTATAAAGAATAAAAATTTATTACCAATTCTCTAAACACTAATCCAAGACAACACGAAGTTCCAGAACAGTTAAAACATTATTAAATTCCAATTCAATTCCTGCCCAGTTAGTAGAGATTACTTTATTAAATAGGAGTCCAAATAAAAAATTACTAAATCCCAATTCAATTCATCTACTGCCACGGAAATAATGGCAGAGATCTCTCACCCAAGTATTATATAAAGGGCTGTAGCTACCTGCTACTTCCACCCATCACGATCACGACCAACCTTTCTTTAGAACAGAAGCAATTCAAGCCAATTCATCTGCATCGCTCGCATCATAGCTGAAGTATACCGGTACGATAATCGCCTTCTCCAATCCCCGCAGTTTTTACATTCCTTCATTAATTATTAGTTTACTATGTATTTGCATACCTTATTCTTTTCCCTATTCGCTAATCCGTACAAACATACTATGTATTTGCCGCAGATATAGGTAAATAATATACATTACTATATATGCTAATATTGTTTTCTATGATATTCAAATTCTAAATTGCCTACATTATGATTGTGCTTATTACATTTATGAGTTAGACTTTTCAAATTTATTGCTTTATTGAAGGTTAGTCAATATGCAATCCCAACTCATATCCGATCTGACAACTCAAAAGACGGACTGGACTATCCAATGTCGCATTTCGAGGAAGTGGCTGGCAATCAATCTCAACACCGATGCTGTTCTTCGCCTGGATATGATAGTCATCGACTCAAAGGTAGAGAAACAAACATCCATGTCAATTCAAATTTCATGATTAACGCTCCACAATATGATTATTAATATATATGTTGAATTAACTTATGCAGGGCAATGATATTTGGGTGCAAATTCCCAAAGTCCAAATCAATGACTTCCAGCCCCTCTTTCGAGACCAGAGAGTGTACACTATCAGGAACTTTAAGGTCGCTATGACAACGGGAGACTACAGGCCAATTTCAAACAGATTCGTCATCAAGTTCCTGCCAAATACCGAGGCCCATGCTTGCGATGACATTCCATCCATACCTGCTTACAAGTTCAATTTCATCAAACATGATGAAATTGCCAAGAAGTGCAACCAAAGGAAATACCTATCAGGTACAACATACCATTCTCAATGCAAATTACAACCTTATGCTTTTGCAACAAAAATAACTAACTTTCAAATGTTTGCATTCGACAGATGTTGTTGGCCAACTTACTCGGTATTCTCCTTTGCTTACAAGCACTAAACTGACTGGAAAAGTTACCCGCAAAGAGCTACACTTGAAACTTCCAGAGTATGTATTTCTCTTACCTTTTCGTTTCAAAATTCAAATAACATACATTACTTTATTTCTAAGTGCAAATCTAATACATAATTCGGGTACAGGGGATTGGTTGTCAAGGTAACTATCTTTGGTAGGATAGTCACCCAATTTAATTCCATTCTTGCAAGTGCTGGTGATCGTCCTATCATCCTGGTCATTACATCATTATACATCGTTGCTTACAATGGTAAACACACAATTTAATTACTCTCATATCAATTAATATAATTCATATAAAATATGCCCTTAATAAACTTCCCATAACTTTTGCAGGTGAGAATACATTCTCCTCAAGCGGAGCGACCTTACTGCTAGCTGATCCAAAAATTCCTGAAGTCATTAATTTTGCACCAAGGTAAAACTCGCGACATATTTGTCATCGTATTGATGTGCATTTTAAGTTACAAGCTTATAACGTATTAAGACATTAATTACCTACCCTTTTGCTGAATACAGTGGGGGTGATCCGCCAGCTCCGCCAGTGAAGGAAATAGAAAAACAGCAAAAGATAGTTCCGCTGAAAACAATAGATGATCTTAATATATTGAAGATGAACGAGGGAGAGGAGGTCAGTACCAGTTTCAATTCAACAACCTACTCATTATCAATTGCTAACACTACATATAAAATGCAGGGAAATATTTATTCTGTCATATGCAAAGTTCTGAAGGTTAAGAATGGGTGGTGCTATGCTGGCTGTCAAAAGTGTCCACAAAAACTCGAAGAAGATTCTAATGAGTACTTCTGTGGGAATTGTATGACAACATTAAAGACCACTACAGCCCGGTAATTCGATGATTGTTTAATGTCAATTTTACTTTCATGTATTTAATTCCTTGATATATTGCTAACGTGGTTGGATACATGATTAACTACGACATAGTTTATGTACCTTTTTTAATTTCATAGATATTGCAACGTGGTTGATAATTTAATTTGATGCAACATGCTTTTTAATCATTTATTTTTGGCTTACATATATTAATTCAACGACCTCACCACTCCTACGATTTTTCTTCTTCTTCAATCGCATCATTATAATCATAGATTCAGGATCCACATCCGAGCTGCGGACACAACAAATGCAGCTGACTTTGTTATTATGGATCGAGTTGCCGATCGATTTTTTCGCATATCTGCTGAAAAACTTTTCCAAGACAACGATCAAATGAGAGGACCACCACCGGCCCATCTCTTACAAATTGAAGGGATGAAGTTGAAGTTCTTCATCAAGCTCACAGGTTACAACATCGCTAACCCTACAAGCGAATACACAATTATCAAGATAGAGAAGGATGAGGAAAACTCCAACTCAAATGATCTCCCAATATTGATCGAGGTATGTACAAGTAATGAATGTGATTCTATGAAAATTATATCTATCACTGGAACTTCTATCTATTGATTCATAATTACCATGCACTCTGCATTACTTGAGCTTCATTTGGTCACGTTAATTTTGCTTTGTATATGATTCCATGCATGTTAATTTCTATTACTGGAACTTCTGTTTACTTAATATTATTACCATGCACATTCCATTACGTCAGTTTTATTTTGATATGTATATAATTCTATTACTGCTATATAGATATATATTAGGAGAACTTTCATTCATTATTATAATCACAAGCAATTGCAGGAGGAAAAAGTAGAACCTGCTAATGGTGTACTCGCTGCCGTTGATGGTGCTGAGAAAAAGCAAGATATTGCTAATGAGTCGGAGGTAAATATTATACGATATGATAATTTAGTTTTACTTGCACAATAATTATAATACCTAAAATAAGTGCTAAATATAATGCAGAAAAATGAGGAAGAAATTCCCCAAATGCAAGAGAAGGAGGTCTCTACATTTAATGGAGCACAATGCGACACCAATGGCGACAAAGCAACTACTATGGATGGACGTACTGATGTTGTCGATGGAGCAGGAAGTGAAAAGAACCAGAAAAAACGGAAACATGGAGTTGTCTACGACGATGAGGAGTAAATAGAAGGATTCTTTTAAAACAATTTTAGGAGTCGGTTCCCTTTCATGTGGTTTTTCTTTCATTTTTCGTATGAGGATTTAGTCGGTCAGGATGTCGGTTAAACTATTTTATTCTCTTCTTATATTTATAATTAAAGAGGATGTCGGTTGAACTATTTTATTCTCTTTTTGCTTCCTGCTCCGACGTTTCTTCAGTTCGAATAGGTCCTTCCAACCCGAAAACCGATCACTTTTGGTTTGTCATTTTTGACAAACACCACGAACAATATATTCCAATAAACAGCCTGGCAATCTGAATATTGTTCATAATAATTTACCCCTTTTCCCCCCTGGGTATTGAATATTTGTAATTACCAGTCCACAGTTTCACGCCGAGAGTGAAATTTGGGCCAACAATCACCTACAAAGAAAATTTTAGGCTGGGCCGGGCCGGGCTGGGGAAGTGATCCAACATCCTCCCATCTTCTTCCAACCAAGTAGTTTTTAAGTTTCGAGAAAACCAGTCATCCGAAGAATGGAGTTCCTGACCTCGCTCAAATCCCTACCCTTCAACGTCCGCCCGTTCCCCGTGCATCCAAAATACTATGTAAATTGACTGCGGTAAAAGTCTTTTTCGATGCAATGATTGGTTCAAGTAGGGACTTCAAACATTGCCTTTTTTTTGGACTGCATAGTCGTGCACTTCCTCTGCAGTCTGCACAGCACAATGGAGTTTCAGCTCAAAGTTCTTGAACTGGGTAAACTGTGTGGTGGAGAAGCCTCTTGAAGTTCTGTTCTCTTTTACATTTTCGAATTTATTTCTTCTTTTTTTTTTAATTTTGAGATAGGAGACAAGAATGATTTGTTACTTCCCCACTTGGTCGCGGAAGAGGTAAAATCCATATGAAATATGAAAGTGTGATTCCTTACAATAAGGATAAATTCGTCTCTCATTGTCCTAAATCCTCAAATTTTACGATCGGGACAAATCTACGGGAGAGTTCATAGTTTAAAAAATTCATTCGACCACAGCCTGATATGATTTATAAACGAATCCGGCCAACGGGCCGGGCACGTGACTAGTATATAATAGTCCTGATCTGCTATTCTTACCCACCAGGAGACTTCGAGTTTTTACGCACTGAATTCTCTTCCAACACAGTCTTCTGTGAAGTGATAAAACAAACCCATGTGAGAAATAAAAAAAAATGAAGGGATTAGACCAAGTAAAGAGACGAACTACAACCATTCGATAGGAAAAGAAGGAACAGTCACCTGAAACAAAAATACAGTCTGTGGATCTGGGTTTCTTCGAGTCCTCTACCAACCTCTTAATTCAGCAACTTTATCAATTCGAGATCCGCTCACCTCCCAAGATCTCCTCCACCTACTATATGAAAACAAAGAATCTGGAATTGGCTCTCAAAGAAGAGATAAAGGAACAACAGACATATTCTCGAAGTAAGAGTTGCAGAGAGATAGCAGTCGTTATGGAGGAGATGGTGACGACGATAGCGCACGATGAAGTCGTTCAGATTCCTGTTGAAGGAATATTGGCAAATCCTTGTTCCCTCGACGACCACTATAGATGCCGGCATCTCTGAGACCTTAGCCATCACCAGTTCCTCCTCCTAAAAGAGAACGAACAACCAATCTATTAAAAGAGGGTAAAATTGTGCTACAAAGAGAGACAGATGGAAAAGAATCACACGATATCAAGCAGACCTGTCGATTTAGTTTTCCGCCGAAACCTGGCTGGACCTCTCAAACCCGGGAATGATCGCTTTCATCCCGCAACAACTCAAAAATGACCAGAAGAGTAGAATCAACAAAGAAGATTAGAGAAAGGTATGCAACGAAAGATGTGTGAGGAGGAAAGATTAAGAGAGAGTGGTATGAGAGCAAAAGAGGAAGAGAGGCGACCAAAAACACCTGCCTGGACCTCTCAAACCCGGGAATGATCGCTTTCACCCCGCAACAACTCAAAAATGACCAGAAGAGTAGAATCAACAAAGACGATTTGAGAAAGGTATGCAGCGAAAGATGTGTGAGGAGGAAAGATTAAGAGAGAGTGGTATGAGAGCAAAAGAGGAAGAGAGGCGACCAAAAACACTCCTGACTCCAACCATCAGATTACTTCTCTGGCGATGGAAACCAAGCAAAAAAAGCAGGCATAGAGAATTGCGCGGGTTAGGTAAAATGAATGGGGCAAAATTGAAGACCTACGTGGTCTCTAACCCACCAAGTAAACCAAAAGCAAAGTACACTGTGCAGAGATGCATCCCGCTGATGGAACCCCACCCCCCTGCGAGGCTCTCCCTTACGTCAAGTACCATCAAAGCTTAAGAAAAAGCAAAATATCCCTGGCCTTAAACAACGTGAAAAACATCACATCCCAAAGCCTCTCTATATCTAACAGCTCTCTCTGCCTCTGGCAACCCCAAGCCTCTCTTGTATCGATCTTGAGAACCAATCCCAGCCCCAAGACACATCGAATCGCACACCTGTGCAGGCTCCAGTCACAGTGAGTGCTCCACGCGCGTCAGAATCCCAAACGATCCAACAGACCACACAGCGATCTCTGATGACCAACGCGCGTCGGAGCCACCAAACGACCCCAAAGAAGGCCAACCAGAAGCCAACGACCAGTCCCACCCCAACCAAGCTGCCAAACTCCCGTCAGAAGTCAAATAGACCTCACCCAACTCCAGCCCACACCGAAGGACACGCCAATTTGAAACAGTAGATCTCAGTCACAATGGACAGTAAAAGGTGTCTGTGTGTACAGTACCAGGGGCTACTATGGATTTCTTTCTTTCAATGAACATGCCGTTGCGTTCATGGACGTTAAAGGGAGATCAGGGACAACATGAAGAGCATATCGTAGGACCGAAAAAAGAAGCAGTACTGCTGGGGAAGAATCCATAACAAAAATCTATAACCAAACTGTATATTCCAAAATCTAATCTTGTTTCCAAATCCACCCACTTCTCAAAATCCATCGGCTAATCAAACTCTAGTACAACATTATACTGAAAATACCATCTCCAAGTTTTGAAATTTAAGTTACAGCACTCAATTAAGAAAAGAGTTCCAAAACAGATTAAAACTGTCATCTTACTGCAAGAAGTCCCTTGGATCAGTAACATATCCAGTCAAAGCAGAAGCTGCTGCTGTATAAGGAGAGGCTAGGTATATCTCGCCTTCTTTGTGTCCCATCCTTCCAGGGAAGTTCCTGTTTGTTGTCGAGACACATACCTGCAGAAGCGGTCGAAGCAGTCGAACAGAATGAGCGGGGAAAACCAGCCCAGAAAATGAAAGGAAACTAAATGGAGAATTCGAATCCACTTGCCTTAGGCTCGTTCATGCGTGCATAAGTATCTTTAGGGCCTCCCAAGCAAGCGCCACAGCTGGGACTTGCAGGCGTGTCGCATCCAACTTCCTCAAAGATCTGAGAGCAAGTCTTGCCACCGGAACCTGGCACAGGAAGACTGTAGACATCCATCCATACCTGGAAAACCCAATGAAACCGGAGGCCGATTCTGTGAGCGATCTAGCTGCGAGAGTTTTGGATTTTGGCACATTCAAAATCCAGCATTACTTACCTTTTGAGTAGCAGGGACAAGGAAAGTGGGTACTTTGACCTTCTTATATCCCTGGAGACAAAGGTAAGAACATATGAATAATAGAGAAGAAAGGGAAATCGCAAGGTGACTTAACAGATGGTGCAGTTCTATAACCGATTAGGTACAGATATTATGCGTCTCCACAATGTCTGTCTCGTTAAATAGACGGGGAACAAGCACGTTGGACAATCTTTACCACAACCCTAACCCAAACAGTAGGAACAGAGAATGCATGACAAGTCCCAAAGATAATACTTTCCAATGATGAGAGAAAAAGAGCATAAAATGTGTATGCTAGAAGAGCTCCGGTTAAAGAGAAACTATAGGCTTGAATTTGATGATCAAACTTTGGCAAAACATTGCAGGTTGATGAAATATAAAAGGTCATGGAGAACACACAAGAGCAAAATAGTCAAGGGCAAATGTTCACTAGAAATATGGGTCTTACTGAAGCTACAAAAAGTTTGGCTGCAGCCATGAAATCCTCAGTCTTTCCTCCCGTACAGGACCCGATATATACTCTGTCAATCTTGACATCTTTGCACTCCCTTGCTAAAGCTCGGTTATCAGGAGAATGGGGCTGCAAAAAAAAAAAAAAAAAATACAATGAATTTCTCAAACTTCACAATGAATGGGTAAACAAGGAGTTTACCAATAAAAAGATCTATAACAGAAGCATTTGGGAGGGATAAAACTAATGCCCTCTGTACGCCTTTCTTGTTAATAACAGAACTATTTACTTATAACCTTAATAATAAATGAATGAATAATTATATTAATTAGTTACTCACCTTGGCAACTATTGGCTCCAACTTTGAGATGTCAAATCTATACTCTGAAAGAAATCTGATACCATTCACAGAACAGAAAGGAATTATTAAAAATAGGAATGACCGAAGGGACAAAAAAGGTAGCCTCTTGCCAATTCTTTCGCCAAGAAAGATTACCTTGCTTGCTGGTCACTGTAAACTGGCTCATAGGGAAGAGATGTCTTGTCCTATAAACAAGAAAACATAGTAAGGGTAGTAATGTTTCCAAATCGTTTCTTTTCACGTTAGAAGAAGAAAAGCATTTCCAGCAGAGTTTATCTGGTAATTATCCAACTAACCTCAAGATACTTGAAAGTAGTACTATCAGCAGGAACAACACCATTCTTTCCTCCAGCTTCAACAACCATGTTACATAATGTCATACGCTCTTCCATCTGTCCAACAAGAGGAGATACATATATTCATAGTCAACAACATTCAACTGACCATACACAGCAGGTTAGATACAAGAATCATTTACATTTAAACTCTCAACAGTTGAGCCAACAAACTCCATCGATTTGTATGTTGCACCAGCCACAGATATTTCACCAATGATCTGAAAAATAGCTAAAATATCAGAGTCTGTAAAACAGAAGCAAATTTGCGTCAGAATATGAATGCTGAACCCCCATTCAAAACTCACTTGCAAAATCAAATCCTTAGCAAGAATATAGTCAGGCATTTCACCGTCCATGACGAATCTCAAAGTTGGAGGCACCTGTAAATTGCAAGAAAGGGATAGATAGCATATGGTTATTTACAACTATAAGCAAAAGTTTCACACAACGTAATTGACAAATGAATCTTCGGCAGTTGAAAACTTAGTCCCCATAAAAATACATTTCACCAACCTTAAGCAAGAGCTTCCCAGCACCCATCACAAAACCAGCATCAGTGTTGCCAATTCCAGTGGCAAATTGCCCGAATGCCCCGGCAGTACAGGTGTGTGAGTCTGTACCTAACAAGACCTGAAAACAGATGAATAGATAATGTCATTCCTTACAAAGTAAACTAAATGGATTTTACGAAAGTACAACTCCTGCATGCTGAGTGTACCTCGCCAGGTCTGCAGTGACCCTCTTGTGCAAGTGCAATATGGCAGACCCCTTTGTAATCAGGATTAGCCTGAAAAGCAATGAAGTTAGAATTGCTCCATTTGCAGCTGTTATTAAAGGAAGGATGAAGGAAGGAAAAATGAACCGCTACATTTGGCCACACGAACCTTAAAATTACCACGGTCCTGAATGTCATAGAAGTACTTGATGTTTTGCTCTGCGCAGAAGTCCCTCAAGATATCCACATTCCTATTTGCACGTTCGTCGTTGGTAAATATATAATGATCCGGAATGATCACGATCTTTTCACGGTCCCAAACCTTCAATATTCAGATTGGCAGTGAGCTTCGTGCTTATCAGGCATTTTAAACCAGACACTTAATCTAACTTTTGCATAATCCAGCACCAGACAAAAGCATTGGCTCAAATTCAAATCCATATTATAATAACTTGATGTACACAAAGATATTAACAACGCCAAAAACAGAAAGCTGAGACGATGAATACCTTGGCATTCTGCCCAAACTCTTTCTTGAAGATACCAATAGAACCAGGGCCACAAACATCATGGGTCATCAAGATATCAACGTCTACCCAAACATTTTCACCGGGACTCAAATGGGTCTTCTCAGAAGCCCTAGCCAATATTTTCTCAGTCATTGTCATCGCAGTCTTCACCTGCATCAAGATCTCCCATTACCAAAATGAACAGAATCGAACCGGTGGCCAGAAGCAATCACATAGAAAGCACATGAGAATCGGACACTAACCGAGCCAGTAGCTGCCGGCTTGCGTTCCGACTGCTGTGGCGCCATGACGGAAACAATTTTCTTCGAGATCGATTTCCTGCATTTGGGAACCGAGAAAGGGGACGATGCTGGGGAGAAAGCCGAGCGACCCAATTCCTTCTGTTAAAACGGGAAAACCCCCCAAAATCATTAAGAAAAAAAGACTGGATTCTTCTTCTTCAAAAGGGAAAATTGGAAGGCAACGCAGCAGTGTCGAATATCAATATACCTTGGTGGGAATGAAGGACGCGGAAGGAGAGGCGATGGTGGAAGAAGCCATGGCTTGGGGGCGCTCCGCCGAACGGAAAGATTGAAGCTTTTTCCCAGAGACTGTAAAAGCGAAGAGGTTTAGAGAAGTTTGGTTGCTGAGAAAAATGAATGGCGGCGGCCGAAAGGGGGAGTGTGTGCACAGCGAGCCTGACCGCCTTTGCCTTTGGGTGCAGTAAAATGGGAAAGTCTGTGGCTTTGCGATGCCCTGATCTGGCAATAAAATACTAACATTACATTATCACTTATCAGAGGATGACTAATCCAAGTTGGCCTTTTGGCCAGTCCAAAGTCTAAACTTGAAATTTTCAATCTTTCCCACCCAGTTCTACCTCCCTTTCCCTAATGCCTACTTTTCTTGTCCCTTTGTTCATTATTATTTCTCCTTTACAGAAGCCAAGAAAAAACTGTAGCTGCTGCCATGAAATCCTTAGTCTTCCCGCTTGTCTCTGTCTGTTCTCACCTCTCTGCATTCTCGTGCTAAGGCCTGATTGTCAGAAGGATGTGGTGGTTGCATCATACACATACACCAAGCGATCCATGATCCATCATATACATATATATATATATATACCTTTGGCATGCATGATTCCACACAAAAATGAAATTGCAATGTGATGAGTGATACCTTAGCTACCAAAGGCTCGAACTTTAAGAAGTCGAATTTGTGTTCAAACAAAAACATGTATGCAGATTCAATGGATAGTGGTGAAGTGTGTAGTCAGAAGAATCAGGGTTGGCAGAAAAACCCACTGAATCGGGTATCCACCCGATTCCGGCGGGTACGGATAAAACCCAAATGTGTAGTTATCGGGCACAGACAAGTACGGATAGTCTAATATCCGTCTCGAACCCGACCATCACTCCAATACTCGTATACCCTCTCCTCCCATCGACTTCTTACTTCACGAATTTCGTTCTCACTTTCAACTTTGTCACGTCGTTCCCCCAGCTCTACGCTTCCGAATTCTCATTCCCAACCCTCCTTCAATCCTCTTGACTCCTAGTCTTCTCAAAGCCATCGAATCAAACTTCACTAGTCATTGAATGAATTCTTCTTCTCAAAACCAAAGCCTTTTTATCGTTGATGGAAAAATGACACATAATCTCTCAATTCTTTGATTATGCTAGCACTGATTCTCATCTCTTTGGTTTTTATAGTAAAAGCAGCTATATCTCTAGAGATGTAGAGATATAAGTAGGGATGACAATTTAGACCTGGCCCGATTTACCCGACCTGTTTTGTCTGTTTTGGGGCGGGGCGGGCATGGGTACCTCTCATCGACCCGACCTGCCCTGACCCGCCCCATTCTCAACCCGTTTTTGCCTAAATTACATATAATCTTAGTCAAATTACTCAATATTTTTCTATTATTACATTATATTTTAGCAATAATAAAGTTGCAATTAAGTGAAAACCTCAATTTCTTCAATAATTTAACTAGATTTTATCATATTATGGTTTCTTTCCTGGTCTTTTAATGAAAATAACAAATATTTCTAATGTTTTTCACATAAATTATATACCCATTGGGTCGACCTGCCCTGACCCGCGCCCCCAAATAAATTACCCGACCTGCCATGGGGCGGATATGGGTATCGAGATACCCGCCCCGGACCTGCCCCATCGCCATTCCTAAATATAAGAGAAGGGTTTCAGTCATTCAATGGTGTCTATAAGTTTGAATTGATGACAACCTCGATGAAGAAGAATTGTAGCAGAGTAATTTTCCTTGTCTTTTTAATTTCTTTTCAAGATCTGCTACTCTGCTTTTATTAGCATGTTGTTTGATCTTTATAAAATTATTGGAGTTTTATGACCGGGTATATAGCATATTCGTGGGGGTATGGGTATGGAGATTGTTTGAACCTAACTGAGTGTAGGAGTGAGGTTCACTAGAATGGGTCGAGAAGAATGAACGGCCTGGTTGAACCAGAACTTTGAGACAAATGAGAAGGAGGATAGAGCTCGAAGAGAGGGTGTGTTTAGTGAGAGAAAGTAATGATCTTAGAGATAGAGTCCGAAAAATCCGATCCTCTCACCCACCGGAGTAAATGCCATATTTATAGGCTACATGGTGGTGGGTGAGTGGTTGGGTTACAAGTGGGTACAACGATGTGACCACTGACACATAAGAGATTTAGGCCATACTTTTAGGACTCTGATGTGACTACCCCCTGACATAGGCAGGACTATACCTAGGACTATACCTAGGACTATGATGGTGACTGCCCGTCGAATGACGCGGCGCCGCTTCTACGGCTACTCGATAAGGGCCCACGCCTGTGCAATGCGCCGTCGTTTGGTGTTTACGCGCGCCTCCGCGGGGGTGGTCTCTACCTGCGCGCTTGATTCCGGCGCGGCTCGCGCGCTCGACTCCGGTGTGACTCGCGCGCTTTGCCTTGGCGTGAGCATCCTTGGTGCGCGCCTCCACAGGGGTGGTCTCTACCTGCGCACATGATTCCGGCGCAACTCGCGCGCTCGACTACGGTGTGACTCGCGCGCTTTGCCTTGGCGTGAGCATCCTTGGTGCTTCCTCGGTGGGGTGAGATCCGAGTCACATGCCCAACAATTGCCCCCCATCAGGGGGTATTCCGCGAATGCCCCCTGTTCTATCTTCGTGTAGTTGACTCGGATCTGGGCGATTCCATCTTCTTCCGCGCTATTGACTGGGATGGGCGCAATCTGGGTGAGTCGGGGCCTTCTTGGTCCTCGCGTGATCTTCGTGTCCTCAGTGACGCGCGCGCTCTGTGTATCGCGGGTTCTGTCCTTTTGATTTGCTTGCGCTCGGCTCGATTTTGTTGGGTTCTTCGCTTGTGCGCGTTGTCTAGGTTGAGGATGGCGCCGGTCGAAGTTGATGTGTCATGCCCCCCTGTTGTGCGCGTGACTTTGAGCTGCGCTCGTACGTCATGTTCTCTCATTGGTGTGCGCTATGGGTTGTTTTTTCTTCCTCGCGGGTGTGTCATGCCCCCCAGGCGGTGCGCGGCACTTGTGGCGTCGCCGACTATTGTCTTTGATGGTGGGTATCCACGTGTCGCTGTCTGGTTGGGCCATTTGGGCGGGGATTTCTTGAAATTCAAAAGAATTCGAAAAGATTTTGTAGGATCTGACGGTTACGAATCCCTATGTGGCTTTAACCCTTCGTTTTCCCTTGGCTGACTATAAATATTGGTTTGGTAGAGGAGAGTGGGACTCATCTGTTTCTACGACTTTGCTTCTCGTTTCTTTGTTCTTCCTTTATCTGAGATTTCTCTCCTCCTTCTACAACCTCGATTCTCTTTTCGCTGTTGCTGGATCAAGTTGTTATCATGGCTGGCATCAACATCAACGAGGCTGAGGTCGTACAAGGCGAAGAAGGTAATCTTTCCACTCTTTCGCACACTTCTACTGATCGTTCGCTGGAATTAGACGACGGTTCCGGCGATGGGAACGGCGGCGATGGCGATGGGGTTCCGGCGACGCCGTCGTTCGACATCGAGTCGGAGGACGATCTTGGTGGTTCTCCCGACGAAGGTATGGGTGCTTCCGGGAGCGGGCAGGCGAGACAAGGGGCTCGTGGGGTGCTGATAATCTGCCGTGGTCGTGATGGGAGGCCGGTGGAAGCTGATGGTGACGTGCGCGAAGACTCTGGCGCACAATCAGAGCCAAACTATAATGTGCGCGTATCCGAGGCTATGGCTCGACTCGGATTACGCGGTGTTGGCGCCGCGTACAATGTTATAGAGTGGGCCGAGATGTGGGGCGATCAACCCGCGCCGCACGACAACCTCAAGCGCGGTCCCGAACACGCCTCCATATACGATGTTGGCGATGTGGAGGAGATAGTGCGCGGGCTGGGCTTGCCCCCCCATTGGCAGTACGCTGCTCCGTCTACGCGCAGCATGGTGGGTCACTGCCCCGCGGGATGGTTTGGCGTGTACACGGAGTATTGAGTGATGGGGTTTAAGTTCCCCATCGACCCGCTCTTGTGCGCTCTGTATAGGCGCCTCAAATGCTCCGTTGGGCGGCTCTCTCCGTCGGTCATCATGCACGCGAGTTGTCTCCGACTCGCGTGCAAAGGGCTCAATATCGAGCCGACTTACGGCCTCTTCCGGAAGATATATAAGATCAAGGAGCCAACCACGCGGAGCGACTGCCTTTCTATTAAGCGTCGCGACAAGAGGCCCGAGGGCTTCGTGTACGGGTCGCCCAAGTTGAAGAAGACTTGGTTTGAACGTTTTTTCTACGTCAAGCCCATTCCTGGAGAGTGGGCGAGTGAGTTTGTTGAGGAGCCTACTGAATGGAAGAACGGCAGTACGCACGGGTACGAGTCGGACGTCGGCGTCTACGACGGGCTGGACGATGAGTATGAGGCGTGCATGGATCATAGGATGAACTTATACGATGCGGGAGTGCGCGAGGCTTGTTTGCAGGAGCTGTTCGCCGATGGTTAGTTGTTTTTCTTTTGTTTTGCATTCTATCATATTAACCGCTTTCTTACGACTTATTGGCGCAGGTGTTGACTTCTCCAGTCTGGTGAGTATGATGTCGGTGGACGACGTCGTCAAAGCGCCGCGCGCTGATAAGAAGAAGAAGAAGGAGGGTGCGGCGCCGAGGGGCGCGAAGCGGAAGGAGATCGAGCAGCCCCGGACGGTTGAAAATCCCCGCAAGGCGGCTCGCGTAGAAGGAACCAGTGCGCGGGAGGCGCGGGCTCAACCGGCGGAGCAAACGCTGTCTGATGCGCGGCAGCTGTCTTTGACGCTTTCACAGCCGGAGGCGGTGGTAACAAGACCTTCTCGGTCTGAGAGGGAGAAGGCGGGGAGCTCGTCGGGTGCCGCCGTTCAACAGAAGTTGCCCGAGATGGCGGGCTTTGGGGGGACTGCCGCGGCCACCTCTCCCGGCGTTGCTGCTGTCAACTACTTCCGCGATGTGCGGATCCATACCTCGGCGGCATGCAACCTTGTGGCCGCGAATACTGCGCTTCGCGCGCTTGGGCCCGTCTTAAGCGTTCCACCGCGGGTGGAGAAGTCTGACCCTCTTCATGACTTTGCTCAGATCCATTTCGCGGTAAGATCCCCCTCATTGTTATTGCGTTTTATTTCTTGCTAAGTGTGTGAGCGCTAAGTGTATGAGCGCTGTGGTTGTAGGATTTGTCGGCAACCTTTCGCGCTCAGAAGGAGCGCGCATTGCAGTGCGTCCGGATAAAGGATGACGAGGCCAAGATCATCCAGCTGGAGGGAAAGGTTGTCGGGGCGAACAACCGCGCCGACGTGGCCACCAACAAGGCCAACGAAGCGATGGAGGAACTTGGCCTCCTGCAGAGCAAGCTGGCTGCCGACGTGGAGGCGGCGAAGGAGCAGGTGCGAGCTGAGGAGCGCTCGACCATCCGAAGTCAGCTGGAAGCTTCTTATGATGAGAAGCTGAAGCAGGCTCGCGAAGAGCATCAAAAGGAGAAGGACGACCTGGTCCGACTTCACAACATCGTGAAGGCGAAAGCTGTTCGCGAGGCCGAGGTCGCGGCCATTCGCCAGTTCAAGTCTTCTCCCTCTTTCGGGAAGATTTTGGCTGACGCTATGACCAAGGCCGTGTTCGCGGTCGGGAAGAAGATTCGGCCGGAGAACCCGGGAGTCCGCTGGGATACGCGCGAGATGGTCCGCCACGTCCAGACGTGAATTGGTGAGAAGCGGCCCCTAGAGTCTGACTCCGAGTCGGGTGATGAGGATGACGAAGAGGGTGATTAGGAAGAAGAAGAAGAAGAGGAAGAGCGCCCGGAAGGGGAAGATCGCCAGGTTGGGGAGAAGGCCAGGGGCGCGGGCGGGGATGCTGAGGGAGCTAATGGTGGCGATGATGACGATGAAGAGGATGCTCAGCCCCTGACGCGCCATAAGCAGAGTAAAGAGGGACAAAGTGCCTAAGTGTCTCTGCGTTTGAAATGTTCCCCTTCTTCGTTTGTTGTTTTGTTATCTCTCTTGTTTTCTTTTAAGTGTCATTGCGATTACTTGTTGCTCCCGCCTAATTGAATCCAAAGAGTTCTTATTCGCGGCGTTTGTTTGTTCCTTTGCATTGAGTGAGCGCGAGCAGCGCTGGACTATTGCTAATGTTTGTTCTTTCGAACTGTGAGGGCGCGAATAACTCGTAGTTATTGCTAATGTTTGTTCTTTCGAACTGAGGAGGGCACGAATAACTCGTAGTCATTGCTATTTTTTGTTCTTTCGAACTCGTGGAGGCGCGAATAACTCGTAGTTATTGCTATTTTTTGTTCTTTCGAACTAAGGAGGACGCGAATAACTTGTAGTTATCGCTATTTGTTGTTCTTTCGAACTGTGAAAGCGCGAGTAATTGGGAGGTCAATATCATTGCTGATTTCCTGTGGCCACACACGAATGTTACATTAACTTGAGCAATGATATTTCCTGAGATTCTGCGCGTTCCATGTCCTTGGAATTTTGTTGCCCCCCAATTCGCTGAGCTTGAAGGTATTGGCGCCGACAACCTCTCGGATCAGGTACGGGCCCTCCCATGTTGAAGCGAGCTTGCCATGTTTGGGGTCGGGGCGGAAGTTCCTGCGTAGCACTTGATCCCCGAGAAACAATTTGTGCGGGACAAGTTTCGCGTTGTAGTACTTGGCCACTTGCGCTTTCGTCGCGGCTAGTTTGATGGCTGCCAACTCTCGTCGTTCTTGTGCTAGCTCTAGGTCCAGCAGGCGTGCCTCGTCGTTATCTGACTCGTTGTACGCCATGACTCGGTAGGTTGGGAACGTCACCTCTATGGGTATAACCGCGTCTGTGCCATAGGTGAGCGCGAAGGGGGTTTCGCCTGTTGCCACTTTGTAGGTGGTGCGATGCGCCCATAGCACCGTGTTAAGCTCATCCGCCCAGTTTCCCTTGGCGTCGTCTAATCTCGTGTGGAGGCCGTGCAAGATGGATTTGTTGGCTGCCTCCGCTTGGCCGTTGGCTTGGGGGTAGGCTACCGATGCGAACCTCGCGATGGTACCCACTTGGTCGCAAAAGTCTATGACTTCCGCGCAGTCAAACTGTTTGCCGTGATCGAAGATGAACGCATTCGGGACTCCGTAGCGCGCCAGGATATTACTTTTTAAGAAGCGGGTTACCTGGTGCGCCGTTATAGAAGCCAGCGCCTCCGCCTCGATCCACTTGGTAAAGTAGTCCACCGCCACGATTATGTACTTGCGCTTCCCTTTTGCTGTTGGGAATGGGCCCAGAAGGTCTACTCCCCATTGTGCGAAGGGCCAGGCGCTCAGGTTGCCTTGGAACTCGGTCGATGGGAGATGGTGCTGGCGCGCATGTAATTGACACTTGTTGCATTCGTCAACGTACTTCTTTGTGTCCTTTTTCACACGCGGCCAATAGTACCCGTGTAACAGTATGGTGCGCTCCATACTGCGCGCACCGGCATGCATCGCGCACATCCCTTCATGCAGCTCTTGCACCATGTTGCGTGCCTCGTCGTTTCTAATGCATTTGAGATATGCTCCGGAGTATGATCGCCGGTATAAGTCATGGCCAATTATTGTGCATCGGGCCGCCTTCTGCCTCAAGGTCAATGCTTCCTTGGCATCTTCTGGCACCACGCCGTCTTGTAAGAACCTTATGATCGGGGTTCTCCAATCATCTCCCGCGATTTGGGTGGTATTGACCGTGGCCTCTTGGTTGGTTTCCTCTTCCTCCTTTTGTACTGTCACCAGGCGTGTAGACTCGAAGTTTGTTGCTGTTGCCAGTTTGGATAGCGCGTCGGCGTGCATGTTTTCTTCGCTTGGGATCTGCACGTATGTCACCGCCTCGAAGGCGGTTGCACGCTGCTTGACGCGTTCCATGTAATGCGCGAGTGCATCTTCTTTGGCATCGAATGCTCCATTCAGTTGGTTGACAGCTAGCGATGAGTCAGAGAGTACTCTGATTGTTCTAGCGCCCAAGTAATTGGCAGCCGCCATTCCCGCCAAGATGGCCTCATACTCGGCGGTGTTATTTGTCTTCAGGGCTCTGAATCGGATTGCTATTTCGTGCACAACACCTGTGGGCGTGCGCACGACTACCCCCGCGCCGTCGTCGTGCTTGCTCGCCGCGCCGTCTACGTAAACTTCCCACACCCCTTCCGGAGCTGTTTCCAGGGTTACTCCCTCAGCGATAAAATCTGCCAGGATTTGCGCCTTTATTGCTGGACGCGGAGCGTACTGGATGTCGTACTCTGACAGTTCGACGGCCCACTTTACCATTCGCCCCGATACCTCCATTGAAGTTAGGATCTTTTTTAACGGGAGGTTGGTTAGGACTGTGATTCGGTGCGCCTGGAAGTACGGGCGTAGTTTTTGCGCTGCGCTAACCAGTGCTAATGCTGCTTTCTTGATAGGGGAATATCTTGTCTCTGCGCTGACCAGAGTTCGCGATGTATAGTACACTGGGCGCTCGCCCTGACCGTCTCTCTTGGATATTAGTACTGCGCTTACTGCTCTTGTGGACACGGCAAGGTACAGAAAAATTTCTTCATTAATTTTTGGGGCGGTCAATACAGGGGGGAAACAAGATATGCTTTGAGCTCTAGGAAGGCCGCTTCGCACTCCTTGGTCCATGAAAATCGCGCGCCGTTTTTCAGTGTCTTGAAGAATGGAGCGCACTTGTCTGCTGATCTTGGGATGAACCTTCCTAGCGCCGCAATTTTCCCGTTCAGAGACTGGATCTCCAATGTGTTTCTTGGCGCGCGCAAGCCCTGGACTGCGGTGATTTGCTTTGGGTCGACTTCGATGCCGCGCTTGGTGATCATGAATCCCAAGAATTTTCCGGCTTCTGCTCCGAACACGCATTTCAGCGGGTCAGGCGGAGACTGTGTTTGCAAAGCGCTTCGAATGTCTCGCGCAGGTCATCTAGATGTGATTTCCCTGCCTTGGTCTTGACGATGAGGTCATCCACATATGCCTCAATGTTGCGCCCCCTTTGATGTGAAAACACCGCGTCGATCATCCTTTGGTATGTTGCGCCAGCATTTTTCAGCCCAAATGGCATTCCGACGAAACAGAAGTTTCTGAACGGCGTCATGAAGGCTGTTTTCTCTTCGTCTTCGCGCGACATTGGGATTTGGTGGTACCCTGAGAACATGTCCAGGAAAGACAGTGTTTCATGGTCGGCGGTGGCGTCGATCAGTTGGTCGATGGGCGGCAGCGGGTAGGGGTCCCCCGGGCACACCTTGTTGATCGTCGTGTAGTCGACGCACATTCGCCAAGCCCCCGAAGACTTTTTTGCCAAAACCACATTCGCCAGCCACTTCGGGTATTTCACTAGACGAATTAATTCTGCCGACAGCAGGCGCGACACTTCTTCTTCAATGGCCTTGAGCTTGTCGCCCGTAAAGCTTCGTCGCGCCTGTTGTCTTGGCGTCGCGCTAGCTGGAACCCCAAGGGAATGTTGGGCGACTTCTCTTTGCACCCCTGACATGTCTTCCGTGAATCACACGAATAATTCTTTGTACTCTCTCAGCAGCTTTATCAATGGTTCAATCGCGTCTCCAGGGACGTGAGTTGAGACGCGTATCTTGCGCGTCGGCTCGTTCGGATCAAGAGCAACTTCGAAGTCGGAATCCATTGACTCCGGGCGGGGCTCTTCTGCCCTTGTGTCAACGATGTTGGTTTGGCGGACTTCTCCTGGATTTGGGGCCTCCCAGGTTGTCCTGCGCGCTTCGCCGCTCCCCTCCTTAGTGGGGAATTTAAGTTTCTGGTGGCATGTAGACGGGAGAGCCATGAATTTCGCCAAGAGCGGGCGGCCAAAAATGCCATTGTGGGGGGATTTGCAGTCGACTATCGTGAACTCGACCTGCTTCGAGACGCGTGGCTCTTGGTCTCCAAGCACGACTGGAAGAGTGACCACGCCGATAACTGGGACCCTCGTGCCGGAGAAACCGACTAAGTTCCCGTAGGCGGGCTTGATTAGCCGCGGATCGATGTCCATCTGGTCGACCGTGCTTTTGAAAAGGATGTCCGTCGCGCTGCCCCCGTCTATCAGTAGGCGGCGAACCTTGCAGGCGGCGACGAGCGCGGTGATGATGAGTGGGTCCTCTAACGGGACCCCTCCAGGGAGTTCAGCGTCGTCGAAGCTCAAGTTGCACTTCTGTGGAGCTTCCGTCGCTGCGCACTCTATGGCGCGGTCTGGTCTTTTTCTTCGGGCGGTCCCCTTCTATAGTTACCACCCCAATTTCTTTTCGCACTACGTACGAGCCTGAGGCATCGTCGTAGTCGGCCTGTGGCGGTGGTGGGGGTTCCACAGGACGCTCCACCGGTTCTTCTGCTCCGCGAATGAACTCCTTCAGGAGTCCCCTTTGTATGAGGCCCTCGATTTCGTAGCGCAACTCTCTGCAGTTTTCTGTCCAGTGGCTCGTGTCCCTGTGGAATTCGCAGCGCTTCTTGGGGTCTCGCATGTGCGGGAGGGTTTTCATGTGGGCGGGCCAGTTGATTTTGTACCCCTTGTCTCGCAGAACGTGGTAGACGTTCTTAACCGTGTCGTTGAGGGGTTTATAGCTTGGTGGGCGCCTATCTGGCGACCGCCCCCGATGGGCTTGTTCTGGAGGAGGTGGCGGGCGTCTGGCGCCGCTGTGCGCTTGCAACAGCTGGTCTCGCGGCACGGGAAGCTGCCTACGAGCTTGATCTTCTTTGGGCATTTTGGCGGGCTCAAAGCCTCTGATGGAGCCCGCTCCCAGCGTCTCTTCCAAAGTGATGGCCTTCTCAATCTTGACCTCCAGCTCCGTAGATAGTGTGACTGGTCTCTTTGCTAGCGCTCTCTTGAGCTCCATGCTGGTGGTGGCGTCCATGAGGTGATGGGCGGCGGTTTCTGGGGTGAGGTCTCTTACGACCATTGCTACCCTGGACCACCTGGCGTAGAACGCCCGCAAGCTTTCTCCCTCCTTCTGGCGGATGTCAATCAGCGTTTTGAGGTGGAGAGGCCTTCTTTTTTGTGACGCGAACTTCGTCGTGAACAGGAGTATGAATTCTTCGAAAGAGCGGATGATTCCATTGGGGAGGCGGTTATACCAGTCCAGGCATATTCCGGAAAACGTTGATGGGAACGTCCGGCACAGTGCCGCGTTAGAATTGGTTTGGAGTTGCATCCTTAAGCAGAAGGTGCTGACGTGATCCTCAGGGTCGGTTGTTCCGTTATACGTGGGGAGGGTGGGTGGCGTCCCGCTCAAGTGTTCCGCCATGATCTCCGCGCACAACGGTTGATGTAAGGCCTTTCTAGGCGGATTGAGGCGGAACTGTGGGGACAGGTGCTGCTCTAAAAAGCTGAGGTCCGCTCTTCCAGGCGGCTCGTCTCGCTGGGCTTCAGGCGCGGTCAACTCGGCCGCTGCCTGGTGTGGTGGCGGGACATCGCCTGATGTCCCTCCTTGTGTTAGCTGTAACGCGCCAGACGGCGCACTCTGCGCTGCCGCCGCTTCCCTGCTCATCATGAGCGCAATAACTTGGCTCATCTGCTTTTGCATATCGGCAATGACGTCGTTTTGCTTCGTCACCAGCTGCCTCATCTCCTTGGTCGTCAGTTCGGGCTCTTCTTCCTCGATGAGTACCGCGTCGCGGTTGCTGGCTTCCGCGAGTTCCGCGAACACCCTAGGATCCGTCATTGCCTTGATGGGGGTTACCTCGCCGGGTATGTTAGAGTTTTGTTCTGCCATTTTTTCTTCAAGCCCCACGGTGGGCGCCAATTGTTTGAACCTAACTGAGTGTAGGAGTGAGGTTCACTAGAATGGGTCGAGAAGAATGAACGGCCTGGTTGAACCAGAACTTTGAGACAAATGAGAAGGAGGATAGAGCTCGAAGAGAGGGTGTGTTTAGTGAGAGAAAGTAATGATCTTAGAGATAGAGTCCGAAAAATCCGATCCCCTCACCCAACTGAGTAAATGCCATATTTATAGGCTACATGGTGGTGGGTGAGTGGTTGGGTTACAAGTGGGTACAACGATGTGACCACTGACACATCAGGGATTTAGGCCATACTTTTAGGACTCTGATGTGACTACCCCCTGACATAGGTAGGACTATACCTAGGACTATGATGGTGACTGCCCATCGAATGACGCGGCGCCGCTTCTATGGCTACTCGATAAGGGCCAACGCCTGTGCAATGCACCGTCGTTTGGTGTTTACGCGCGCCTCCGCGGGGGTGGTCTCTACCTGCGCGCTTGATTCCGGCGCGGCTCGCGCGCTCGACTCCGGTGTGACTCGCGCGCTTTGCCTTGGCGTGAGCATCCTTGGTGCGCGCCTCCACGGGGGTGGTCTCTACCTGCGCACATGATTCCGGCGCAACTCGCGCGCTCGACTACGGTGTGACTCGCGCGCTTTGCCTTGGCGTGAGCATCCTTGGTGCTTCCTCGGTGGGGTGAGATCCGAGTCACATGCCCAACAGAGATGGTTAGAGATACTGTATCAATTTCTTTATATGGTACCCACCCAAAACTTAAATAGATTGGTATTGGATAACCATTATCCACCGCCAACAATCCGACCTATTGTCAATCCTAGTCAAAATTGGAAGATCTACAAACTCACCTTGCTTCCTCGACATTATAAGTTGGGTCATAAAACACTTCACACTTTCCTTGTCGTGAATGCACAATTAACCATGTCATGTAACCCAGTAAGCATACTAAACAATAAATAGTGGCACCATTCTTTCCACTGGCTTCTGTCACCATGTTACGCAACTGCGGTGACCCATGATAAACCTCACAATTCACACCACAATTGTAGCATTTCTCGTCTATGTGCTTCTTCTCCATTTATGATGAATGAGACCCTTTGGAAATGGACTGGGCCTCATGGGCTAACAGACAATGCTGCAAAGTCCAATTTCTCATGGAGCATATGATAGTGAACGAACTCACGGTGGTGTGTTTCCTCCTCCTCTTCTTGTGTGAGCAACACAATTTGTATTTTCTAACTACTCATTCATACAAAAGTAGGTAGACCTCGCAAATTAACCCACCAAGGTCAATCAAGTTAAAGAAACCGAAACCTCTCTCAACTTACCTATAAATTACAACGCGAGACAACGATGTTGTTGGCCAAATACGTTCACCTGCGATGTTGTTGTCACATTAATATGATTCGATTAAAAATATCAGAATCATCACTTTTAAAACTATTATTCTCTCTTTATATTGTGCTTTAATCTTTACTATTCTCATGTACTATTGCATTGTTGTCAAGTGAATGTAACTTTGATATCTACATCCAGTGCTAATCTTGCTTCCTTTGAACTATACACGTAATTCCGACACATCCATGGCCTGTCCTCACATCTCCGGCGTGGCGGTCGCCAATGCCATCTTTCAACCCCTCCAGCGTACGTGAAATCGGCCATGATGACAACAGGTGATTAGTTCTCAAATAGTGATAGTACCATTGACTTTTTTAATTTGCTTAATTTAAGTTTGATCCTAACTAGTCTTCTCTCTTGTTTCTATGATCAGCTCTTGCAACCAACAATGTGCGGGCCCTCATCACCATAAAGTTGGCTAGCCCCTACGACATGAGGCTGACTCCAATGCAGCCTGCATTTATGGAGTTCTCGCTATTAATGGCGATTTTGGAGCTCCAACGCAGAGCCGAAAAATGGCGAAGATCGGCATTTATGGAGGGCATCAGCATCTGGGTCGCTAAATATGGGGGAGGGAATGCCGAAGTCGGCATTTATAGGGAATGGAAGAATTGTTGGCACGCGCAAGGGAGAGCATGAAAGGTGTAATTAATGGTAGGAAAGGTGTAATTAATTGCTTGCTAATTAATGTGATTAATTAATGGAAGAAAGGAAATGTGTAATTAATTGCTGGATGACACAACAACGTGGTCAATCATTAATTAAGGGAATGTCAATTCTTGTTTTGTATTTTATTTAGGCTTATATTATTGAAATGAAAATGCGTTCGTAAATTACAAAATAAATTGTCACCAACTACAACTTTAATTGCATTACAAAGCATCCCAGCATCGATACCAAGCAACAACAATGACTAATTATTTCCATGCAAGTTCCAAATATGTTCGACCAAGTCCCGACGAAGCCCATGATGTGTTGGTGCAGCACGAAGCCTATTATTCCTAGCTAAGTACTCGATTAGGGTTGGAATATCTCTATCGACATTAGTTGGTTGTTGGTCGTGGACCTCATAATCAAGATTATCTACCATCTCATCGTCAGAATCAACCAGCTCATCCTCGATTATCATGTTGTGCAATATAATGCATGTCAACATTATATCATTAATTGTTGCAACATCCCAAGATCTTGCAGGGCCACGAACGATTGCCCATCTAGCTTGAAGAATTCCAAAGGCCCGCTCTACGTCTTTTCGAGGTGCTTCTTTTGACATCGAGCAAACAAGGCTTCTTTGTTTGAGCTTGGATTGCTGAATGTTTTCACTAAAGTTGACCACGAAGGATAAATACCATCAGCCAAATAATAACATTGATCATAGGTATGACCGTTTACCTCAAATCGTACTCGTGGGGTGGATCCGTTGAGGACACCGTCAAACACTGGAGACATCCCCAGAACATTGATGTCGTTATTCGACCCAGGCGGGATGAAGAAATCATGCCATATCCAGGTGTTGTACGAAGCCACTGCCTCGAGAATGATTGTTGATTTACAGTTGTGCCCCAAGTACTGCCCAGTCCAAGAAGTAGGACAGTTCCTCCACTCCCAGTGCATGCAATCAATTGATCCAATCATACCAGGGAATCCGCGTTGTGAGGCTTTATGAAGTAAAATCCTTAGATCAGCAGGAGTTGGTGCACAAAGATATGTCGATGAGTACATCCCGACAATGGCTCTGCAAAACTTCCTGAAGACTTCAAGCACAGTGCTCTTACCCATACGCATGTAGTCATCAAGTTGATCAGCTGGAGATCCATAAGCTAGCATGCGCAGTGCACTAGTAAGCTTTTGCTCTGGTGATAGCCCTAGGTGACCAAAGGCGTCACTCCTTCGTGCAAAAGAGGGATCATACCTCACAACGTCACCCATTATGCGATTGAATAGTCGTGGTTGCATACGAAAACGCCTTCTGAATATGCGGGCATCGTATGTTGAATTTGGATTGAAGTAATCCTTCATAAGACGGTCATGACCTGAGACCCTTTCACGATCAATGTAGGTGCGAGTTGTTGAACGACGACGTGAGCGTGAAGCTTCCTCAAGCCTCCGCCCGATTAAAGTCAAACGATGATAGTTAAACAGATTCAACTCTTCTATCTCTTGTTCTCCTCCAGACGATGAGTAATATGAGGAACTCATGATGGATGTGTTTGTTTTAGAAATGGGAGGAAGTTTCAGACAAGTATACAATTGATGGTAAATGGGGGATTTGCATTTATATTCGAACATGTTCTACCTACCAACCTTACCTAACGGTCATATTCGAACATGTGCTACCTACCAACCTTACATAACGGTCATATTCGAACATGTGCTACCTACCAACCTTACCTAACGGTCATATTCGAACATGTGCTACCTACCAACCTTACCTAACGTTTATATCCGAACGGTCATAACCTAACGGTCATAAATTCTCTATATATTCAGACATCCTCTCCTCTCTCTCTACCATTCATTCTTATTGAAATTTTCTGTTAGTCCCCTCATTCTTTCTATCATCTTTGTCTCTCTAAAAACCAAACAATGACAAGCAAGAGAAAAGGGAATTGGACAGTGGCGGAAGATAAGAACTTATGCAGTTCTTGGGCGATGATATCGGAAGATGGAGCTGTGGGTGTCAATCAAAGGGATGCAAGGTTCTGTGATAGAGTGGCGGCGCAATTTCGATCGAACGATCGAAACACATCTCGTACTATCAAAAGCATGGCTAATTGAATGGGCACAATCACCAAATACTGCAAGTGTTGGAATTCAGCTATCCAAAGGGTAGAGAGGAATCAACCAAGTGGCACGAATCAAATGGATGTGGTATGAATTCTCCGTCACCATCATTGTTATTTTTTACCTCGTTCATTAGTACGTGTGTTCTATTTTCTAACTCCTTTTCCATCTCATTCATTTATACGTATAGGAGCATATGGCAGAACAACTCTATTGAAGCGAGACCGGAGAAAAGGGGTGGAATTTTGGTCATTGTTGGTGGATCTTGAAAAGATGCCAAAAATTTCATACCGTGATAATAATGCCAACTTCAAATCAAAGCCACATGAGTCAATGTTCTGATGGTTCTCCCATTGGTATTGGTTATCAATCAACACCACAGACAGACCTCAATAACACAGAAGGAGACGAAGAAACTCCACCATTCGTCGGAGAAACTCCACCGTTCGTCGAAGAAACTCCACCATTCGCCATATCTCGCCCTGCTGGACGCGACAAACAGAAGGCAGCTAAGAAGAAAGGAAAGGGGGTTGTCGAGTCATCAGAGAGCTAAATTGCTCAATTGTTGGAGTATGGAAGTGAGTTGAAGGAGATGCATGCTTTGAGGACTGAGTATGAGCGAAGAAGGATGGAATTCCAAGAACAAAAATCAAAGCGTGACCAAGAAAAGTGGGAAGTTGAGAAAAAAGAGAGGGAAGCAGTACTATTTCGGAACAATCTTGATCTTATTGAAAAGGACTTGTCGAAGTTGACACCAAGAAAGAGTAAGTTTTACAAAAATCATCAAAACATGCTCCTAGGGTATGATCAATATGATCCCAACTCTGTTCCCGACTATTCATCCAACGCAAGTCAAACTGGAGGTGGAGATGGAAATGGAGGAGGAGATGAAGGTGGAGGAGATTACGGGAATTACTATTCCCTTCTGGGTGATTATTGACATGTTATGTGTTTCTTTTTTATCATTTCAAGTGTTGTGTGTTATTTTTAAACTTTATGATTAGCAAGTGTTGTGTGTAATATTTAAGCTTTATGATTAGCAAGTGTTGTGTGTAACCTATGAATTATACAATTTGAATTATTATGTCAACTCATTAAGCTTTATCATTTTTAAGTGTTGTGTGTAAACCCAAATTAGGTCCATAATTTTTCACTAAAAAATTCGGTCTCAAAATTTAACAAAATTCTATCGAAAATTTTGTATTTAAAAATGATGACGAACTATACAAAAATTAACATGAACAAATTATATTAAAGTTTTGATAAGTATATTTTTAAATAAATGGAAAAACTGGAAATATTAAGAACCCCAAATATGGAGTTTGTTGCATTGGAGCAAAAGAAGGGAAAATGGGGTTCAATCCCCAAATTTGGGGTTTTGCATTGGACTTGGCCTGAGAGCTGGAGTCTCCCATTCCTACCTGAGCGATCAACTCCGGTCTCATCTATGAGACAACAACATCGAATACGGAACATCCATGTCGTGTCCTCACATGTCAGGCACCACGACCAACATCAAGGATGTTCATCCTGATTTCACTCCATCTGCCATTGAATCCGCGACTTGAAAATCAGGGTTTTGAAATTCGAACTGGGTTGGTCAATTTAAACGATAAAATTGGTGACCGGTCACCAACCTGATCTAGTTGGTATATTTAACCATTTGATAAGAATTGTCTGGTCGGATGTCTATTCAAACGGCTAACCACGAGCATAAAATTTGATATCATCATTTGTGAATTGTAACGGTGAAATTTTTGCAACAAATTTTGCCACTATAATTGGTGTTAATTTCATCCAAGATTCCTTTGAAGGACTTTGTATAATTTTAACAAATTAACACTAATTACGAATTTGAATTTGATAATACTTTCGTATGCTTGGTTTCGTGAGTTAATTTGGGTTGTTTATTATAACTTTTAGTGATAGGTACAATGGCTTTGAATTGTTTACAGTAGATGACAAATTCAATCTTCAGTTAGTGCATTGTATATTTAGTATTTATTGTATTCCACAGATACAAACGGGTTCTATAAATAGTTAAAGGTTCTATAATGGTTTTGTAGTTCAAAGTATAATTTGTTTACGAAAACAAAGCTCATAAGAGAATTACTTGGCACACTTTGCAACATAGTATCTAAACTCTCACAAATATGTAAGATGCATCTCCGAGCTACCTTGAGTAGTTGGGTTAATTCAACATGGTATGATGTTCGCATGACGTTAGTGTTCGTGATAAGGTGATCACAAGTCACCTATCTATTGTAAGCCTCTATAAATTAATACTTGATAAATTAATAATCTGTTATTAAATAATAGGGAAGAGGAGCAGACAAAGGAGTAAGAGTATAGAGAGGGAAATAGAGTTTTCTTATTCATGTGTTCTTTAGTACAAGAAGATCCTCTCTTCATAGGCACACATCACATAACCTCTACATTCTTACAATCAAAATACATTAATGTGAGCAATGAATTAAAAATTGAAATGAGGTGAGGGGTTACATGTAACACCCAATAGTACATCTAATATTGTCAATGGACATCCATGTAGAAGTGAATATTTGCATAATAATCCTTCTTAGATGACCACTAGATCGCATTACGCTATCTCATGCTGCCTCATTAAAAAACCTTACCAGGGAAAGCCGGTGGGAAAAAACCATGGTTAAGAAAAAAAAAAGAGTGTTAGCCGAGGGATATAGGAACGTCAATTGAGGCGGCTAACCAGGACACAACTTGAACGTAAGCCGCTGCCGAGTCATCACGTTCACTCTCTGCCACGCTGTTAGCAGGCTTTTGCGAGGTCCCGATCAGAAACAGGAGCAATCTTTTCCCTTCAACAAAATTGCAGAACTGGAATTCCCACAAGGAAAAGTTCTTGCCCTTGAACTTCGTAGAAACAAAATCAAATCGTCCAGCTTCCATCCTGATCACACACCCAAATACCTCACAAATTAAGAATGAGAAACAACAAAGACAGGCAGCAAGAGAGAGACAAACCGAAGACGAGAAACCCTAGTGAGCACTTGCAATCCACCCATATCGGTCGCTGCACTATCTCTGAAGAAAATCAAAGGTCTTGATCAAGACTCTGAGACCATGTCAAATAATCTAAACAAAAGAAAGAACACATAATCTTTTTTAACGTGGTATCGTCGTTAGACACTAGTCCACGAAGAGGATCTCCCTCTCAGGTTTTAGTATATTATTATTCGACTTAATATCTCCGATACAGGCTCAATAGTGTATATAGGTTTGCTCAGACCAAACTCTAGCTACATAACCTAACCGAATGTTATTTACAATAAAGCCCTTATATAATTAATTGAGAGGACGAAAGCCAAGGCGAAGAGTTGCTTCCCAAACTTTGTCCACGTCCAACATCTGGTCGCCGCACTCGTGCTCCTCCCACTTCTCTAACGCATGAACCACCCCTGCTACCCGCCATGCACTCATCACTCTTCTTCCCAACCAATTCTGCATGCATTGCCACCACCACCAGACCAAGACATTATCGTGTAATGTTTTTGTTACATGGCTATACGTAGTGTCATAATTATTACGAAAAAACTAGTTAGCGATTCGTTAATTATGTACCTCGCAAGAATCCACGTTCTCCAGGGACTTGGGCGCTATCAGGGCCGGCGTGGTGTGGTAAAAGCAGTCATCTCGCAACTTCTTCGGTGGGAATTGGGAGAAGGGAATGAACAACGTTCCTTTCCCTGCCTGCTTCTGCTCCTCTTCACTTAATCCCTCCCCCACTAGCCAAACCTACAATTTCGACCGTCCACCAATTCTACACTTTCTTTAATTTTCTATACCAGTAACTCGAGTCGTTGGAAAACTTTCAAACAAATAAATATCGCTACTACTTACCTTGATAGAATGAACTTTGGAGAGTAGCAGATTAGTGTGAGAAACAGCGTCGAAAGACTGTCGCATCCTGTCGTATTCTTTCTCTGTGGGAATAACAACCTTTACTTTGCCACGACCAACAACAACAATAGGAAGGGATGTGAAGGTGATGGAATAAAACACGAGACAGAGAGAGAAAGATAGTGTATATATCTCTAACCAGACCATAAATTAAATCAATTTTGTGGTATGATAATATACTCTAATTATCTCTAATGGATAAACCCAGGGCGGACCCACCTTATGGGTAGGTGTATCAAGCGACACACCTCCATCCAAAATTTGTGTGAGAGATCCAGATTTTGACGGTTTAAAAAATTCAAACACGGGACTTTCGACACACTTTCGAAATTTTTAACCGACACCTTTATTATGTTACAAAATAATTGTTGTCCTAAAGTTGTTAAAATGTGTAAATATAGGAGTTATTAGCTTTCAAATTAGGCTGTTAATTATTTGGTTATACGAGAGTAAACAAGTAAATGACTACTTAGTACATAATAAGTATTTAGTGAGATAATTAGCAGTCTAGCACCTTAGAGATAACCTCGGTCTTTGTCTTTCGAATGAGAATTAAATTGATTAATAAACGGGTTGAGTCAATTAATAAGATAGTGAATTCCATGTCGTCTTCCCCATAGTTCTTTTCGTAAAATTTTCCTATAGTTAATTTCCAACTTTCTTTCTATTTTAGTTATTGCGTTTACATTTAATTTATACAAAATCACTTTTTCTTTTTCAACTCCTTAATTTTATTCCTTAAATTTATAATTGTGTGGTCCATGTGACGCAATAATATACTTATCTTTATTACTCGATCGGTAATTTGCATACACAAAAAAATGTTTGATTTATAACACAACCTTAAAACTCGTCATAGTTCATTATAAAAACAATCAAATTGTTAAGTTTATGAATAAAAATTTGTGTTAGTTTTTAATTAAGTGATTTTATTTTTATTAATTTATTAACTTTTATCCGCCGACACACCTATCCAACAATCCCGGGTCCGCCATAAACCCCAAGACCTTATTATTTAAACTCAAAACCTGAAGTTCGGATAATAAAAAACCAATAATTGACCGTTCAAATTGGTTGGAACTCATCGAACCTTGAGGCCACGGTGGGACAAAGACCGTGCAAGACAAGAAGCAACCTTAAAGAGGGCATGGGTGCCCCTAATAGCGACCTGTGTTGTGCCTTTTGGAATGGAGTTTAGGACCACAGCCACAGCCAGGCTGCTGCCGTCCACCAGCTTGGTTCTCAGCCCCGGATTCTTCCTCACGTACATCTCCCCATACCCATTCAATTCCTCCCCCTACAAGTTTCAATATCATTAAAAAAAAAATTTCAATTCCTTTGTACAAGTTATAATAGTATTCACCAAAAAATCAATCAACAGACCAACTCTCTGAACTTGCCTGATTCAACAGCCCTAAAGTTAACACCTTGACACTTTTTCCCTCGGCTTTCACAATTGCGTCCTCTATTAGTGAATTAATCCCCTCTTTCTGGCGCTGCATCGCGTACTGCATATGCACCCCGATTACACATACACATGAAAGATTGGTACAATTATGGAAATTATTTGGGTAAATAGAATATATTAGCCACAACTATTATGAAGTGGGGAATTATAGCCACAATTATGGAAATTCAAATTATTAGCCAAACATTAACTATTTGTTAACAATTTTGTTAGTAGTACTGACTTTAACTTTTACGTTTTAAAGTTATAAATTTAAAGCATTCCGCCGTGGCCGATGACATGACCTTCTCCGTCAAAAATTCAATAACAGTAACAGACAGTTAGCCATATCTTGACCCGCAACAATAGTTATGGCTAATAATTTGAATTTTCATAGTTGTGGCTATAATTCCCCGCTTCATAATAGTTGTGGCTAATATATTGTATTTACCCAAAAATTTAAAAGTTCAGGAATTTGATAACGGAACGAGCAGACTCAAGCCGTAAGGTATATATTAGGGGTGGATTCGGTTTGGTTATAACCGATAACCGATTGGTCGGTTAACGGTTAACCGAACCATCTCCCCCTACCGAACACCGACCGACGCCAATGCCTCGGTTAATCAATAACCGACCGGTCGGTTATCGGTTAGTTGGTCGGTTAACCGAGATAACCGAAAAAATGATGGTGGTTCGGTTTTAACCGGGTAAAATTATTAGAATTGCCTAAAATGAAAGGTTCTAACTTACATTTCTACATCTAAATCACACCCAAAGTAAAGTCTCAATCACTTTTGCATAGAAAATACATCTAAATCACCAAATTAATGTCTCAAATTCAACAACATAAAGTTATAAACTTCATAACCGGGTATTTTCGTTTATTTTCGGTTATTGTCGGTTAACTGGATAACCGGTTTTCGGTTACTCGGTTAACCGAAGTACCTATTAGGAGCTCCGACCACCGACCGAAGCATATCATTTTCGGTTATCGGTTAACCGGTAACCGATAACCGAACCTCCAGCCCTAGTATATATAATATACAAACCTGGATCTTGTACTTGGGAAGGGCCCAAGTCTGGAGCCGGAGCCCATCAAACCGGTGCCTCTCAAGCACAAAAGCAGCCCGCCCATAGATCCAAGTGATCAAGCCCATGGCCCAGACCGTGACGGGCCAGAGTAACCGGCCCAGCAGGCGGAGTCCGGCGCCGGAGGAGGGAGTGGCGGCCAGAGAGGCGAACCCGAGGCGGAGGCGGCAGACTGAGTCCGGAGTTATGAGGTGGGTGAGGTGGACGACGTCGGGGGACTCCTCCCCTCTTTTCAGCGACCTCTCGTAGAGCTCGTCGGTGGACTCGTCGGCGGTGCCGTAGAGGTGGTCGTAGAGCGGCATGAAGAGGGAGTAGTTGGTGCGGAACCGGGTGTGGTGGAGGGAGTGGTAGGTCGGGGTGTAGAGGAGGAATTTCAGCGGCGGGAAGACGGAGAAGAGGGATCCGAGGACGACGAGCTCGAAGTTGCAGTGGCCCATGTTGTTCATCAGGTCGACGTAGGTGACATACCAGAAGAAGGACACGACGGACGCGGTTCGCGTCATGACTGTCGTCAGCAGTGGGATGCCGAACAGTGTGTAGTAGGCTATGTGCTCTGCGAATGGGTGGATCACGGCTGCATGTGTGTGCAACCCACGCGCGTAGACCAAAGGAGAAAGCCGTTAATTAACCGATGTAATCAAATTTGATGTGGCTTCAATGCACATATTTAAATCTCTAAAAAAAAAATTAGATAAGTGTCAGCTCTAACCTTGTGTGGTGATTCTTAATTATCCTCCAACATCACTACTGTATCAATTTATTGGTGTTCCAATATCTAACTATCCATAAAATTAATCAATGTTCCTTGACTATCCATAATCACTAGAGCCGACTTTAACTAACTCAATTCTCCACGAATTGAAATGATTAGGAAAATCATAAACTGTATAGTAGAATATATTGACAATAAAATCTTTGGTAGTTTATGTATATGTAGAATATATATTTTAAAAGTTTTTATTGTTGTGAAAAAAAAACGTAAAATGATAATTTAAAGAAAACCGGACCCTGTATAAAATCCTGAATACGCCACTATCGCGAGGGGACGAAACGTACATGTGATGGGCTCGGTGGCGATGGAGGAGTGGTGGTGGGAGTGGTAGCGGGAGTAGAGGAAATGGTGGTGCAGCGCCCTGTGCAGCCAGTAGTACAAAAACTCCACCGGCCCGGCGTGCAGCAGGACCGTGATCACCACGCCGTCCAGCCTCCACACCGGCAGGTGGGTTGCGGCCGACAGCGTCATCGCTCCGATGTAGAACAGCAGCCCGTTGAACACGATCTGATCATCCCTGCACACCACATCATTAATTAGCAATCTCATAATTACACTATAATTACGTAGTGATGAGAATAAGTTAATGACTTAATGTCCAACATGACCAACTGGTTTATGACAAGGGTTACAAGTTAGGGTTACGTATTAGGGTTTTCTATCCTGCATATATGTGTAAGTTCGGTCGTTAGCTCCGTGCATCAAAATTAATAAAACAAAGGTCGACCTTTCGACAAAGCAAAACCCAAACCCTTGAACTGTGGGTTACGATTCATCGTGTAGGCATCACTCACCATCCGGCCTCGCGGTCAACCTGGTCAAACTCGATCCCTCTGTCGACGATGCGGGTGGTGCCCTTGGCGGTGCGGTAGCGGGAGAAGCTGATCCACAGCTGGTTGTGGATCATCCGCCACACCAGCAACGGGAGGATGAGGAAGGTGGACAGGTCCCTCTCCCCTCCTCCGTTCCCCGTTATGAACTCGTACGTCTTCTGGATCGCCCATGGTGCAAGTACCACATACTGCGCGAAAACGTGACATTATATAGATCTCGAATTAATTAATCAGATTTCGTGACACGTGATGATACTATACCCTAACTCGTAATTATGAGCGAATCGTAGATCGAGAGCGATTAGGGGGAGGAAATGAAGGAACCTTAAAGGAACCAAGAGGCTTCCAAGGCCAGTCAGTGAGAAATCCAGGCGTGGTTGCCATCTCTCTTGCTTGCGAGACGAAGGGTTTGTGTTGAACTGGTGATATGGATGCGGCGAGGTGAGAGACGAGTTGGAAAGGGGCCGGGGATTTTAAATGCTTTAATTTCCTGCTTAATTTACTACAAAAATCTCAATCAAAGATAATACAGAAATTATAATATAGTCGTGAGGGATAAGCAGCGGCCACATAGCGCAAAGATCGAGCAGACACATACAAAGCCACAACAAGCAGATCATGTTGGGCTCGCTTGGCAGTTGGCACGGGGGCGGCAGTTGGAGGTGGTAGTTGGCACAAGGGCGGCTATTGGTGGGGTGTGTTGGCCGGATAGCGGGTGTGCAACGATTCGGTGAAACCAAAGTCACGGGAAAGTGAAAGACATTTTAGAATCAATGACTGGAATAAATATTGTGTTTAGTCCGGTTTGGCTCGATCCGAATGTCAATTTGTTACATGCTTTCTTTAGCATTCATAAAATTCATGAGATGAAGGATTAATGGGTGGCATTATGTTCGGTTCGGTATGGTCCAATCCAAACGGCGCGGTTTGATCCGGCGCGATCCGGTACAGACCAAACCGTTTCACACCCCTAGTACTGCTGAGAGGTCCTCGTGCACACACATGGCCTTCGAATGTTAAGGGGACCTCCACCTATATATCCCCGTTAGTTAATCCAATTGTATATCAAAAGCTGTAATTGTAGTGTATAATTAATTGAAGTGAGTATGATATGAATTCAATTATTTTGATCAATACTAGTGCTAGTTATTTGTTAGTATTCTCATGTATATATACACACAAGACATGTATAATAATTGTTAAAATCCTATTTGTGTCTTGAAAGTCCAATTCGTGTTAAAACACACAAGAAAGTATGATGAATTAGCTACGGTAAGAATTGAAAATGATCTCGTGGAGAATACGAAAAAAATTCAAAAACTAATAAATCATTTTATTTGATAAAATATATTTGGACATTATCATTTTCATTTTATAATACCTAAAAAAAATAATAGGACCAGATCAATATTGTATTCGGTATGGTTTTATTCAACCCAAATATTAATTTGGTTTTTTTCTTTGCATTTATAAAATTAATGAGACCAAAGACCGGGCTACAATAGATTCAGTTCGGTATGGTTCAATGCGGTTTGATACGGATCAAACCGTTGCACGCCCCTAGTGCTGTGAGGCCCTGTGTCCGCAGGTACTCCGAATATTAGGAGGCCTCTGACTATCCCCGTTAGTTAATTAATCCAATTTTATATTATATGTTGTACTTGTGGTGTATGATTAATTGATTGTGAGTAAGATGATGGATTAATTAATTCTAGTGATCAAAACCAATGCTAGTCATTGTTCAGTTTCTTATGTATATATACACACACGAGGCATGTATATTGATTGTTAAAGTTCTATGTGTGTGTTGAAAGTCCAATTCGCATTAAAAAGACCTAAGAAGGTATGATGAAATAGCTATGGCAAGGATTGAAAATGAACTCACGCAGAACACGAAAAATTAGAGAGCTAATTGAATTTTAATTTAGAGTTAATAGCATTTTATACCCCTCTACTATTGCAAGTTAACAAACATACCATTTCATTATATTTTTGCACAATCGTACCCCTTTATTATTATTAAAATATAACAAATGTATCCTTCCATCCAACATTCTGTTAACTAACCGCTAAAGGTGATAAAAAATGACCAAAGTACTCTTCGCTTATAAATAATCTTGATCGATTTTTTTAGTATAAATAAAAAATTCGAATAAAAGGAGAAGAAAAATAAAAAAACGACATCGATTAATTCATCAAACAAATGTGCAGCTCTAGATGAAAACAAATGGTACAGATCATAAATCAGTTCCAGGAGCAGGGACTAAATACTGCATTGTACTATGATAACAAGGAGATGGGAGAAACCTATAGTATTGTGCCAACAAGTGCTATTAGGTTTGTGCTTTTGTTTCATATTTTAAACAGGTTGGAACTCCGATCGTTGCTAAAAGGAAACAGGCTGGCTCTCTGATCGACATTGGTCGGATTGCTTCCATTAAAAACAACCGTAGACCTGTTGATACGGCTAAGAAGGGACAGCAGATAGCCATTAAGGTACAAATTCTTTCAGCGCTATTCGAATTCCTGTTAACAAAACTTCAATCTGATACTGTTCTCTGATCCTGTCTCTGATGTTGCTTGCAGCTAGTCGGTTCAAATGCAGAGGAGCGACAACTATAGTTTGACAGACACTTTGACATTCGTCAGCCACATTTCGAGGAGGTCGATCGATATTCTGAAAGAGAATTACCGGGTACGTGATATATGTACTTTTGGTATCCGTTTTTTCGTCAATTTGGGTTACCCAATGTCACGTATTGTACGTATGGATCGATTGAATGAATCGAGTTGTAAGCATGATGATATGTCTGATGAAGATTGGGACCTGGTGATGCAGCTGAAGAAAATATTCAAAATACCATGAGGAGAGCTGGAGCAGTTACTTGCAGAAAGGGGTTTTTATTTTGGGCTAATACCACTACAACACCCGAACTATTCAAAAAATGTCACTTGTGTCCTATTGTTTCCAATATTCCATCTGTGTCATGAACTATATGAGTTTGTGACATTTGTGTCATGGCGTCTTACGTTGACCGTTAAAGATAACTGTTGACTTGACGGAAGTCAAACTAGTGTTGACTTTCGCAGATGTGGCAGAAAAGTGGCATCCACGTAGATGCCCCCTCATTGACATGTCATTACTTAATTAAAAATAAAATTATTTAAATAAAATTATAATAACTATAATACAATAAATACAAAATTCTTAGAAATTAAAAAATAAATGGCTCCCCCTCCCCAATCTCCCCGTCTCTGCTTCTTCCTCTTCCCCGCCGCATCAATCTTCCTCTTCTCCCATTCTCTGCTTCTTCCTCTTCCTCTCCAATCCCAACAATCACCAAATCCAAGTATTCTACTACTCGAGAATAAAGGGCGCTCATGGCCAGGAGAAGCTCTAGCTTCGAAGTTTCAACTTTCAATCCATCCTATTATCTCGACATTTCGACGGCAGCGTAGCGACTAGCGAGCGTCTTCTTCCCCTGTGTTTCTCTCGTCTTTCTCCGAGCTAAGCGAGATGCAACTCCAAACTCAACATGGAGTGAGCTCTCACTCCCCTATGTTCTCACTCGTCTCTCTGCGACCCAGTATCCAATCCCAATTCTTCTTCCCCAACCAACGCCACCCACTTCGCCACCGCTCCTTAAATTGCTCCATTTCCGCTAAAGCCGTTGTTGTCGCTGTCTCTTCAGAGCCTGCCACCTTCGTCCTGGGTTCTCCGCAACACAAGCCCTTCCCCGCTGAGGTCTCCAGATCCAAGTGCGGACTTTGACTGGAAAATGGAAACCCGGTGGAGCTTCTACCATTTTCCGAAGAACCCTAATTTTGCCAAAACAGGATTTGTTCAATTCAACTCAATCGGAGATTGAAATCATGAATCAAGAATGGAATACATTCTGGAGTGGGAAGAGGTCTTTACACGGGCCTTGATTTGGGGTTATGTCGAATGAGAAGGTGATTGGAGCGTGCAGTGGCGAGGGAGTCGGATGTCGGTCCGCAGCATTTCTGGGTTCGAAGAGCAGAGTGGAAGACGCAGAGGTGGTCGCGACCTGGATCGACGGTGGTTGGGATGAATCTTCGATGCCGACGGAGGACTTGTTGACACGATTAAAGCTGGGATGAATCTTCAATGCCGACGACGGAGGTGGTGGCGGAGCCGCATCTCGAACCTTCAAAATCTGGTCACCCTTTCTCTAGCACGACGATTCCCCTGCCACGACCTTCAGAATCTGGGTGTTGATGGTGACTTACGGGAGAGGGCTCCCGACAGAGGGTTCCACCAGACGGCAGGAGGAGACGCGGAGAAGGGATTGTGAGGGTTTTCTATTTTTCTATATTTTTTAATTTTTTATTAAATGAAAATTGATAATGAAAATTCAAGGTTAGATGCCACGTCAACGCTGACTGGATTTTCTGTTAAATACTAACGGTCAACACTAACGGAATAATAGTTCAGGACACAGATGGAATATTGGAAACAATAAGACACAAGTGGCATTTTCCGGATAGTTCGAGTGTTCTAGTGGTATTAGCCCATTTATTTTTGTTTGAAAATGAATTGTGCCTTTGTTGAAATACTTTTCAGTAGCGTTGTCCATTGACGCACTCGTGTCATTTTCTTATTTTCTTTCATTCAGTGTTTGATGATTTGGCTTTTTAAGTCTTTTTTACATTTGGGTAAACTCGGTTTAACTTGCTGTGGCTGGAACTGAAACTTTTTCCTTCCTTCGACGAAAGGAGACAAACTTTTGCCCATACTACTGTTTTGTGGAGAGCCCATACTTCATACTCGGTGAATGGTGATATTTACATCCTCCATCAAATTGAACCATAGTACGCAATGCCCTATAGCGGTTCATCAAAATGAGTCATATTCTTTTTTTCGTATTATCGAGAAAGTAAAGTACAAGAGTTTCTAAGTCTCAAAGAAACCAAATCCAAGCTACAAAATCAAAACCCTCCAATATTGGGGACCTCAACGAAAGGGTTATCCTTGTTACTAGATATGCCAAACGTATTCCTATCCCGACTAACAAATAAACAAGACAACTGAGGGAAAAGAACCTCAAAGCACTAATCTTTTGTTCCCTCCAAGAGCATCCCTCGTAGCATTTTCTTTTCGGTCTTTTCAGCTTTGTCTATTATGTTCCATTTCTATCTTAATTCTCTGATATTGTCCCGTTCTCTCCTGAACAATTTCATGTTGTTTTTCAATTCTTGTCTAAATCATCTTTCTGTTATAAATCTCGGGGTACTCATGATTCATGTGTTGCTACAGAGCTCAAACCATTTAGTCAAGTCTCTAAATTGTACTAGTCCATCAAAGAGCTAAAACTACAACTAATATCAATCAATAGGCATAATTTTATAATTGCTTGGTTTACTCGTGACGCATATTAACCGATCTTATTGGGTTCCCATGAAAGAGATAAGAAGACAACAATCTTTACAGTTGCTTGATGTACTCGTCAGTCGTCACCACTATTCAAAACTGCAAATAACAATCTTTTTGAATGTTTGGATTTGAGGCTTTCATAAGTAATTTCATTGTAATGCTTTAAGATTTATAGCGGGGTTCCCATGGAATTTTTTTATGACATCATAGCTTGATAATATGGGAGGTTAATGCCAACAAGACATATGATAAAATTGATGAAAGTGACATTTTGTTAGCGTCGTTTGGATGAGTGTTTTGGATGAGTTATTTTGGCATTATATTTCGATTAACGAAATATAGTGACCATTTGAGCCTTTGGGGTGAAAAATAAGTTCTTTTTGAAAAAAGTGTTAAGAAATGGATGGGACCTTCAAGCTTGAGCTTCGGTTGGTTCATTTTCGTGGCGGGAAGAGCAGAAACCAGAAGAAGCACAAATAACGCCAGAACAGCCCCTTACGGATCCCCAAAAACCCTAAATTTGGCAAAAACAGTGGTTAGGATTTCTCGCCATTCGAGCAGAATTTTTCCGGCGAAATCATCCTTCGTTCTCTGTCGGATAGGTTGCTCCGTTTGCTTCTGTACCCAAGATGAGAAGGGAAGATTAGAAGAGGAAAAGTTCTTCAGCCCACTAATATGTACTGGCTAGCCAGCAGAAACGTCATGGTGATGGTTTCTCTACCAAAGTGGCGGGCGTCTTTCACCCTCCTCACCCTCCTCCGCTCACCTCCTTGCGGTTACTGTTCCTTCAGTCGCTCGCTTCGCCCACTGTAACTTCCGTCTCTACTTTTTGAATTTGTCTTTAGTAGCTCGTAGTAGTTTACCATTTTGGGGAACTATGGTTTCGTTGCAAGTAGGATAGAATGTGCCTTGCTTTTCCTTGAACATGAAGTTCAATCCTATCTTAGATGCCTTTGCTCTTTTGGGAAAATGAAAGAAGTTTTGGGTATTAGGTCTAGGCTCTCACTGAAATTCTTTTCATTAACAGTCCGAGCGGGAGGATCGAAGGGGTTTACTGCTTTAAAGATGCTAAAGCGTCCAAAGGGAACACCAGAGCCACCAGGAAACCTAAGACAACAAATGATGCCCTGGGTGAAAAGGATCTAACCCACTTAGTATGGTGGAAGGAAGTAAGCTAGCTGTTTCACTCGTGGAATCTCTGCAAGTGCTGCATTTCTGAACCTTTGGATGTGTGTTTTGACTCTTGAGTGCGGTGTTTCAGAAATTGGAGAACTGCAGGAAGCCGTCTACTCTCCAGCTGATCAAAAGGCTTGTGTACACCAATTTGATGGGCTTGGATGCAAGCTTGAGAAATGGGAGGTCAGGTCTTACTCTTGCTTCTTTAGCTGCTAGTCTGTGAGTATCTTCATAGATGTAGCCAGGTTGCTTTCTGTCCTGATTGTTAAATTTGTGGGAAGGTGTATGTCTACTGATATGGACCTTTTAGATGGTCCAAGCTCAGTACTTCTTCCATAAGTTCAGTACTTCTGCTAATGAAGAAAACAACTAAATGATAGCCATTATTTGTTTGCAGTTTGAAGGAAGGGAATCTCAATTGGGAAATGCTGCGATTCAAGTCAAAATTTCCACGAGAGGTTTTGCTATGCAGAGTATGTTACTATTTCACCAGTAATTGATTGATAATAAATTCTCTTCCCTCAAAAGAATATTTTTTTCTCATTATGAAGCGCGGGATAAATGCTTGTTTCCTTCATGTTCTTAGGTTGGTGATTTTTATGAAGCTGTTGGAATAGATGCTTGCATTCTTGTGGAATATGCTGGTTTGAACCCCTTCGGAGGACTGCGTTCTGATAGTGTTCCTAAAGCTGGCTGCCCAGTTGTGGTATGTTTCGGTTTCAACTTTGTCTTTTGGAAAAAAATGTGACTTTCCTTTCATTTCCTCACATAATACCATTTTCTTTTCTCACACCATCGTACTTGATTTGGTTCTGCTGTATAATTTGTGTCTATGCTTCTCTTAGTCTGGGTAATTGATCTTTGCAGAACCTCCGACAAACTTTAGACGATTTGACAAGGAATGGATACTCAGTGGTAAGTATAGAATTTATCCTATCAACTATTTTTGTTGATCTCTGATGTTGTAGAGATGGTTGTTTCTTGTCTTTATAGTGCATAGTGGAAGAAGTTCAAGGTCCAGTGCAAGCTCGTTCTCGGAAAGATCGTTTTATATCTGGGTACGGACTAGTGACAATTATGGTTTAATCTGAACTCTGGCATGCTTTTGTATTACTGAGATTAAGAACTTAAGCCAGCGGCAATATGCAGTAAAATATTAAGTTTTTTGCTGTTTCATAGGCCTTAGCATCTTGACTTTCTTTTTTGTCTAAATTCAGGCATGCACATCCTGGCAGTCCATATGTATTTGGACTTGTAGGCGCTGATCATGATCTGGATTTTCCTGAACCGATGCCTGTAGTTGGTATGCAATTGCAACTTGGAAATTATGGTAGGCTTCAAGAATTGGTTGGTCGTGCTTAAATTTTTTTCCTATGCTGGATCTTGTAGGGATATCACATTCAGCACGAGGTTATTGCATGACTTCTGTCTTGGAAACTATGAGAACTTATTCGTCAGAGGACGGACTAACAGAAGAGGCATTAGTTGCCAAACTCCGCACATGTCAATATCATCATCTCTTTCTTCATAAATCGTTGAAACACAATCCCTCAGGTTAGTACTTTCTTCCTCCTGTTTTCTTGTACATTATTATATGGGCTTTTTGTATGTTCTTTGCTTCTTTTGCATATGATATTTTTGCAGAAGATTGTCTGGTTGGTTTATCTGCCACACACTTTCTCATTTATTTTAGTCTTGCCACAAGCTCAATTTTAGATGTCATTTCGTTCCGTTAGCTCAATTATGTGACTCACGAAATACTTTTACTCAGGAACATCTCGTTGGGGAGAATTTGGCAAGGGCGGCTTAGTGTGGGGCGAGTGCAGCTCTAGACAATTTGAGTGGGTTGAAGGGGATCCTATTCCAGAGATTTTACTGAAGGTATGATAAGATTGTTTCGGATTTGTTATTGCATTTTCCATTTTGTTCCTGTCTATACCTGGAAGTTCAACGACCCTGCTGGGGATTCAGGCTTTGTACTGATGAAGTGAACTTCTACTGGCTCTTGATTGTTGTGCAAATTTGGTTACCCTTCTTCTCTTTTTAATTTCAGGTGAGAGAACTTTATGGCATGGGTGATGAAGTTATATTCAGAAATGTTACTGTGCCATCAGAAAGTAGGCCTCGCCCTTTACATCTCGGAACAGCAACGCAGATTGGTCAGTATAAGAAGGAAACAGTATATTTAGGTTCTTCTGTTCTGCCCAGCTATGAGATTGAGGTGGTAATGTGACTTCTATCTATACCACAGGTGTTATACCAACAGAAGGAATACCTTCTCTGTTGAAGGTGCTACTACCGTCAACTTGCACAGGTCTTCCTGCTTTGTGAGTGGAACTTTCTTTTTTCAATCTTTCTGAAAACTTATGAGCATGTTGTTTGATGCATAGAAACTTTAGATTCAATTGACTAATGTAGCAAGTTCCCTTATTCTTTTTAATTGTGTCCGTGTGTAGACTGTGTGTGACGATGACGAAAGTGGCAGTTAATTATATGTATATGATTCCTATGATTTGCGTGTTCAAATGTGGCTGTGTCTTGTCTTGAACTAGTTCTTGCCTTGGAAAGGTGAACTTGAAAGTCTCTAAAGTTTTCCCTAATGCCTGCTTATTCATATGTTATGCTGCCTACATTTCTCTACCTAATGTTGTATGCTTTGGTTTTCTCCTTTTTAGTTTGTATATTTGATACTTTTTAATTTGCAGATACATCAGGGATCTTCTCCTCAACCCTCCGCCTTATGAAATCGCCTCTACAATCCAAGGTCAGGGTTCTTCTTTTCTTTTTAATTTTAGCCCAAGTTCAGCTGTGAGTATGCATCTGAAAGAATTTCTTACCCAGTCAAGGCAAAATACAGTTGAATCATGCATGGTAATTTAAAGTATAGTGAATGGAACATAATGCAATGGTAGGGTAACAGCAAAGTGACACTACTATGGAAATGCTCATCAAAACATTTTTTGGGTTGCACACTTGCGCTTGTGTCTAGAGCAATTTACTGTTGGTGGTTTTCTTTTAAGCTGTTACTTTAAAGCCTTTGTTGGCAGCAATTTTTGTTTGATTCGATTTGAGGTTGCAGTGGGAGTAGTTATGCATGAGATAGGGTACTGGAGCTCTTTATACTTTTACCTCTTTTGATTAGACTAGTTCATCCGTACATGCCTAACATTATAAACTCTGTTATTTATCTGGCAGCAACGTGTAAAGTCATGAGCAATGTCACATGCTCGATTCCAGACTTCACTTGTATTTCAGCTGCAAAGGTATTCGCTCCACTAGAGCTTTTGGAACGTGGGAAATCTATTTTCTCTAATGAATAAATTGTACTTTCAATTTAATTTTGGTAAGTAGGAACTGTTTGGCCAAAGTTCTAGGTGGATTTTTGTTTGAATTTTGTCTGTCCTATCTGCAGTGAAATTGTCTATTCATTCTCTCTGTTGCAAGGTTTCTCTCTGATGCCTCTCACCCTCTCCCCCATCACCACCACCACCAAACGTCCTCTCGTTCCCCTCTTCTGTCAGCATGCTTGGTTTACCACTGGATTATAATGCAGGAGTACTTATAAGTAACTTATGTTTCTCTGTATTTTAGATTGTGAAGCTTCTTGAGCAACGGGAAGCCAATCATTTAGAGTTCTGCAGAATAAGAAATGTACTGGAGGAAGTATTGCAAATGTATAGCAACCCTGAGCTTAACGGTATTCTGAAATCACTGATGGATCCTACATGGGTGGCTACTGGTTTAAAGATTGACTTTGAGACTCTTGTAAGTAGCAATATACTGTTGCATCAAGTTCTTTTGTACAAAGGGTTTCTTTGTTTGTGGTATTTTCATATGTAAAGCGAGAACGTGCCTCTTCATGGAATTTTATGTACTTGGCAATAGACACCAATTAAAATGGCCAGCTAATAAACATGCTATTTGAAATGATGTCTTCCTTTTTCAATCTACAGAATTTCCGCAGCTTTTTTAACTCCAAAGCCTGAGGATCTAAACTGGTAGCTTCTAACATATATTGTATGCCCGTCACTTTGTGATGATAGAATTGAAGGAAGTTTCTGGTCACCATTTTCCATTGTTTCCATATCTGTTTTAAATATGAGTCAAATGTCTGCTTGGCTTTGTTAATCCAGGTTAGTGAATGCAAATTGGCTTCAGGTAGAATTTGTGAAATGATATGCCTGGATGGAGAAAATGACTGCAAAATAAGTTTCTCTTCTGTGATCCCAAGTGAATTCTTTGAGGATATGGAATCTTCTTGGAAAGGCCGTATAAAGAGAGTTCACATACAGGAGGAATTTGCTGAAGTAGAAAGAGCGGCCCATGCCTTGTCTTTGGCAGTAAGTTACTTGGCTTATAGTTCTTTTTTGTGTTTCCAAATTCCAATGCCTCGCTAGATACCTGAGTAGGTTTTCACATTCATGTAGGTCAATGAAGATTTCCTCCCCATCATATCAAGAATAAAAGCCACCGCTGCCCCTCTTGGTGGGCCAAAGGGGGAAATAGTATATGCTCGAGAGCATGAAGCTGTTTGGTTTAAGGGGAAAAGGTTTGCCCCAGCTGTATGGGCTGGCACTCCAGGCGAAGAACAGATTAAACAGCTTAAAGCTGCAATAGATTCTAAAGGAAGAAAAGTTGGCGAGGAATGGTTTACTACTTTGAAAGTGGAAGATGCCTTGGCAAAGTAAGCCGCTTTATGGGAGAACTGATTTTGCTTTGCACTTGTTTACATCATCCGCAACATTAACTGTTTGTTTTTTTGTATATCACTTCAGGTATCATGAAGCAGGTGAGAAGGCTAAAGTAAGGGTCTTGCAACTGCTGAGGGAACTTTCTGCTGAGCTTCAATCCAAAATCAATGTCCTTGTGTTTGCTTCAATGTTGCTTGTTATCACGAAGGCATTGTTTGCTCATGTGAGGTTGGGGAACTTTATTGAAGGAGCTCTATTGGTTTGCAATGTAACCTTGTCCATTGTTTTCTTCAATAATTTTATAAAATGTTGTTTCCATTATCAATCGCAGTGAAGGGAGACGCAGGAAATGGGCATTCCCTTCTCTTGTTTGGTTCAATAATCCTAAGGTAATGTGCAGCCACTTCCTCAATGAGACATTATAACTTCGTTTAGAACTGTCATTGAGTTATGACCCTCTTTTTTCCTCAAATTTCTGTTCTGCTGACAAGTTACTCTTCTTAATTTTCATATCCTTTTTCTATCAAGTGTAAATTTTCCGTCTTGATCTTTGCAAACAGGATTCAATCCTTTCGGAACGTACTCACCACATGAAATTATCTGGTTTGAGTCCATACTGGTTCGATGTGTCGGAAGGTGGTGCTGTGTACAATACTGTAGACATGCAGTCCTTGTTTCTTTTGACGGGGCCAAATGGTGGCGGTAAATCCAGCTTGCTTCGATCCATTTGCGCTTCTGCTTTACTTGGTATATGTGGATTTATGGTGCCGGCAGAATCAGCAGTGATTCCTCACTTTGATTCTATTATGCTGCACATGAAATCATACGACAGTCCTGCTGATGGGAAAAGTTCATTTCAGGTATTTTTGTTTTGCGTGAGTTTTTACTTTTCATCTTCTCATGACATATCTGCGTCCACCATGTATTCTGTATCTTATCTCTAGTATACAACTGCCATTATGCCACGTGATTAATGTTTCAGGTAGAAATGTCAGAAATCCGTTCTATTCTGAGTGGATCAACAGCAAGAAGCCTTGTGCTTGTGGATGAAATATGCCGAGGGACTGAAACAGCCAAGGGAACATGCATTGCTGGAAGCATTGTTGAAACACTTGATAACATTGGTTGTCTGGGTATTGTTTCCACTCATCTCCATGGAATATTTGATTTGCCACTAAATACCAAGAACACAGTTCATAAAGCAATGGGAACTGAATATGTCGATGGGCAACCAAAACCAACATGGAGGCTGATAGATGGGGTATGTAGAGAGAGTCTCGCTTTCGAAACCGCAAAGAATGAAGGAATCCCTGACACGGTACTCCAAAGAGCCGAAAGCTTGTACTTGTCTGCTTATACGAAAGACCTTCCTCCATCAAAGGAAACAAATTCAGTACGATACGTTTCTCCTGGTAGAGATGTGGAAGGTCCTGATGAAGCCAATGGTCCATCAAAGGGAGAAGCTAAAGCAGGAAGCCTTGATCAGGGCATCCACTCAACAAGCAAGAAGAATGCGATAGACCACAAAGATGTTGAGAGTGCAGTCACCATAATATGTCAGAGGATGTTGATTGAGCTCTACAAGCAGAGGGGCATTTCAGATATCGAAGTGGTTCGTTGTGTAGCCATTGGTGCTAGGGAGCAGCCACCGCCATCAACAATTGGTTCTTCAGCAGTCTATGTGATGTTGAGACCAGACAAGAAACTATACGTCGGAGTGGTAAATCCCCTTTCCAACTGCCGTTCTTTCTTCGTTCATTCTCAATTCTTTGCTATGCAGACTCTCATGAGTTCTCTTTCTTTGTTGATTCAAACAGACTGACGATCTTGAAGGCCGAGTACGAGCCCATCGTGCCAAGGAAGGCCTGCAGAGTGCCTCATTTCTCTACTTCGTTGTACCGGGAAAGAGCATCGCCTGCCAACTCGAAACACTCCTCATCAACCAGCTCCCTAGCAGAGGTTTCCAGCTTTCAAACATTGCAGATGGCAAACATCGGAACTTTGGGACGACCAATATGTCTCTGGAAAGCGACTGTTCCTTAGTCCACTGAATAGCACCCCTAGAATGCTGATCCTCTAATTTTGTCTCGGAAGTTCTCTGCTTTCACATTGTATTCCTGAGTTCGTGGATGGGGGTGAGGAACATTGAACAATAGTGGTGGCTGTCTCCCTGCTGACTGCTTTCGTTGTTGCATGTACAGCTTCAACCGTCAGATGAGGTGAAGACAATTTTGTAAATGCCACCTCTACCACCTAACCTTCAGGTAGCCTCATCTGTGCCAAACCTAGCCGCAACTAGTGTTTACTTTGATTGTTGGTCTTAACGGATTTCGTTGATCTTACTTAATGGAAGTTGTACATTCACTGTTTCGTAGTAATTTTACGCGTAAATCGTCCATAGGCTTTCGCTGTTGTCTACCGATGATTCGATGTTCGAATAATGCTTCATATCTCAAAGGTCATTAAAGTTGAACATAAGTTTTGTGTAACAAATGTCATATCGGAACATCTATATGCCATAAGATTTGGTATTACAGTGTTTGGGGCATTGGGCCGTGTATTTTTGCCAAAGGAGAGAAAAGCCCATTTTCTTCGTTGGGCCAGACCTATAGGGACAGCAAGAAAGCCCAAGAAAGATGTTCGGCTACTAAACCGTTGATGCCACGGATTCGTACGGAACGGGAACTGTTTTTTTTTCTTTTTCTTTCTTTTCCCCAGCCGATCTCCGTCTTCGATTGGACGCGAGAATTGAATTCTAACATCTACTTTCCGACAAATTTCCCTGAAACCCAAACAAGGGGGAAGAGTTGAGCTTTGGATTTGCTGTAATGGACGAGGTGGTGGAGGCAGTGGAGAAGGCGAAGCAGGAATGGGACGAAGCTTATGCTAAGACGCAGATCCACATAAAATCGATCGAAGAGTATCGCAAATCCGGAGATGGTATCGAAGGAGCGTCCTCACAGGAAAAGAATTCGCTTCCCAGATTGAACGGCCTGGCGCAAGATGGATTGGCGCTGCTCCAGTCGCTGGAATTCAAGCTCGATCTCTTGGCTCCCCAGTTGCCCGCCGACGATCAAGTTAAATCGGCGCAATCGCTGCTCGAATCCTGGAAGAAACAGTCCCATAGGTGCCCCCAATTTTTTCTCTGTGGTTTTGGTTCTTATCGTATAATTATGAAGTGAGAAATCATGGTAGTCGTTGATTTATTGGGGGTTCTTATTTGATCTCTTACGCAGCTTGCGGTTGAGTTTGAGGAATGCCAATTTGCAAGCAAAGGCTAACCTAAGGAAGGCTGCTCAGGATGAGGTACTAGTCATCATTTACTTTCAACTGATTTTGGCTTGATAGGAGAATCCATGAATGGCCTGTTGCTCTTGTCTCTTGATTTCTGTTATATCTGAGATAGTTAGAATACCCACATATACCCTTCATGAGTAGGGATTGATTCTGGCATAAATGAGTTTGCTGAGGTCTGATTTGACATGGTTCTCTGCATCCCCAGAGAAAATTGCTTTTGGGAGGTGGAGAAGAGTCCACAGCTCGCAGGCGAAATCTACAGTACGTAACATCTCACTGGGATGGCACTTGACTGATGCAGTTTCCATTCCTCGCCATATGTTTTGGTTCATCCAAATTGGAAATGACTGACACAATAATTTATGTCTTCTAGGACAAAGGCTGGGATGACATCTGCAGCAGAAAGCATTACAGAAAGCCTTAGGCGCACTCGGCAGCTGATGGTTCAGGTTAGTTACCTTTTCATTTATTCTGCTTCCAATCTCATGTGAAGATTTGCAGTGGTGGGCTGGTGGTGGGAGCTCTATCTTGCTGTCTGAAATTCTTTCTTGTTCCTTGTTTCAGGAGGTGGAAAGAAGTTCTAACACACTTATGACTTTCGGTAGGTGTTTGCTTTCTTCTTTTGCTCTTTGCTTTTTCTTTGTGCTTTATTTTGTTTCATATATATCTGCAGCTAACAGAGGAAGTTCTTACACAACAGCGCCTAAACTCAAAGCCTCTGCGTTATGATGGCATGTGGATGTGGTTGTTAGCTGTGGCTATTTCCTGGTTTTTAAACATGCTGGTTCATGTCAAACTAAGCGCATCGGAAGCGTACATTTTCCTCGTGACTTTTCACCCAAGGCATCATGTGTGCAGATATGCATTTAGTTCTTAGGCAACTGTCTTTGAAATCACAACATGATTAATGCTACACTCCATGCTGCATTGGGTGTGATCTTGAATGTCTAATTGTAATTGAAAGGATCTCGTCGTGCTCTCCTGTCTGTTGACCACCCCGCTAACTGATTCCCTTTGGGTTTTGCAGACGAATCTACCGGGGTGTTGAGAAAGGCTGAAAGTGAGTACAAGGGTCATCGCTCCTTGTTGATGCGAACAAGAAACCTACTGTCCACTATGCAACGACATGATGTTATCGACAGGTACTGAGGGGAAAAAAAGGTGGATTCATATATTTGGTAGATAGCAGTTTATCTCTTTCACCAGGACTAATAGTTGTTGGATGGTTTTTCTTTTGGACAGATTGGTGATTGCTGTGGGATTCTTCTTGTTCTCTTGTGCTGTACTTTATGTGGTCTCCAAGCGCATTGGGCTACTCAGGCTGCAGAGAACGGTAACTGCTGCAATTAAGGCAGGGATGGCTGGAAAAGGGGGGCGTGAAGCAGTTGAAGAAGGCATTAAGAATCTCGCTCGAATCCCCCAAAATGCTGATCCGCAGAGACAAGGTCTGTTGAAGCATGCCATGCATGATGAACTTTAGACTTCCTAGGGTTATTAATTTCTTCCTTGGCTTGTATTGTTTCGCCATACCCTTACCAGTAAATGTTTCCTGTATGGTTGAATCGTTTAGATCACTCTTGTCTTGAGTTTGATATATGCATATTTGCTAAATCCTTACTGAACAAGGAAAACGGGATTGAAGTAAATACAACAAGATTTTGCAAGTTAGAGTCCCATCTCTGTTTCCTCTTTCTCTGTTGGATATATAACCCACATTTTCACTTGGAAAAGAAGTGGGGAAGAAAAGGAATGAGAAACATCTATATAACCCCCATTGATTCATTGATTGTTGCAAGGTATTGAACAAAGCTTGAGAATCAACTAAAATTTGGAGATGCTCCCCTGTGATCATGATGTTTCTGGGCAAAACACAATAATATATTTACTCACCGAGTCGGATGAGAAACGAAAACGAACAATTCGTAATTTTTAGGGTTTAAGAAAAACTTCAATTACCAAACAGGAAATTGATGATTTGAATACCTCCAAAAAAAACATACATTATGATTTATGTATATGAATTAACAGGAGGTTGGGTTATGGTTAGGTTATGCAAGTAGCCAGAAGTTCTTCTGGGTCTTTGTATTGAGCAGGTATCCTCCAGTTTGTCCCTTCTTCTGCACTGCCACACAATTGCACTTGCTGTACTCGATCAAATACTCCGCCGTGTCCATCGATTTCGGCCCTAGCCCTCCTGGCTTCTTGTATTTCGTGTTCCTGCTTTCACACAGACGAACACAGAGTAAGCAAATCTATATGGGATTGGCTGCAAAACAACGATTCCTTGTGAAGCAAGGAAAGTCATGACTCACCCTAACAAGACGCTGGAGAGGCTCTTCTTCTGGCCGATGATGAGATGGTCGACGCTCATGGCGGTGCTCTTGAACAGGATGACGCTGGCCTTGTCCTTGGCACCCATCTGCAGCCTCTCCACCGTCACCTTCAGCCGCGGCCTGGCCGCCTCGCACAGCTGCCTCATCGCCTCCAAGAAATCAACCTCTCCCTCCACCATCCCTTCCCCGCCCGACGAGGACTGGTTGCTGTTATTAAGGCTGCTGTTGTTGTTGTTGTTGTTGACGGCGGGGATCAAGATGCCGGTCCGGCGGAGGAAGGAGAAGGAGAAGGTGTTCTTCCAGGAGTTCTGGGTCTCGACGTGGACCAGGATCAGCTCGTCCTTCTCGGTGACGACGTGGGACAATGCGTACTGAAGGGCGCCGGCCGCCTCCCTGCTGGGGTCGACCACCACCATGACTTTCCTCATCGTCGTGTCGCTTCCCATTTTCGCCGAGCTGCCGCAGCTGCAGACGCCTCCTTCAATCGCCACCGTCAACCCCCATAGGTGCAGATAAACAGGGGTCGAGGCAGGGCTTCTGTTGCTGGAAAACAGAGGTCCAGAGGGATTGGATTGATTTCTTGTTTCTTTCTGTTGTTTGTTCTTTTAGGGAGGGAAGATGGGTATTTCGTTTTTTTTTTTGTTTTTTCTGTTTGATTACCCTTTTTTGGGGTTGATTTTGCCTTTGTTGGGTGTTGGGGTTTGCTGTCCCCAAGTGAAGAAATGGAGAAAGGAGAGGAAAATTAGCAAATGTACCTTCCTCCCAAATTTGATTGAAGGAAGAGAGACAGATAGAAATGCAGAGGAATAGTTTTTGTTAAAGCTAAATTTGGGTGTAGGGTAGTTTCTTTGTTGTTAGAACAGAACTCCATAATCCACCTGCTGGACCTCCCTGACTTGGTCAATTCCCAAACTCTGCGCCTCTCATTTTCGGATTTTTCCCTCTTGTTCTTTTTTGGAATGGGGAAAGGGGAAGATGGCTCTTGTTTGTAGCATTGTTATTAAAACCGGGCCGGACCGGCCGGTGAAAACTGGATCCGGCCAATGATCCGGTCCCGGAAGCCTTTAAACGGGGAGAAATGTGACCGTCTGGGTTATGATCGGTTCAATAGGTCAACCGGCAAAATCGAGGGAACCGCCCAGGCGGTTTGAATCCATTCGTTTTTTAAAGTTTCAATTAAAAAAAGGCAAAATACAGTTCCATAGCCAAAACTTTCACGTTTGTGCCAATAATAGCCACATTTGGCGAAATACCACTTATAGCCACCTTTTGAAAATGTTGTTGGACAAATATAGCCTTTTCCGTTAGAAACATTGACGGCGTTACTAACACTGTCAAATAAGTAGACGGTTTGCTGATTAGGCGAGAAGAAATCGAACACGTCAGCGCCAACTAAGGAATTCTTGACACGTCATATATTACATTATTAAAAAAAATCTTACCATATATTCCCATTTCCATCGAAGCGACTCCTTCAGCCCCAACTTTTGCCCGATCTAAAAATTAGGGTTCCTCTCCTCTCACGAATCCTCTTCCGATTTGGGAGTTAGGGTTCTTTCCCAAACTTCAACTTTCCACTCTCCCCGAATCCTCTACTCTCTTCTAATCGATTCCGATTTCGGAATTAGGGTTCTTCCCCCAAATTCCACTCTCCACGAATCCTCTACTCCCTTCTGATCGAATCCTCAATCCCTTCCGCGATTCCGATTCCGATCGATTCTGATTCCGACTCGCAACGACGACGCAACCCTCTCCTTCCGCGATTTCTCCTGTCCAGCACTTCAAGCGAGCTGCAGGCATGTCCAGGCGAACAGCTTCCTCAAGTTCGACTAGCAATCAGAAACTAGGCGTGGTACTCTGTTGGTGCAATAAGCCTTGTGTGGTCAAGACATCCGGCACAGAGTTGAACCCAGGCAGGGAGTTCTATGGGTGTCCTTTTTGGAAGGTAAGGTGGCGTAGACATGATTTATGCATTTTTGTGGTACTCGTCTTTGAGCTAGAGTCGCAAGTTGATTGTTGTTATGGTGCAGGACGAGACGAAGAATTGTCGCTTTTTTAGGTGGGTGCGATTGAATGTGGATGAAGATAAGCAAGCAAACTCTGAAAGTAGTTGTTCGATTCTGAAGCTCGAAGACAGTTTGCGTATAGCACAGTGTAAGGCTGAGAGGAGGAAGAAAGAGAAGAAAATTATGTCCGATGAGTTATCTAGATGGATGAAAGCACATGAGATTATGGTTGCTGAAGGAAGGAGGGTTAATCATGATATTCATGTAATTCGATATCAGTTCACTGTTATTGTCGTACTCAATTTGATAATGGTTGTTCTTCTATGGCACCACTTTCTGATGTAGAATGTTTTGTAATTTGACAAGGTTGTTTCGTATGTGTAAGAACCTATTGGTAAGTAGAATCTATGAACAATGTTGTTTGGTAAGACACAATCTTCATTCCGAACTGACAGTGTTCCAATTACATACCCCCATTATAGAACATAGTAACCATAATCCGAAGTGTTCACAATCCGACCTAAAAGAACATAATCCGAAGTGTTCACAATCCGACCTAAAAGAACATACTTGGCCCTAACATACAAGGCCATTACATGAGGGAGCTTCTCAAAATGACTACCCGGCCCTAACATATAAGGCCATTACATGGCAGAACTTCTCAAAATGTATACTCCACCCCTAATTGATATAGCAAAATGACTACCTGGCCCTAACATACAAGGCCATCCCACGTCTAAGGTTGTGTTGGTGGTGGTTGGCTTCCACGCAGCTGGACCTCATCGTGCTGAGTGCCTCCAACAGCACGTCCCCTCGAGCCATTCAGCTGCATATCAGAAGAGAAATTCATTAGACAGTTTGCAATATAATGGACCAAGCTTGTACTATCAAATTGGTACACACGAATGCTTACTATGGCGTATTGGTTCCCTGTTTCCTCAGATACATAAACTCCAACTCCTCTAGTGGCAGCCCGCATCTCACGTTCAATAGTCCTCCGGTCACCAACATTGATCTGAACAGCCTTCCAGTACATTTGCAAGAAAGGTAATTATCATCTATACACAATCTATACTTATCTACAATCATTCTATACACAATCTAATTATATCAACTTACTTGAATACCAACTCCTCGATTTAGAGGACACGTTCTGGCATTGTGAGTAGTAGAACCACACTTGGAGCAATGTCCGACTCTAGTTTTCCGAGCTGTAGGTTCTGTATTTCCAAGATTTGGTGCGGCTGTTCTTGGTCTCTTTCCTCTACCTCCACCTCCATTATTGTTAGCCTAACAAAATGAAAAACAAAATCACGTATTTAGTGCAAGAAAGCAATCACGAAATTAGCACTATAGAGAAATACATTTCAAAGGAAAAGTACATACAGCAGCAGCAGTAGGGGCAGCAGTAGGAGCTGTACACGTTCTCGCATTATGGCCTTCACCTCCACACTTCTTGCAATGAATCACTGACCCCCTTCTAACCACTTCCTCTCCTACTCCATTTCTTTGAGGCCTAACCTCGACTTCATGAGCAGACTTTCTGCGATTCTTCTTCGGTCTACCAGGCATACTTCTCTGCTTAGGTGGGTGCACTGGATATCCTACGGCATCAGGCCAAGCTTGTCTCCCGTCGAGACAAGGTATGCCATACTTGTACGCGTATTTAGCATTGCGTACAAGGTAGGTTGGATGAACATAACTGTCTACTTCCTTCCTCAAATGAGAAATGGCAGACACAGCATGGCAGTATGGAATGTCGCTAAGTGTCCACCACCCACATGTGCAAGACTTGTCCTCTAAGTCAACAATATACCCTGCACCCCCCATCTTTACCTCACATTTATCATTCAAATTCTGTCTCGCCGTGCACAACCTAGCCAAAGCTTTCTCTTTCTCTACCCTCTTCCTAATCCTAGGACATAAGACATCAGTTGAATCTAGTAGCATCTTGTATTTCACGACAACCCTAACCATTACATAGCCCCTAATTCCCTCTAACATGTCTATGATTCTCATACATCTATACTTAACTATCACACCATTCCATGTTTCACATATATTTGACTCAACCGAATCGCACTTGGGAAGAGGAGACAAGTATGCTCGACAGAATGACCTAGGTTCTGCATTCATGAACTCAGTATAGGGTGTGCCACCATGTTCCTCACCTTCAATTTCTTGCAGCTCAGAAGTCGCCTTCTTCCAGTCCACCTCGTTACATGAGTAAACTGCATTCCAAAATAGTTTTCGAACACGGTCGGTCTTGTTTCTCACTTTCCAATTTGCATACACATGCCTTGAGCACTTTCTATGTTCTGCCTCGGGCAGAAGCTCATGAATGGCGTCTACTAAACCATGCAATACATCAACATTGGGTTTTAGAACATCCCTCTAACATCCTATATATCTCAACTTATTATAGGAAGCATATAAACTAACCTTTTGTTGATCTGAGATCACAGACCAGCCTCTACCGTCAGCTAGGTGTAAATCCTGGACATTTTATTGTTATTTGTTTTCAGTTTTGACCCTTTTTTCAACAATTAAATATGACAGCATTAAGAATAAAACCTAATAATTGGTCAGATGGCCATAAATTGATCACATGTTTGATAGAATTAGTTGTGTCATAAATAGTTCTTTCAACTTTATTCATAATGAGTTGTGTCACTAATGAATTTTCTCATCTGATGGCTAATAAAAATATTAGTTGCATTAATATTCTAAAAAATACAATCAAAATAAGATAGAACCATAAAAAATGGTTAGACATTCTCATGTGATAAGTGACGCGTTTGACGTCTTCTTTCCGTTGACTTTCTCACTTTTTATCTTTTCGAGGCCAAATACTCACTCATTTTTTCCACTTTTTATTTTATTTTATAACATACTCACTTGTTTTGTCTATTTTTTAGATTTTTTGTCATTTTTTGTTGTGACCACCAAAGTAAGATTTACATATTTTTTGTGCAATTTCCCATCACCATGGTGAGACATCCACATGTGATAGGTGAAGCATTTGGTTGTCTTCTTTCCATTCACTTTCTCACTTTTTATCTTCTCGTTGCCAAATACTCAATCTCTCTTCCTGTTTTTCTTTTTATCTTTTTTTTTTCATAACATATTCGGTTGTTCTTTCTACTTTTCTTTTTTGGATAAAAGTGATATATGTTTTACATTATGTTTGATTAAGTGTTGGGATTCGAATCTAAGACTTTCAAATTCTAAACTGTGGTATTACCACTAAGTCAAACATTTGTTGCTATTTCTTGTGGCCCCACAATGATAAATACAAATTTTTTGGGCCCCTTCCCACCACTCATTATGGCCTAGTGGGTGGTACAAGAGAAAAGAAAAAGAAGAAAATTATGGAAGAGAGAGAATAATGAAGATAAAATATAGAAAGAAAAAGACCATGATGTGATTTTATATGATGAGACATGATAGTACATGTAGTGAAAATGAATTGGGTTATGTTGAGGATGTAAATACTCATATTTGTGCAAACATTTCATGAAAGATTGACACTTTTCTTTATTTTATTTTGTATGTTTATTAAATTGATAAATGTATTTGAACATTACATCACAATTATACAACAATTCATATATTTATTATGAAATCGACCCATTTAAATACTAAACATACTTAATTGGATTGATTCGATTATTTATTAAATAAATATTCAGATAAGACAAACATATATTACAAGAATATTATTTAATTGCGAAATATTATTGATCCTTTTTCTTGGCACCTCTTCATGTTCCTTTACTTTCAAGATTTCATCAGCAAATGAATAATGGTTCATGCATTTATCTCTAAAAAATCAATCGATTTCACATACTTAATTGCTTCATTAAAAATATTCAAATAAGTCGAACATAATAATCATTCAATTGCGTGAATAAATATTATTGATTCGAGTTCCAAGCACATATCCCAATTTTTTCTTCAACTTCAAGATTCATTTTCAACCATTAAAAATTAAAAAAAAAGTGGGTCACCCTCTTCAACCAACCACCACCACCAAATCCAACGGTGGCAAGACCTTCCACCTGCTAAAGACATTTCATAACCCAAGGTTGTTTTCGTCATTACAGCTGTCTTTGTTTTCATTTTTCAAAATAATAATCATAATAAAATAATAAGAAGTTAATTTTCTTTTCAAGAAATGATGACCGCATTTCATCTCTGTGAAAAGCTCACTTCCCCCATTTCCCCAACTCCGTTTCGTCAGCCTTCCGCCATGGTGAAAAAATCTCTCTGGTTCCTTTCTTTCTTCTGCGAGCAAACAAGGAAAACGAGCACCTTCTAAAGAACCCATTTCATTTCTTTCCCTTTTCTCGCGAATTGAATTCTGTAACAAAATCTCATCGGTTACGAAATGGGCGAGATCGTCCCGTTTCAAGACCTCAACCTCACTCCGGTCCCGGCCGTCGGCAACGGCAAGGCCAGCGCCTCCGCCGGCACTGCGGCCTCAACTACCGGCATACTGAAGGTTCCCAAAATCGAGCCCAAACTCGAGCCGCTGGACGAGGGCCCAATTGATGCCCAGCCGCTCCAAGAACAAGACGACGCTTACTTCCAGGACCCGGCTCCTCTCAACTTCTATTCCGATCCCCAAAATACCTCTCTCCCCCAGTCCGCCATCGTCTCCGCCGAACAAGACAATGTGTATTCGGAGTACAACCGAATCTCGGAGATCTTCCGGGCAGCTTTCGCCAAACGCCTGGAGGAGCAGCAGCAGCAGCAGCAGTTTGGCGACGATGTCACGGCGTTGGACCCGGACGCTGGTGCGATTGTACCCGTTAACACCGAGAACGAGGTTGCCCCGATCCTGGTGCCTCGGGCGCAGCGGAAGTACGCGAAACGCTCGTCGGAGCTCGTCCGGGTAACGGACCTTCAGATTGAGGATAAGCGGTACTTCAGGGAGATGGTTCGCAGCACTCGGTTGTTGTTCGACTCGTTCCGTGTATTCGCCGTCGCGGAGGAGCAGAAGCGCCTCAGCGCTATGGGTCCCTACTTCAGAAAGCCTCGTGGGGATCTACTGGCGGCCTCGGTGATGAGGGACCGTGGGCTTTGGATTAATCGTGATAAGCGAATCGTGGGTTCTATTCCTGGGATTGAAATTGGGGATGTCTTCTTCTTCAGGATGGAATTGTGCGTGCTTGGGATGCATGGCCAAGCTCAAGCAGGAATTGACTACCTACCTGGGAGCCAGAGTTCAAATGGGCAGCCAATCGCCACCAGTATAATTGTTTCTGGGGGCTATGAGGACGACGAGGACGCTGGAGACGAGATAACCTATACTGGGCATGGAGGGCAGGACAAGTTTGGGAAGCATTGTGTTAATCAGAAGCTTGAAGGAGGGAACTTGGCCATGGAGCGTAGCATGCATTATGGAATTGAGGTCAGAGTTATCAGGGGGTTTAAATATGAAGGGAGTATTAGTAGCAAGATTTATGTCTATGATGGTTTATACAAGATTCACCACTACTGGTTTGATATCGGAAAATCGGGATTTGGTGTCTATAAGTTCAAGCTGTCTAGGATAGAAGGACAGGAGGAAATGGGTAGTGCAATTCTGAAGTTTGCAGGGAGTTTGCGGGCTAGGCCGTTGAGCGTGAGGCCAACTGGGTATATACATCTTGATATCTCGAATAGAAAAGAAATTGTCCCTGTCATGGTGTTTAATGATATTGATAATTTTGGAGATCCTTTGTACCATGAATACCTTACAAAGACAGTCTTTCCTCCTCACTTGTGTAACAGTGGAGGTAGCGGAACTGGTTGCGAATGTGTTTCGGGCTGTGTGGATGGTTGTTTTTGTGCAATGAAGAATGGTGGTGAATTTGCTTACGACCAGAATGGATTTCTGGTGAGGGGAAAGCCCTTGATATTTGAATGCGGACCCTTTTGCAAATGCCCACCTAGCTGCCGCAATCGTGTAAGCCAGAGAGGCTTGAGAAATAGAATGGAAGTGTTCAGATCCAGGCAAACAGGCTGGGGAGTTAGGTCATTGGATTTGATACATGCCGGTTCTTTTGTATGTGAGTACACAGGTGTTGTACTCACGAGAGAGCAAGCTGAGATTTTTGCAATGAGTGGTGATACATTGATCTATCCAAGTCGGTTTTCAAATAGATGGACAGAATGGGGAGATTTATCTCGTATATATCCCGACTATGTTTGTCCAACATACCCTGCTCTCCCGCCTTTGGATTTTGCAATGGATGTGTCTAGAATGAGAAATGTTGCTTGCTACATGAGCCACAGCACAACTCCAAATGTAATGGTGCAGTTTGTGTTGTATGATCATAATAATCTGATGTTCCCCCACCTTATGATTTTCGCAACTGAGAACATTCCTCCTTTACGGGAGATAAGTCTTGACTACGGGGTTGCAGATGAAGTAACGGGGAAACTTGCAATTTGCAATTGAAGCTTGGAACTGACGTTCTGTGTGTTGAAGCAGCTAGTTATGAAGACTGAATAATTCAGGTACACCAGTTGTACAATTGATTTCACCTTTATGCCCATTCTCATCCTGTAACAATTTGAGAATCGTAAGCCTGCTTTGTTGTTGTTGTGGTTCTTGTTCAAAGAGTGCAGTCTTTATCTCTCTGCCCTCCATATCACCATAAGAAAAATTGGATTTTAGATAGTGCTTTCTCAAGATTGAGGAGTCATTTTGTACGTTCGCCTAGAACCGTTGTCTTGTTAGTAGTTATTGATTTTCAGCTTCTCTCTTTTATGGAATTTTGTCAAGTTGTTTTGTCCATTCAAACTCAAAGAAGTGAATTATTGTATATTTAATTGGCCTTTCTTTTTTTTGAATGTTGGATTCTTCCAGATTCTATTTCTCCTGCTTTGCACACATCAGCAAAGAGAAATTTTCTTCTTTAACATCTCGTGTCATGATGCTGTGGCCTCCCTTCATGTTAACATTGGTAGTCACCATAGTGGTTATCTGCATATTCATTGGTATTTATGATGTTTCAGTGCAAAAACCGGTGCTCCGTTGTTGATCAGTTTGTTCCATTTGTCTCTATTGCCTAATGCCTCCAATTTTTATCTTAATATGAAGCCTGGCTCTTAGTACATGTTTAGTGTCTTTAAAATCTGAGTGAAAGTCAATGGACTTTCTCAATTTCGTCTCATGTCATTGGTTGGCAAGCTGTGCTGCACGTTTACATGCATTGCATTCTATTGAGTGTTATAAGCTGTATCATTTGAAGCCCTTGTCGTGGCTTTGACGGTGGTGCTTCCTTTTCTATAGCAGTTGCTTAGTTTCAGGATGCTCTTTTAGGCTTAGTGATGAACTATGTACTTAGCAGAAGCAGAAGAGTAGTAGGCTTGCAAGAGTGTATTTTTCACATGTTCAACTTACCACTTTGGCATGCTTTCATGGATATGCCCATTGGCCGCATTCAGTTAGTGATGGTTTGAAATAAACGACGAGATCCCCTAAAGTGTTAGTTTACTCTTTTTACCTCTTTGTTGACTGAATATGTTAACTTTCAAATTGATATGTAGTTACTCTATTCAAGTAATAAAGTTAAAAGCATGGGATAGTTAACTTCCATAACTTTTACAAATGCTATGAATTTGTTTATAGTAGTTGTGCGAAGATGATTGTAGAGGCAATCCATATTACAGATAAGGAAGAACAGCCCGTCAGATGTTCACCTACTTAACTTCGATTAGTTATTGTTTGGGTCTTTTTTGAACATTTTAGGCGAAGGATTGGATTGTACAATCAGTATATGTGCCCGGAAGTGAGTTATCTCCATGGTTTGTGAAGGGGATAGAATCAATAAAAGGTGCAATTCTATTTCGCAAAGTAGAAGTTTAGTTCCTAAACTAGGACTTCTTACTTGTCTCTTATAAGCCCACTGCTTTCAGTATAATTTTACAACCTTCCGTCGAACTTGATTCTGGTTTTGTTCGGCCTCTATTCTAGTCTTAGCTTGAGCTGGCATACTAGCCAACTTAAGTTTCTGTTTCAATGTAGTCATACTTGGTTGCTGATAACATTTTCAGATATGATGTGATGAGCACAGGCTTCTGATTAGAGGGAAAAGTGTAGTTGGCACTTGAAACTAAGGTCCTGCGTAAAGGTCAAGCCTGATGAAACTTCACAATATCTGTTGTGCATACAATTTATAAGAGTTTTTCAGTCATGCTCTTGGAATTCTACTTTATCCTGGTTTCTAAAGTAAGAGCTGCATGTTTCCATAGGGAGCATCGACTATATTACCTGCTCACGTTGTATTGCTGCTAGTATTCAGAAGTGATACATTCTTGTGCTTTTACTTGATTTCATTCCTGTGCTAATTCCTGTAGATGTCGATTCTCAGTTCAGCATCTCTTTTGCAGGTGGGGAACTGCCCGAGTTACTGGTTGGACTGCTGTTTCTTGTACCAGAACCTGAGTTTTTCTGGTCTTCAATCATTTTGCTTTGAATGCTGCTACTTCCCTTACATCCACTCGGATATATCATAGCTAAGTGGTTCTGGATTATCTTAACCAAAGGCAGGGTTTCATCCCCTGTAATTTTTGTTCAAAACGGGTAAAAAGTTCTAATGTTTGTCAAGCAATTCGGGTGCCTGAGACAGGATTCTTGAAAACTGACATTGTGCCTGCCTTCTGCTAATGTTGGATGAAGTCAGAAGACATGCCGCTGCTGATGGAACTGCACTAGTTAGAAGCTTGTCACAAGGATCTTGTATACTTGTAGCGCGGCAAATGTATGAACAAATTCTGTACCAGAAGCCTTGTATATATATGATGGAAGTTCTTTTTGTAGTTGGGGAAGCAAGCTTTATACATCATGCATATACAAAGACAAACAACCTTGTTGGCCGTTTTCTGGTCCTGAAAACTTCACTGTTGTGTGATCAATGGTCTCGGGCGTTCATTTTAAGGACATGTAAAGTTTGAACTTAGTAAAATTCTTATCCATGGCATTACGAGAGTTTTACTTCTTTTCAATCACTGGATTGGTAAAAGCCATACATATAGTTTCAAGACAAGTTTGATACTGTTGATATACTCTTTGAGATCCATCTACAAGACAACAATAAGTGGTGATACTATATCGGCATTTACATGTATAGCTTCTTCAGAGCAGCTTCAAGGGATGGGTATGTTGCGTCGATTGAGATTGAGGAGGTTGCAGCTTTGTAAACTGAGTGTAAGTCTAAGCTTGAGAGGTCCCAGTACCATTTTTCTCCATTTCGCGTTTGAGATTGAGGAGGTTGCAGCTTTGTAAACTGAGTGTAAGTCTAAGCTTGAGAGGTCCCAGTACCATTTTTCTCCATTTCGCGTTGTCTTGCGCGCTCCATCTTCCTCTTTCGCCATTCTTCTAGAGCTGGAGAAACTTGCAAAGTGTTAGCAACGCTCAACAAGATCCAAAGCAGGTAGGTTTAAGAAACAAGAGAAGAGATATAAATCCAGAATTTGGGGTTTCCTTTGGAGATGTCTAGATTACAGAAATCCAATCAAACAACATCACCCATCACGCTCGAAAGAAAGATCGTTGCCTTTGCTCGTTTTCTGAAGCAACACCAAATCACTGGGGAGAAAGATAGAGCAGTCACCTTTGAAGCTGGCGGGATCATTGAGGGCGCGGGAATCCTTTAGTCTTTTTGAGAGATCAACAGCAGCTGTTTGTGTTGTGGTCTCTTTTTGCTGAACAGTTTCGAGTTCTGCATAGGCTTCTTGTTTAATTTCCTTCACCTGAAAGTGCAGGAAACTCATTTTAAAGTCTTGGAGAAAAGCAAGTGAAAAAGTTTCATAGGGTGAACTACAGATCGAAGCTATCTCCTCCCATCAGCATCATGTTTGAATTATTCATATCTTCATATCGACAAAACATGAAATAGCATCTGAACTCAATAAGAAAATAAAAATAATGCAATGATCCATGAAAACCGAAGCATTTTCAGAAGTTTCACATGTCATCAACACAGTTAAAGGGCGGGCATACTCTTTTGATTAGCTCCCAAGGTTGCATGGCAAGGCGAGCCTCTTCAGAGTCCTTGATCTGTTTCAACTGAACTGCAATTCAAATTGCTGTTTCACATTAGATGAGACGGAACAGGGACTGTATTGTGATATCATAACAAACTAGAAGCTGAAAGAATAGACTTTTTATACTGAAAACAAGCAACGCTAACATTAAACTTGGATACTCTTCCACTTAAAAGAAAAAGACCCTCAACAGCAGCAAGTCCGGCTCGCCAAATGAACAGTTACAGAAACATGTAACTTTAGTTACTCAATAAATACGGAATGAAAATCAGAACAGTGCCACTGATCATGTAAAGACACCAGCTATGACCATCAATCATCAAATTGACTAGGGAAACCTCAAAGTAGAAACCAAAGTATCTATGCTGCTCTGACAAATATGATTTATGACCAAAGTGATCAATAAGATATACATAGTCTCAAGTGCTGGCAACCAATACAGCACGGCACACAAACATTGCAACGAGCTTTTCATTATGCTGATCGTTATCTACAGGATGTTCCACGGTTCATACGGGTGGGCAGATCAGTATCATCTCTAGCATCTGGTTATGCTGACACTGCAAGCTAGAAGCTAAGAACCGTAGTACAGTGCTTATATAGAGCTGCTGACTTATATCAAGCAGGCAATGTTAACAATTGTAGTGGATGCCTGATAGCTAGCAACGGGAGAGCTCAAAAACAAGAAAGGAAAGGTCGCAGACTTGGGTATAAAACACCAACAAGCCTTATGGGGCTGAGCTTGAAGATACTGTAAAGGGATGACAATCTAAAGTTGGAAACTGGAATTCCCGACAGAGTTGCACTTCCAGCAAACAGATTTTGCAGGGAGTCCATCCAATCCAATCGCTGGATTGAAACTGAAAACCCTAGGCTACCCTAACAAGCAGAATTCCCCTATTCCCATCGAGTTCCATGGGAGAAACTGCCGTGGACCAGATGTAAACGTTCAAAAGGACCAAACTTTGCCTCTCGCGTAAACCCTTCATCATAACTACTTCCCCAGCAGCAGACTCTATCCAATTCAGAAAAGGCAGAAGATCGGATACAACGGACGTTGACAGCGATGAATAGCTCGACATGCGGCCGATCAGTTAACAATCGATCAAAAGAGTATCTCTTCCAATCAAAACTAGCACCCACCCGTTTGATATCACAGTTCATCCGAATTCAATACCCAAGAGATTGATTGAGGATGAGATAGAGAGGGACCTGAATTGAGTTGGTTGCGGGATGAAGAAGCACCGTTGCGGGATGAGGCACTGGAGAGGAAGCCCTGAAGCAAGAAGAGGATGGCGACGACATTCAGCACAGTCAGTACTATGGTAGCGCTCTTGAACGACAATCTGGGACGCCATGGTTGCTGCATTTCCATCGCTCTATTTTAGTTCCTTCTTCACCTTTTGTTTCTATCGGTCGTTTGATTTGATGCACGGCTGTCTCAACCTCTCAGAAGAATAGCTGAAGCCAAAGAATTTGATGAAGCCAACTGGTCAAATTGCGTTTGGGAGAGCATTTTGTGGAACTCATTTCTTTTGGGTTATGTGCGGATTCCCGGTCGCAACTCGTAGATAAGTGGTCCAACTTACGACACATTTTAAGTGTTGGTTTTTGTCATATTAGACGTACTAGCCTGGCCCGGACATTTGGTCGGAGGAAGGTGAGATATGAAATATGATAATGTAATATGATATATAGCTTATTGTTGTATAGTTTTTTTGGAAAACACGTGATAAAATAGTGAATTTTAGTAGGAAAGAGACATTAATGATGTAACGAATCAAAAATCAGCCTTATGAACCAAAATCAAGTACCTGTTACCTTGTGAAACAATATTGTTTCTCGTAATATGATGAGGTGGAGTAAGTTTTATAGAAACCGAATTCCAGAAAATCGAATAAAAAATCGCATATCCCGCCGGTTTTCGGGAAATGAGCATCTCACAATCGTTGCTAGCTTTTACTCGGCCCGTTGGCCGATTAATTTGCTTTATAAAACTTTCATCTTGTCATCATTGTGCTTTCTGGTTTTTTGCCAAGCCATGATAAATCTAAAGAAATCAAGAATGAACAACACGATTTGGGATAGGAACCACCGTTCCTGTATACATAGAAAATGGTGGTAAACATGGACTCACCTGCCAAACTGGTTTGGATTGAGATTTTTATCGGGTATCAGGAAACCATGTGATTATAAATTAGACTTGATCAAAACGGGCCAACACTTGAAATTCAGCATGTTTGACCGACTCATGCCAAACTCTAATTATTCTTTACTTTTAAACTTTCTATTTGAAAATAAAAAATAATGAAAGAAAAGAGATTACTGCAATTCGCCATTTGCACATCACTGATTCGGGAATAAAACTATAGAATTTTGAAAGGAAACTGAAAATGTTTAGGATCATTTTAATGTTAAAAATAACCAAATAGATCTTTCTATTTAGTTTTTTACTAACAAATGCCAAACGATTCCCTATAATATACACTATATTTTAATCATTATGATATCAAATAATTACATAATATATATTTGAAATGATAAAAATTGGACTAATTGGGTTGGTCGAGGTTAAACCATTGAATAACTTTAAAATAAATTATATTTTATCTACTAAGATATAAAATAATAGCATAATATATATTATGCTAGAGAAAATAGTTTGTTTTAGAATGGCAAACCCATGATGTTCATTTGTTTTACTTGATGGGCAAATCCTGTGTAGGTCAGGCCCATTCAACTCTTTTATTTTATGATTAGCGGTTAGCCCATTAGAATTCATGCATTAGTTTATTGTTATTTTTTTATTTTTAGCAATAAAAAAGGAGTAAATTTTTTGCCTTTTCATATATATTTTACCACCACGGAGAAATAAAAGGACTTAAAGAAAAAAATTGACACTCCTAGACCCGTTTAAATCCGCATGTGTACGGTAAGTTGGCCCGTTCCACAGAGGAAAAAGAAAAAAATTGACACTCCTTATTCTACCCTTCCAACAAACGCTCATCGAGCAGAGAATTTGAAATGGGGGAAGGGTTTTTTCCTCTCCGCGATTATATGTTTTTAATTTAAAAAGATACAACAAATGTACTTAGTGTGATTGGTTATGATCTTTGCTTTTTTTTAAAGTGGTCATGGGTCGAATCATAGTAAGTGTCTTTTTAATGAATAAGAAAAAGTAATTGTGAAGACCAAAATGTCCTTCCTACTTTCACTCTGGATGCAGGAACTGGGGCTTCAAGAAATTTGAAATGGGGCTTCAAGTTTTCTCATTTGACTTTTATTTATTGTGTAGATTTAATTTAGGTTATGGTTCACGTTATTTTTTATATGTGTATACAATTTTAGAAGAACAACATATTATGGATGGGTTAACATATAATGAAGAGTAATGGTTTATGAAAAATTATACACATGTTGAAACAAATTGCACTTCATCAAGATCCAACACAATAACTTTTCTGAATTTTGATGTGTTTTCGCTTTGTTTATTTGTTTGCAATTTTTATTAGTTACATACTTTTGTTATTGCTGGGTTGGATTTTTTATTAAATAAGAGTCAATCCGACTCACGATCATAAACAAACGGTAGGACTCTAATTTAATCAGGATGGATTATGATTTAGTATCTTCAAAACTGGCGTGTTTGAATTGGGTGATTAAAAACAACTAAATTCGTGCCAACTGACTCATATATACCCCTAATTTTGAGTAGGATATTTTAGAATAACCGAGCATTTGATTAGCTATGCGATTTACGGTAATTCCAACGAGAGCGCCTATATAACAGCTAACCGTAACAGCTTGTTTGAATATAATTCTGTTGGAAAATGAATTCCATTTCTTGTGAGAATCTGAATTCAAGTGGGATTCATTTCAAGAGTTTATGTCTGGAACAAATCCAAAAGTTTGGGAAATGATTTCATTTTTTTATGTTTGAAAAAAAAATGAAAATGATTTCTTACAAATACTTTTACAATAATATCCTTGGTGTTAGGCCGCATAGTTGAGCGTGTTTGGGCCTCGGGCCCAAGAGAAGCGAGTCGGAGTTTAAGGCCCAATAAGGAATCCAGGCCCGATCGAAAGACCGGGTCAGCGGGCGGTCCAAGGTCGACTGCGAACCCGAGGAATAGGATAAGGGCGCCTGACATAAAGCAACTGAGCAGCGCAGAGGGGCAGAGAGCCGTTGAAGATGCGTATCTGGTGTTAGGCAAGACTGAGCATTTATTGCCAGCCGCAGGCGGCCTGCAGAAAGGCTGAAAGCCTGTCCAGGACGCCTGACATTTCCCGAAAAGCCTGAATGGGCGCCCGACCAGGTCTGGGGCGCCCGACACAGCATTTAATGCCTCAACCACCCTTTAACCAGGTATAAATAGAGGGTGAGTGCATTAATGGTGAGACCAACTACTATTCATCTCTCTACATAAATTCTCATCTTCCCACTTCTCTCTCTAACTTAAGCTTCGGAGAGTGTCCCGGGCGAACCGCCCCGGACCATTGTTTTGCAGAGTATCAGGAGTGATCCCCCACATCCGAGATCAGGCGTCTCGCCCCAGCTCCACAAACCGCCTAGTATCTACTAGGCACAAACAATTTGGCGCCCACCGTGGGGCTGGAGCAGAGCGCTTAAATCGAAAGATGGAAGGGAAATTCAGAACTCCGGTGAAAGACGTCATTGGCGGGGAGAGCATCAGAGGTTTGGAAATGCCGACGGTTGAGGAAGAAAAAGATATGGAAGAGCGCGTGAGAGACCAGGAGCAGCAGATCATCAGTATGCAAGAGAGTTTGAGTCAGATCCTCACCATGCTCAAAACAAGAGACGAGCCCGAAAGTTCTAAGATGCAAGGTGGCAAGGGCAAGGGGGTGGACGGAGAAATGCCCCCCAGCCCCCCTCGCACAGAAGACGGAGAGTCCGACAGGGAGGAAGATGCTGACGGCGTCCACCTTGACCTCCTCGAAGAGCACCTGCGCCCCTGCTACGGGAAGCCTAAAGGCTACAACGTGCTGCACAACCCCCTGGCGAAGAGCCTTTTCAAAACCCAGGTGCCATCAAACTTCTCGTCGCTCGGTCTCCCTGCATACACGGGGAACTCAGATCCGTCGGATCACTTGAGCGCCTTCATGCTCAATATGCAACTAATTAACGCCTCAGACGCTGATCTGTGCAAGGCGTTTCCAGTCACTTTCGGAGGGCAGTGCCGAAGCTGGTACGCGTCCCTACCAGCCGGGATAATCGAGAACTTTGAGCAGTTCGCCACTCTTTTCTCTCTGAAGTTTGCGTCTCAGCGCAGAAGGCAGCTCACGGTCTCCGCCCCCATCAACTGCAAGCAAGGGGAGGAAGAAACCTTGACCGATTTCTACGACCGATGGAATACAATAGCTTGTGAGGTCCAAGATGTCTCGACCAGCGTAGCCGCCGGGAACCTGAGAATGTCGACGCACAGCCGGGAACTAAAGAGGTCTCTCATCAAGAAGGAGCACAACATCAAGTATTGGCAAGATCTAGACCGCGTGGTACGAAAGGTCATCTTCTTGGAAGAGGCGCTCAATGCCGAAGAGGGCGCGAAAGGGGGCCCAACGCTATCGAGCAAGGCGGAAAAAGGAAGGAACGGGCCGCCAAAACGAAGGGGACGCACGCCCGAGCGACGAAACTACAAGCCCAGGTTCGGCAACAGGGATGGAAGGCGTGAAGTGTTCGCATGAGAAAAAGAGGACGACGGACGCCGCGATGGGAACAAAGCTCGGGAGACGCGTCCTCACCAAATGAGGGAAGACGACCAAAAGTGGTGTGACTGGCACCAGCTACCGACTCATGACACCACAGAGTGGCGCGAGTTCAAGGCCAGCCTCAAATACCTGGCACCGGGAGACCTGAAAAGCCGCCTGTACACACGGGGGCATCCCAGGGAGAGAGCGGACGAAAGGGATAGGTCGCCCAGCCCAAGGAGAAGGTCCCGGACGCCCAGACGCCGGAGATCTAGGTCGCCAAGGAGGGAGCGAACGCCCCGCAGGGAGCGCTTGCCCCCACCGCCGCCAAGGCACATCCCTCCTCATCGGCACCCACCTCGAGAAGAGGAAGAGGGAGTCGAAATAATCACCATCGCTAGAGGGCACAAGCGCCCTCGGACAGAAGGGGACCGTTTGGTGCAATGTATGAACGTGAACAGGAAAGAGCAAGTCGAGATCAGTTTCGCGCGCTCGGAACTGGCTCCCGAAGAATGTGGAGAAGACCCATTGGTCATCTCTTTCTGCACAAAGAAGTTCAAAGTCACCCGAGCCTTGGTCGACAATGGAAGTTCAGCAGACATCTTGTTCTACTCCACGCTCAAGAGCATGAAGAGGGGGTTACAGGACCTCAAACCATCCTCGACCAGTCTGGTTGGGTTCTCCGGATTCAAAGTCCGGGTTCTAGGTTCCATCACCCTCCAGGTGACGATCGGAGGTCCGGAGGTGACAAAGACGAGCCTCATGGACTTCCACGTAGCGGACTGCCCGTCCGCCTACAACGCCATATTGGGACGCGGCTTCCTGTCGGCCTTCTCGGCGGTCCCCTCTACCTGCCATCAGATGCTTAAGTTTCCCGCCAAGGGCAGGATAGGATGCGTCCGTGGTGACTCCCAACAGGCCAAAGAATGCTACCAGGCCACCATCAGGAACTTGGAA